AGGATCTGCCTCCATGCTGCCGCAAGCACTCAGCCTCGGTGCGGCGGTTTTTTCAGGGGCTGGTGGGCTCCGCCCCCCCCCTGCGATCCCCCCGCCGACCTCCCTCTCACGGCCTGCCGGTGGAAAGCGGCCGTGGCAACGGTCCGACGCCCATTTCCAAGATGGCGGCGGCCCCTGCTCCTGCGCCGGAAGTGACGACACCCGGCGCCCGGATAGTGACGCGATCGCAGCGTCCAGACCTCCGCAGCCGAGGCCTCCTGGCCATGCTGCCCTGGGATCCAGGAGCAGGTAAGACTTACCTGAAACCCCGCAGGGAAAGGCACCAATGCCTCGGTCGGCGGAGCGGGCTCTACCCCCCCTGGAGAGCCCCGCTGGGACCATCTGGGGCCCGACGCCCCCACCCCTACAACGGGCATTCCCCGAGTGGAAACTGGCTGAAAAGGTCCCCCCCCTGCCACAAGGCCCCTGCCTCGCTTGGAGGAAGGGGGGGCCTCAGCCAGGGACCCTCTGTACTCCGCCAGAGAGCCAGATAAAAAAAACAAAAAATGGGCGTAGCTCCTTCCTGGCCGGAGGGAAACACTTAAAAACTGGGGGCAATGGGAGAGAGGACGCCTATGGGGAAAAAAAGGTGGAGCGGGTGTTTCCTGGGAGGAGCCCTATCTCTCAAGTGAGCTTCCTAGAAGATGGACTCGGGAAATTGTATTATTTGCAGGATTACCAGGTGAACATAATAAATCAAACAAAACATTAAAAAGAAAACAAAGTATAGCCATTACCGGTTTTGGATTGTAAAGTACTGTATGTCAAAAGGCCCTCTGTAACAGTCTAAACAGGTATCATATCCAGGTTAATATGTAATGCAAAAGCCTCAATTAAAAAACAAACTGTTTTTTGTGTCTCACACACACCCCTCCCAGACACTACAGCTCACAGTGGGAGGGTTTCAGCAGTACAATGAGTTCTGACAATCCAGAAAGCATGCATGGATAGGCATTTGAAGCTACTGGTTTATGAATCCAGCAGGGACAATGCTGATAGCCAGTCCCCATGCAGCAGCAGCATCTTATTGCAATGCAGAGCAAGCAGCAACAGCCAACAGGAGAAAGCAACCAAAATTTCCAGCTCCCTTCCCAGCCAGCCTGCAACAAACCGAATGAACCGTGTCTAACAGTTCTCATAAAAACAAGTTTAGTTCGCACAAGTGTATGTGCTTATTCTGCTGCAGAGGCCATGTCACAGCAGGCCATTGGTCAGCTGCTGACCAATCAGATGTTATCTAGCCCGGACTGTCATCGCTGCAAGGAGAGGAAAGCGGCGGGAATTCCAAATCCTTGCTGCTTGCGCTCCTTTCCTACCCCTGAGACGCAGCTGATCACAGGGAAATGCAATTGCCGGTTCTCGGCTGCACTTTCCTCACGCTGTCAGAGGATGAGGAAAGTACTGCCGAGAACCGGCAGTTGTCAGAGCAGGGATCTGTACCGCTGATCAGGGCACTGATGATCAGTGCCATGATAATCGGCGCCCAGCAGTGCCACCCACCAGTTCCGCCCACCTGTGCCCAGCACCGGTGCCGCCGTCAGTGCCCAGCGGTGCCACCAGTCAGTGCCCAGCAGTTGTGCCACCAGTCAGTGCCCAGCAGTTGTACCACCATCAGTGCTGCCTATCTGTGCAACCTCATTAGTGCTGCCTATCAGTGCCACCTATCAGTGCCCTTCAGTGCTGCCTCATCAACGCACATCAGCGAAGGAGAAAAATTACCTGTTTGCAAAATTTAATAAAAAACAAAAACTTTTTTTTTTTGTGTTTTGTTTATAGCGCAAAATGTAAAACACCCAGCGGAAATTAAATACCACCAAAAGAAAGCTATTTATGAGAAAAAAGATAAAAATTTCATATGGGTACAATGTTGCATGACCACACAATTGTCATTCAAAGTGTGACAGCGCTGAAAGCTGAAAATTGGCTTGGAAAAGAAGGGAGTATAAGTGCCCGGTAGGCAAGTGGTTAAGAGACGGGTTCAGAGGGTTATTATATACAGGAGCACTATTCAAGAGACAGGGATTCTTTAGTTTGCAATAAAAGCCTTAGTGATAGTTTTTAACACTTTTCAAACTATGGGTTTATTAATGAAAAGGCCAAATGGTGCAAAAAAATAAAATATTTACAGAAAATGATGTTACAAAGACATAAAGAGAACAACATTGCAACAGAGAAATAAAAGCAGGTGAAAATGAAGAATACTAGCAAAATCTTCTGTTTTAGCAGAGTCCAACTGTCCAAGCAAAAACATTGCCATGGCTCTCAAGTCCGTCCTTGGTTGAATTTAAATGAGAGCTTCCTTGCCAGGTCTTGTCATTCCCTTTTCTGTGATATCAAAGGGGTGTCGTCCGAGAATAACTGACCAATCATCCGGTTTAGGGGATGGGTACTAGGAGGTCGACAAATTTATGACCAAGTCCCAACTACAGTTTCATACTAATATAACACTAACGTATAAAGCCGTTCACAACACTGCCCCAAATTACATCACCGACCTTGTCTCTAAATACCACCCAAACCTTACTCTCCGCTCCTCGCAAGACCTCCTACTCTCTAGCTCCCTTGTCTCCTCCTCCCATGCCCATCTCCAGGATTTCTCAAGGGCTTCACCCATCCTCTGGAACTCCCTACCCCAATCTATCAGGCTATTGCCTACTCTGCTCACTTTTAGACACACTCTGAAAACCTCTCTCTTCAGGGAAGCCTACCCTGACCCCGGCTAATACTGGAATCCTCTACTCTTCCTACCACTCCATCCCCCACAGCCAATTACCTCTTGTACCACTATCCCTCCCTCCTAGATTGTAAGCTCCAAGGAGCAGGGCCTTCTAATCCCTCTTGTATTGAACTGTATTGTCTCCCTCCATAATGTAAAGCGCTGAGCAAACTGTCGGCACTATATATAAGTCCTGTATAATAATAATACTAATATCAATAACTTCCAGTATGTGCAGCTGTTATTCTAGAAACGGACAATATTATTCCAAATTATATTTTGAACCCAGGGATACCAAACATAGCATACATTTGTCGCTGAGACTGCTTTCTCCCCTTTCCTATGTGCTAACATAGCCATGTATGACTGATTTGTTTGGTATGATATTCCCTATTCTAATATATGCCTAATATTAAGGTGTCATGTTCCTGTTGAATTCTATGAATTGTACGTGAAATTGTTACATGTGGAATAGATATTTTATGGCACGCTCTGCATTCCTAGAGCCTTAATGGCCTTACAGGTCATGTGATGGCTTGACTGAGTTATTGTTTTACAAGAGGGCAGAGGAAAGTGTTTTTCATGGTTCATGGAAACAGACATCCTGCCAAGACTAGCCGTTTACAGCTCTGGCCAGGTCTGGACTCTGACATCTATTTTTTTTTTTAATTCAAGATAAGAGGTTGTTTTGACACTCGTTAAAATTTACAGCTACAAATTCCAGTTTTCAGGAGGAGGGAGGGGAGGAAGGTCACTGCTCATGAAAAACAAAATTGCTGAGACCTTAGCAAGATGGCTGTCACGTACAGATTCCATGTCCCTGTTGTGCACAATCGTTACAATATGATATATACATATATATATATATATTGATATTTCCTGAGTGTCTAGACTTTAGGGACACCATGTATAAGTACCTGTAATAATTAAATATTTGTAATCCTTATGCTGCTAGCATTAGTAAATATAGGAAAGTATATCTAGACTTTGTTTTTAAACTGTTTCTTCAGTTACTTCCTGGTTTCTTGCCTAAGCAAATGATGTCACACATCCCAAAGTCTTTAGGAGGGGAGGCGGGGTTTTCTCAGCTAAGCACACCCTCTTGCCTGCAGCTCTGAGCTAAGGGCAGGAAGTAAATGCTACACGGACCATCTGCCCTTACTCAAGATGGCCACAGCCAGGAATGCTAGGGGGCGTTTTTGAATGTGATTTCTTAGCAAAATAAAGCATGCAGACAAGGATGGATGGGGAGTTTGCTTTGAATCGTAAAAATCAAATAGGGTTTGTGGTGCTCAGGTGCAGCGGAGTTCTGCTTTAGGGGTGTTTGGCTTTTTTTTCTGCCTCTATCCCCCTCCATGTTGGCCCGTGTCCATTCACACTCCAGGGGTTCACAGGCTAGAGCGTTTAGAGGTAGAAAAGCCATCACTTCGTAACCCGCGTTTTCAGGAGAGTTCCAGCAGGAAAAAAAAATAAAAATAATCGCACACACGTAATCACACCTAAGCGCCTTAACCCCCCCAGTCACATCAATCCCAACTGAAATCATACAACCTACAGTAAAGTCACACGATTTCAAAGTCGGGTGATCTGCCGATTTCAGGTGCGATTTGCAAGATATATGACAGATGTGTATGCAAATCGCACCAAAAGTAATGAATGCTCTACTTTAGAAATCAGTGCGGCTTCGTCCAAGTCAGAACCGCACCGATATGACCGACAATAGGGTGCGACTAGGCATACAATTTGCAAATCACATGCCAAGTCGAACCCGATGTGACCAGGGGTGTTGGTGCTCGAGTGTTCTGTCATTTCATTGGCCGGCAAAAATTAATATGCTGTCATTGAACTCCTGCAAGGAGAGGGTTGCTGGGCAAACCCTGTGACTGGGGCCCTGGGGGCCACTGCAAGAAGTGTCCCTACTGGAAGAGTCCCGCTCTTACTGCTGTGCCCCCCCATGTGTTCTATCCATTCCCTTCCACGTGGAAACACGCCGCCTTGTATACAATGTAAAGGCCAAACAACACCAAGACCGAGTGCAATGTAAGAGATTCCGCCAATACGATGGACGCGGTGACCACGGCGCTCTCTGTACCGCAATGAAGGCAGACGGGACCCCAGCCACTGACATCACTCCGCCTACTCCTCCCTCCAGCAGTCCGCTCACCACCACGTGCAGCCACTTCCTCGTACCTGTCACGTGGTCATGTCCACGCCTCAGACTCCGAGCCCCGCCCTCGCTCCGTGTTGGAAGAGTATGAGCAGATCACGTGTGCTCCTCTTAACTCTCCGATTGGCCAAGGCTTTCACCCCCGGCACTGCGAGGCCTGGGACACCGGCTGGCGGAGAACTCTGGTCATCGATTCAAAGACAGCGAGTCATGCCTGCCAGGAACCCGCACAAAGCCGCCTGCCCGTGTCCTGCCACTCGCGGCGATAACACCGGGGGCCGGATGGACTCAGAGACAAGAGAGAACACCGAGGACGTGGATATCGTCAAATCTCCCAGTGACCCCAAGAAATACCGGTGAGTGCCTGAGCGGGAGGGGGTCTGACGTCACTGCCCTAATCTCTGATGTCACGCAATGGACTCTTCTGACCTCCCTGCCCTAATCTCTGATGTCACCCAATGGACTCTTCTGACGTCACTGACCTATCACTGCCCCCCTCTGTCCCTGCTTCATCAAATGGCCTCCTCCCTGCCCCCACATTCTGACATCACCGCCTCCCCCCCCATTTTGACATCACCACCTCCTCCCCGCCCCCGTATTTGCCATCACTGCCTCCTCCCCGCCCCCTCATTCTGCCATCACCGCTTCCCCCCCCACATTCTGCCATCACCGCCTCCTCCCCGCCCCCGCATTCTGACATCACCGCCTCCTCCCCGCCCCCACATTCTGACATCACCGCCTCCTCCCCCCCTCATTCTGCCGATCCCGCCGCCCCCCACATTCTGACATCACCGCTCCTCCCCCCCCCACATTCTGACATCACCGTCTCCTCCCTGCCCCCACATTCTGACATCACCCGCCTCCTCCCTGCCCCCACATTCTGACATCACCGCCTCCTCCCCACCCCCGCATTCTGACATCACTGCCTCCCCCACGTTCTGACATCACCGCCTCCCCCCCACCTCCACATTCTGACATCACCACTTCCTCCCCGCCCCCACATTCTGCCATCACGGCCTCCTCCCCGCCCCCGCATTCTGACAAGAAGGAAAAGCAAAACACATAAAAAACGGTGCAAAAATGCAACGCAATGCAGAAACGGGTCAAACGCAAACTACATAGGTGTGAACCTAGCCTCAAGGGGTTTTTGACGCCGGGATTGGATGTCACATCGGTCACATGATCGGAAAGCTAGCAAGTAGCAATCGGGAGGTGCTGGTAACCGTGCAGCGCGCATGTAACATCAGGTATGCAAATATGCAGCCTATTGGTAGCAAGGCCCAGCCACTGAGAGGCCACATATTTGTGTACTGACAGGCCAAGGAGTTAAGATGTTCTGAATGATGGAAGGCCGAGTTCCTTCAGCGTTTGCACTGATGCTGCATTGCATGGGTGGATTGTTCAGGAGTTGGGCTTTCATACTCCTATCAGGTTCCTTTTTGTTTTGGTGTCTGTGTCCCACTGGGGAAATGGCTCGTCACTTCCTGTTCTACAGATGCAACAGGAAATGAGAAGAAATCCATCAAAAGTGAACAACTTTTCTCATCTTAGACTTTTTTTCCCAAATTAGGTGTCCCTACTGGAAGATTTCCTCTCACCTCTTTGGTGATAGCTCAAAATTTTAGGGGTTTGTGTTTTATATATGAGCTGACAGGGCCTCTCTACAAATGTCCTATGGAACGTCACTGTCTCCTGAGGAAGTCAATGTTACTTCAGTAAACGTGTCAGGATATCATATGTCTAGCTTGACGTGTATATATACTATCATACAACTATCTATCATGTTTTGATGTCTTATGCCATTTTATTTTGTTTTTAATCTCTACTTTTGTATGTGGAAAAAAAATGTTTTATTTAGAAACTTTTTTTTGATTTGTTCTTGACTTCTGCCCCCCTGTCTTCTTCCCCCCCCCCCTCTCTTCTTCCCCCCCCCCTCTCTCTTCTTCCCCCCTCTCCTCTCTTCTTCAACTCTCCTCTTCTTCCCCCCCCTCCTCTTCTTCCCCCCTCTCCTCTTCTTTCCCCCCTCCTCCTCTTCTTCCTCCTCTCCTCTTCTTCCCCCTCTCCTCTTCTTCCTCCCTCTCCCTTCTTCCTCCCTCTCCTCTTCTTCCTCCCTCTCCTCTTCTTCCTCCCTCTCCTCTTCTTCCTCCCTCTCCTCTCTTCCTCCCTCTCCTCTTCTTCCCCCCTCTCTTCTCTACCACCCCCCCCCCCCTCTCTTCTCTACCCCCCCCCCCCTCTCTTCTCTACTACCCCCCCCTCTCTTCTCTACCCCCCCCCTCTCTTCTCTACCCCCCCCCCTCTTCTCTCCCCCCCCCTCTCTTCTCTACCCCCCCCTCTCTTCTCTGCCCCCCCCCCTCTTCTCTCTACCCCCCCCCCTCTTCTTCTCCCCTACCCCCCCCCCCCTCTCTTCTCTTCCCCCCCTCTCTTCTTCTCTCCCCCTCTTCTCCTTCCCTCTCCTTCTCCTTCCCTCCTCCTTCTCCTCCTTCTCCTCCCCCTCTTCTTCTTCCCCCTCTTCTTCTTCTTCCCTTCCCCCTCTTCTTCTTCTTCTCCTTCCCCCCTTCTTCTTCTTCTTCTCCTTCCCCCTCTTCTTCTTCTTCTCCTTCCCCCTCTTCTTCTTCTTCTTCTCCTTCCCCCTCTTCTTCTTCTCTTCTCCTTCCCCCTCTTCTTCTTCTTCTCCTTCCCCCTCTTCTTCTTCTTCTCCTTCCCCCTCTTCTTCTTCTTCTCCTTCCCCCTCTTCTTCTTCTTCTTCTCCTTCCCCCTCTTTCTTCTTCTTCTCCTTCCCCCTCTTCTTCTTCTTCTCCTTCCCCCCATCTTCTTCTTCCCCCTCTTCTTCTTCCCCCTCTTCTTCTTCCCCCTCTTCTTCTTCCCCCTCTTCTTCTTCCCCCTCTTCTTCTTCCCCCCCCTCTTCTTCTTCTTCTCTTCTCCTTCCCCCTCTTCTTCTTCTTCTTCTTCTTCTTCCCCCTCTTCTTCTCTTCTTCTCTTCTTCCCCCTCTTCTTCTTCTCCTTCTCCTTCCCCCTCTTCTTCTTCTCCTTCTCCTTCCCCCCTTCTTCTTCTTCTCCTTCTCCTTCCCCCTCTTCTTCTTCTCCTTCTCCTCTTCCCCCTCTTCTTCTTCTTCTTCTCCTTCTCCTTCCCCCTCTTCTTTTCTTCTTCTTCTTCTTCTCCTTCTCCTTCCCCCTCTTCTTCTTCTTCTTCTTCTTCTTCTCCTTCTCCTTCCCCCTCTTCTTCTTCTTCTTCTTCTTCTCCTTCTCCTTCCCCCTCTTCTTCTTCTTTCTTCTTCTCCTTCTCCTTCCCCCTCTTCTTCTTCTTCTTCTTCTCCTTCTCCTTCCCCCTCTTCTTCCTCTCCTTCCCCCTCTTCTTCTTCTTCTTCTTCTCCTTCTCCTTCCCCCTCTTCTTCTTCTTCTTCTTCTCCTTCTTCCTCCCCTCTCTTCTTCTTCTTCTTCTCCTTCTCCTTCCCCCTCTTCTTCTTCTTCTTCTTCTCCTTCTCCTTCCCCCTCTTCTTCTTCTTCTTCTTCTCCTTCTCCTTCCCCCTCTTCTTCTCTTCTCCTTCTCCTTCCCCCTCTTCTTCTTCTCTTCTTCTCCTTCTCCTTCCCCCTCTTCTTCTTCTCCTTCTTCCCTTCCCCCTCTTCTTCTTCTTCTTCTTCTCCTTCTCCTTCCCCTCTTCTTCTTCTTCTTCTTCTCCTTCTCCTTCCCCCCTCTTCTTCTTCTTCTTCCTTCTCCTTCTCCTTCCCCCTCTTCTTCTTCTCCCTCCTCTTCTTCTTCTTCTCGTCTTCTTCTTCTTCCTCCTCCTTCCTCCTCCTTCTTCTTCTTCTTCTTCCTCCTCCTTCTTCCCCCTCTTCTTCTTCTGCTTCTCCTCTCTTCTTCTTCTGCTTCTCCCTCTTCTTCTTCTTCTGCTTCTCCCTCTTCTTCTTCTTCTGCTTCTCCCTCCCTCCCCCTTCTTCTTCTGCTTCTCCCTCCCCCCCTCTTCTTCTTCTCCCCCCCCCCTCTTCTTCTTCTGCTTCTCCCCCCCCTCTTCTTCTTCTGCTTCTCCCCCCCCCCTCTTCTTCTTCTGCTTCCCCCCCCCCCCCTTCTTCTTCTGCTTCTCTCCCCCCCCTTCTTCTTCTTCTCCCCCCCCCACTTGTGGACAGATGTAATGTCTCAAAAGCACACTACCTGCATTCCGGGCATTACAGATATGTGCTTTCACCACTTTAAGGAGTTAGCAGCACATAGCTGAAACAGCCACCTACACCCATCCATGTCTATGAATGCACCACCAGGACATCCCATGCACAGAAATACGCAGCATGTTTACACTGCATGGGCGAATGCACCACTGTGCATGAAGCATTGATTCTGGTGTAATTAGGGCAGTAAGCACAGAACACATCTATTCATTTGACGCTGTAGTTTACTTTGACGTCACTTTGAATAAACCTCGCAGGTCTCGGATGACACTGCCACCTTTTTCCTTGTGACTTGTTCCGGAGGTCCTACTATGAGATTACTTATTTGCTTGTTAAGTTAAAGTGTGATTTTTTTTTTCTATATGTGGCAGTAAAGTGATGGCTTTGTTATTGTGTGTTTTGTGTTTTTTTTTTTTTTTTTTTTTTATACACCTGGGATAGGCAACCAGCAGATCTCTAGCGTAGAACCACAACTCCTAGCAAGTCTTGCCATCTGCATGGCTGTCCTTTGATGATTCTTGGATGGCCATTCATTACATTGATGCAACACGTGTTAACACGCATGTGGTAATGTACCACCACTGTTAGAATAGGGATTAAAAGTGAAATGAAAAGAAAACCCACAAAATCATGTCTTACTTTGAACCCATACAGACCAATCGGCAGTGGTAGTATTGCCTATGTACACTGACCCACTTGTGACCCCCTCCAGGTTTATACAGCTCAACAGTGGCCTTAGAGTTTTGCTGATCTCTGATATGGCATCTGCTGGTCACACTGCCTCTTCTGATTCCTCTGATGAAGAAGAAGAAGATGATGATGAAGAAGATGATGAAGAAGATGACTCTGAAGAAGACAGTGAGGGAGAAGAATCTGAAGGTGATGATGAGGACGCTGATGAAAATGAAGAATCAGACAGCTTGCATTCAAGAGACAAGAAAGGCTGTACAGAAAAGCTGGTATTGTTCTGTCATTGTCACTGGTGGTGTGTCTATATGTGATGTCACTTATTGCTGTCATTTATCCATGTCCTAGTATAGCTGGTCATAGTTACTTTCAACTGGACTAATTATGTAGCTGAAGATGCTTCCTTGCTTATCCAAGCAGTTTCTTCAGTTCTAATGGGTGTCTGTCACATTCCCCACCTTAAAGGATAACTCCACTTTCATGGTAAAAAAAATATAAAAAAAAAATTGCATATACATTGTGAACACGGGTCATACTGTAATACAGGGCTAGACAAATTTGCTTTGAATCTAGGAGTCAGCTAAAACAAGTGGAGCCATTTTTTTTTTTTTTTTAACAACAAAACCCTTTTACCTATGTAGCCAGAAGCCGGCTGAACATGCAGCTTCCGTCAAAGGTGCATGACTGAAAAAGGTATGCCAAGCGGCATCCGATCAGTGCTGTCAGCTACTGACTGAGAGTGCTGACCGGTGTGTTCTGGCGGGGAGGCAGTCCCCCTGTTAGAACACAGATAATAGTCTGCTATCTTCAGAGGGTCCTGTGCTGAGCAGATTGGAGATCCAAACTGCTCAGCACAGGACCCTCTGCAGATGGCAGGCTCTGGGGGCCCATGTCATACCACAATCCTGCTCCTCTAACTTCAGTGAGTTGGTCCTACCTGAACCCCCATAATACGATACATGCCATGGTAGACAGAGGGAGCGGAGATGAGATCTCAGGTGTGCAGACATGGCCAGGGAAAGGCACAGGTGCAGCTGCCCACTTGGCACGGAACATCAGATAGAAAAGGTGCACAGACTTGCCGGTCATCTCCTCACCCCCTAGATAGTATGAATCAGGTATTGGCACTCCTCTCCCCCCCCCCCCACTTCCACCATCGAGTCTCACCTGGGAGATGAGTTCCTTCTCCCCTTTCCTTCATCAGCAGCCACATTGATGTTGTACAGGGAACCTTTCCCAACATCAAATTCCCTAATACTCCCCAGACGTCGGAGCTCAGGTACTTCTCTCTGCAGCAGACACAGAGCACTCCTTTGTAGAAGGGAAGGGATGATGTTGCAGCAATGAGCTCTCCCCCTCTGTCTGTCCCATTGCTCCGATTATCTGGATGGCATAGTTTTGAGCTCCGCTCCCAGTGCTTGCTGTCCTTCCCTTCCCTCTGTCTTTGCTGCTTCCATGCGGGATGTGCCAGATGGACGAATCCCTCCTCTGTTCCACATGACATCGGGGATCCCCAGCTGGAGTGCACTCTGCTGGCCGCTTGCGCCTCCCATTGCGTCAATGGCTGCCACAGCACTCTCTTCTTGCTCCATCCCCAGGTCATCTTCATCCCCGCTGCCGCCGCTAATTGCTTTCCCTATGTTGATGGCTGTGCCAAGCAGTGCTCTGTGTCCAGAGGGCCTACAAGGCCTCAACCTTCCCGGCCAAGACCTGCCCCACAGCCCGCCCTGCAGCTGAGGCAGGCACCTGTTACTGACAAAAGCCCAGATGCCAGGACGCAAATTCTAATCGCCATGGCAACCCGGAGCCTGGGATTTGTCGAGCCCTGCTGTAATATAATGTTATTAAAAATGACCTTTCCTTTTCAGTCTGCAGCCCTGTAATTTTCTTTAAGATGCAATGCAATTTGGCAAACTGGAGATGTTCTGTATACAGATGGTGTATGGAACATCCCCTAGAAATGTGATTTCCTGCTTGTGTGATTGGCTCACTGATTTTCTCAGAAGTCTACACTAAGGTACAGATCATATTTTGGGCATCTTTGCATCCTCTATAACAAACATTTCAGTTTTATTCCCAAAGGATAATCAAGTCTAAAGGGGTGCAGACCCTGCCACTTTTCCTCATTAGAACCTTGCAGAGTGCAGCAGCTGATGATTAACGAAAAAGTCACTCCCATTCGCTTTGCACGTGGATACAGACAAACAGCTATTACATTCGAATACCAAAAAGTAGGAATCTGCAACAATATTTGTTTAAATCTCTACAATGTATTGTGTTTTTTTTTTTTTTTTTTTCCCCTCAACAAAAGTGGAGTTACTCTTTAAAGGTTAACAAAAAACACAGGAACAAACATTTACCGTGCTGTAGAGTACCAGTCTTTAGATGTGTTGGCCTCATTAACCCCTTCACGCCGGATCGTCCCGGTGTGAAGAGGAGTTCCTGTGCCAGGAGGTGGACGGGGTGGGGCTTAGTGTCATGTGGCCACCGTGACGTCACGGCCGGTCACATGATCAGGAAAGGTCCCGATCGAAAGAGCGGACCGGGACCTTTCTGTGAGTACCGCACATGTGTGCTGGGAGTGTGCTCTCAACACATATGTTTTTTGTTACATGAAAACAAATGTGCGGGCCGCTCGGCATCTAGGCCCAGACGCGGGGAGGCCGCACATTTGCGTGCGGCCGGCGTGAAGGGGTTAAGCTGGCCATACACTGAAAAAGCTTTTTTTGTTCAGCTTGGATTTGCTGAATCCCCTCCTTGCTTATTGTATTTTGGCAGTCAGCTCTATTTTTATTTTATTAACTGTTAATATTCATACTTTTTTTTTTTTTTTTTTTATTATTATTATATGTATTGTTCTTTAATTTTTTGTTTCATGGACACTGCTGCTTCTAAACATGAGTTCACATAGGCTTTTATTAAAGTTTAAGGGCAGTTAAACATTACTCTCCTGAACGCAGAAGTATCATATTCAGGAGAGGAACGTTTTGGCCAAACGCAGCAAAAACACGCGTAAACGCACCTAAATACAGGTCAGTAAAATAAACGTTCCAACGTACATGAGGCCTTAGGGTCACATTAAATTAATAGCAAAATTGAAAAAAAAAATCGTCATTTTATTTGTAAACAATTTTGTACAATAATTTTGGTGTCATTTTAAACAGGACAAATTATAGAAAAAATGTATACAGTAACCCCTTTTTAAATAACATTGGTCAAAAAGAGAACAGCGTGTTTTGTTTTTTTATGTCAAAGTGATTCTTATCCCTGGTTCACACTGGATCTGACCTTGAAATTGTTTGACTTCACTTGAAGTCACATGATTTCAAAGTTTGACGACAGTGTCAATTCAGGTGCAACTTCAAGTTTATGCAAGTCGCACCCCAAATTGGCAAAAGTAGTGCAGGAACTACTTTTCTATTCAGTGCGACTCCCGACGGTTCCATTTCCAATCATTGGATGTGATTTGTCATGCGATTTGCACAGTCATATTGCATGACACTTTGCATCAGTGTAAACCAATTTATTGCTGGTTTCTTGTGATATGCAGATTTAAGCAGGCCTGGGACTCATCCCTTAAGCTTTGCTGAAACCTCTTGATTTGTTTTTCCTTTCTCTGTAGTCTGCAGCTGCACTTTGCATTGGAGTCGGAAGTTTCAGTGATCCGGAGGACCTGCCAGGATTAGCGCACTTTTTGGAACATAGTGAGTATTGTGTGTTGCATTGGGTTGCTCATTTATGATGGCATTGTATACTGGTGGTTAGACCAGCCTTTCTCAACCAGGGTGCCTTGGGGTTTCTTCAGGGGTGCCTTGGCAAAATGTTGCCTAAAACTTGTATACAAGCCAGCAGGTGGAACAAGCCTGCCTTTTAGTTGCACAAAGCCACATGATTTAATTGTGCGCCATTACGACTTTGTAGCGCCGGCGTCCTGACAACCAATTACAATTACAGCAACCAAAAACAATTACAGCATTCTAGTTTGACCCTCCCCTGCACCTCTCCATCAGTGTTGGGTCACATTAGCTCAGTAATGGAGAAAAAACTGAGGGAGAAGAGAAACACTGGAATACTACTTAGTGTGCAATAGTCTATTTGCTTTGGAAGAATAAATCACCTCTAATGTTGGGTGTCCTACATGTGTGGTGTTGCTGCCTTTTTATATAAAAAACTATTAAAATAGTTTTTCACATTTTAGAATGGGGTGCCCTTTTAAAATTATGGACAGTCTGGAGGTACCCCATTTTAGAATGGCCTCTAGACCAGTGGTTCTTAACCTTGTTGGAGGTACTGAACCCCACCAGTTTCATATGCGCATTCACCGAACCCTTCTTAATTGGAAAAATAAAATATGATTTTTAAAATTCAAAACATATGTATATATTTATACATAGGTGCACAAAATGAACAAAACCGTTAAGAACAAAGAACAAAACCATTAAAACATGATTTTCACACAAAAACAAAAACATAATAATGAATATTTACTGCACGAATCATATGAGTCGGGTGTGGGTCTTCAACTCCACCGAACCCGCGAGACTGACTCACCGAACCCCTGGGGTTCGATCGAACCCAGGTTAAGAACCACTGCTCTAGACTGTCCATAATTTTAAAGGGTGCCTCTAGACTGTCCATAATTTTAAAGGGTGCCTCTAGACTGTCCATAATTTTAAAGGGTGCCTCCAGACTGTCCATAATTTTAAAGGGTGCCTCCGGACTGTCCATAATTTTAAAGGGTGCCTCCAGACTGTCCATAGTTTTTTAAAGGGTGCCTCCAGACTGTCCATAGTTTTTTTAAAGGGTGCCTCCAGACTGTCCATAATTTTTTAAAGGGTGCCTCCGGACTGTCCATAATTTTAAAGGGTGCCTTGACTGAAAAAAGGTTGAGTAATACAGCGTTACACAGACTGAATCAATAGGGAAAGCAAGCTTACTTGTGCATGGGTGAAGTTTCCCGGTATGCTGATCTGGTGGGCTTGTACTCTAAAGCTATGTTATACATTTTGCTGGTTTAGGTAAAAAGCAAGAAAGGGCTGAAACATATATTTTCCTAGAGAAAATGCTTCTCATGGGTTCCCCTGATGTTGCTCACATAACTAGTAGCCTAGGCATTTGAATATGCATAATCTTCATCTTTATGTGGCCAGTGGGCTAGGTTTCTGCTTGTTTGTTTCTAGAGGGAGCATGGAGCACCGGTTTTTCCCAGGAAAAGGTTTTTTCTTTTTTGTTTTGTTTTTTTTTTTTTTACCATTTTATAAATAATTGTCACTCAAGTAAGACTACCAACCTAGATTAAGAAATAGCAGCAGGGTGGAAAAAAAAAACGATGATTTAAAAAAAAAAAAAAAAAAAAAAAAAAATGCTTTTGGAGTAAAAATCTCTCTAAATATAGTTTTCTATTTTAAGGTACATTAATAATTTGGTTTATTCTGCATGAAATGGAACTTAGTTATGTAGCATGAGGCTGTGTATTCTGCAATATTTATATTTTTGGTAAACTCATTCAATTAATCCGGGGGTCTCCAAACTTTCTTAACAAAGGGCCAGTTTACTGTCCTTCAGACTTTTAGGGCCGCCAGACTGTGAGCTTTGGGAGTAGAAAATGTCCTGGTGTCAGAGGAAGTAGATGATGTCATTGATGGTATCAGTGGGAAGAATAGGGGCATTGAGCTCCATCTTTGGTGTAAGTAGTGCTTCATCGACAGTGTCAGTGGGAGGAATAGTGCCCCATCATTGGTGTCAGTGGGACGAATAGTGCCCCATCATTGGTGTCAGTGGGACGAATAGTGCCCCATCATTGGTATCAGTGGGAGGAATAGTGCCCCATCACTGGTATCAGTGGGAGGAATAGTGCCCCATCACTGGTGTCAGTGGGAGGAATAGTGCCCCAGCATTAGTATCAGTGGGAGGAATAGTGCCCCATCATTGGTATCAGTGGGAGGAATAGTGCCCCAGCATTAGTATCAGTGGGAGGAATAGTGCCCCATCATTGCTATTAGTGGGAAGAATAGTGCCCCATCATTGGTGTCAGTGGGAGGAATAGTGCCCCATCATTGGTATCAGTGGGAGGAATAGTGCCCCATCATTGGTATCAGTGGGAGGAATAGTGCCCCATCATTGGTATCAGTGGGAGGAATAGTGCCCCATCATTGGTATCAGTGGGAGGAATATTGCCCCATCATTGGTGTCAGTGGGAGGAATAGAGCCCCATCATTGGTATCAGTTGGAGGAATAGTGCCCCATCATTGGTATCAGTGGGAGGAATAGTGCCCCAGCATTAGTATCAGTGGGAGGAATAGTGCCCCATCATTGGTATAAATGGGAGGAATAGTGCCCCATCATTGGTATCAGTGGGAGGAATATTGCCCCATCATTGGTGTCAGTGGGAGGAATAGAGCCCCATCATTGGTATCAGTTGGAGGAATAGTGCCCCATCATTGGTATCAGTGGGAGGAATAGTGCCCCAGCATTAGTATCAGTGGGAGGAATAGTGCCCCATCATTGGTATAAATGGGAGGAATAGTGCCCCATCATTGATATCAGTGGGAGGAATAGTGCCCCATCATTGCTATTAGTGGGAAGAATAGTGCCCCATCATTGGTGTCAGTGGGAGGAATAGTGCCCCATCATTGGTGTCAGTGGGAGGAATAGTGCCCCATCATTGGTGTCAGTGGGAGGAATAGTGCCCCATCATTGGTGTCAGTGGGAGGAATAGTGCCCCATCATTGGTATCAGTGGGAGGAATAGTGCCCCATCATTGGTATCAGTGGGAGGAATATTGCCCCATCATTGGTGTCAGTGGGAGGAATAGAGCCCCATCATTGGTATCAGTGGGAGGAATAGTGCCCCATCATTGGTATCAGTGGGAGGAATAGTGCCCCATCATTGGTATCAGTGGGAGGAATAGTGCCCCATCATTGGTATCAGTTGGAGGAATAGTGCCCCATCATTGGTATCAGTGGGAGGAATAGTGCCCCATCATTGGTATCAGTGGGAGGAATAGTGCCCCATCATTGGTATCAGTGGGAGGAATAGTGCCCCATCATTGGTATCAGTGGGAGGAATAGTGTCCCAAGGGCCGGTTAAAGGCAAACACAGGGCCACATCAGGCCACTGGGCTGCAGTTTGGAGACCACTAAATTAATCCAAGCTCTGCAAGCTGAGATAACATTCACTGCATTTCTGCATTCACACAATTTCACAGTAACCATGAGAAAAAACATGAAATAAAAGAATTTTCGTAGTTCTCCAGCTATGTGTGATTAACCTAAAATTGGTTCTGATATCGCTGTTTTACTAACCTGACCGCTTATTATTCTAAAAAGGAAACCTTCATTTGGTTTGCAAATATTAAAGATTCTTAACTACCAGCAAGAATGAGTCGGATTCCTTACATTTAAAGAGCACCTGTCATTTTAGATCCATCATGGTAGCGCCTGTTAACGGGCATCCACTCACCTGCTGCCGCCATGTCCCTCAACTTGTTGTCACTGCCCGCATCACCAGCCGACCCATTAAAGTGAATGGGACTGTCGGTGAGTCAACAGCGGGTCAGAGGAGGAGTCGCTGTGGGACAGAGATGACAGTTGCTCTTTAAAAATTATGATTTAAATCAAGCCTTTTCACTTGTCATTTAAATCAAATCCACCCTGATAAGCATTTCACAATTAATTTTAGGTAAACCTTTTTTTACAAGTTTTATTAAAGTAGAAATAAAAGCAAAACTTTTTTTTTGGATAGACTTAAGGGAGGGTTACAACTCCGTACGGTTTATTCTTGCCATCTGTTTCCCATTTGGGAGATTTCCCTTCATTTCCTGTCCCATAGCCAAAGAGGAAGCTAGAGAATCCCTCTGAAGTGAAGAAATCCCTGGTGATTATCAGGGTCACCAGAAATTGTGTCCCCATTGGAAGATATCCTCACTGTTTCTGTTCTGGGTAGAACACAAAACCTTTTCAAGTTTGTTTTTAATTTCAGTGCTACCGGGGCATAGACAACAATAAAAACATGACGTCTTCTAATCCCTCTCTACTGTATCCAATAATAAAAAAAAAATAAAAAAAAAAGTTTTGCCTTTAGTTATACTTTAAAGCATATCATTTTATTGGTATTGATTGTGCTTTATTGCTCTTAATATTGAATGTGAATATATCTGTTTCATACATGTGACTCCTTTATTCACGTGGCAATCATACAAAAAGGCTGTACAATGCCGTTACTAGGATAAAGAATACCACATGATGTTCGGGTTTACTGAGCATACATTTTCAGTGAAACATACACTAAGTTATTTTAGTGCTCACAAATGCAATATATTACCCACATTTTTGGTAAAATATAAAGGATGTGGATGTGCCGAGTAAATGGATACCCATACGTGTGTCTGTGCCTTTTTGTAGTGGTGTTCATGGGCAGTGAAAAATACCCAGATGAGAATGGTTTTGATGCTTTCCTTAAGAAACACGGTGGCAGTGACAACGCCTCCACTGACTGCGAACGCACCATCTTCCAGTTTGATGTACAGAGGAAACATTTCAAAGAGGCATTGGACCGGTATGTTTCCTTTAATACTGCTTATTACAGTTCTGATAAAATGTTCAAATCATCTGTCCTTTTTTTTTTTTTTTTTTTTTTTTAATTTTACATGACAATCTCCACAATGTAGTATATTGAGTGCATACTTTCAGAGGAAAGCTTGTTAATGACTTGAGATGACACTTGCTCAATCAAGCTTCTGAAGCTAAACTGCAGGCAAACCGACCTAAACAGAAGTGAATTGCATGTATTATATGGGAGCCATCTTACCGAACAAAGAATTTGCATTTTTGTCCATCTAGTTATGAGATTTACACAGCCCCGTCACACTGCACAGACCTGTCTAGCAGGGCAGGCCACTTGATTGTTCACTCCAGTTCAGTGACACTTGGAAGCCTTTTCTCCACCACGTGACTGGACAGTGACAGAAGAAGCAACAGACTGATGAGCTCATCTTTGTCACTTTGCTATCTCCTCATTTCAGCATGCTCCTTGCACTGCTTTTCCCTCCCCCTGTCTGAGCTCTGGTTGTAAGAGGCTGATACCAAGCCAGATTCAGAAACGTACACCAATTGCAAAATAAAAAAATAATTGTATAGATCTGCTTTCATTTGTGTCTTTTTATATCTACTTGGAGTTCAAGTGGAGTTCCACCCAAAAGGGGAAAATCTGCTTTAAGGCCTTGTCCCCTGCTCCCCTTCAAGGATTGCCACCTTTAGTTGGGGGGGTTTACATGATTTTTGAATGTTTGCCCACTCACAAAGAAATGATCAGTCTAAGAATCGAATGGTAGGTGTATTGTAACACTGAGAGACAGAATAGCAACAAAAAATTCAAAAGAAATGCATGTCTAACAAATGATGCACTGATTTGCATGTTCATGAGGGAAATAAGTATTTGATCCCCTTCACAAAACATGACTTAGTACTTGGTGGCAAATCCCTTGTTGGCAGTCACAAAGGTCAGACGTTTCCTGTAGTTGGCCACCAGGTTTGCACACATCTCAGGAGGGATTTTGGCCCACTCCTCTTGGCAGATCCTCTCCCAAGTTTTTAAGGTTTGGTGGCTGACGTTTGGCAACTCGAACTTTCAGCTCCCTCCACAGATTTTCAATCGGATTAAGGTCTGGAGACTGGCTAGGCCACTCCAGGACCTTAATGTGCTTCTTCTTGAGCCACTCCTTTGTTGCCTTGGCCGTGTGTTTTGGGTCATTGTCATGCTGGAACACCCATCCACGACCCATTTTCAATGCCCTGGCTGAGGGAAGAAGATTCTCACCCAAGATTTGACGGTACATTTCCCCATCCATTGTCTCTTTGATGCGGTGCAGTTGTCCTGTCCCCTTAGCAGAAAAACCCCCCCAAAGCAGAATGTTTCCACCACCATGTTTGACAGTTGGGATGGTGTTCTTGGGGTCATAGGCAGCATTCCTCCTCCAAACACAACGAGCAAAGAGCTCGATTTTGGTCTCATGTCACCACAACACTTTCAACCAGTCCTCCTCTGCATCAGTCAGATGTTCAGTGGCAAACTTCAGACGGCCTGGACATGTGCTTTCTTGAGCAGAAGAACCTTGCGGGCACTGCAGGATTTCAGTCCTTGTCAGCGTAGTGTGTTACCAATTGTTTTCTTGGTGACTGTGGTCCCAGCTGCCCGGAGATCATTGACAAGATCCTCACATGTAGTTCTGAGATGATTCCTTGCTGTTCTCATGATCATTGACATTCCACGAGGTGAGACCTTGCATGGTGCATCAAACCTAGGGAGACTGACAGTTGTTTTGTGTTTCTTCCATTTGCGAATGATTGCACCAACTGTTGTCACCTTCTCACCAAGCTGCTTGGCGATAGTTTGGTAGCCCAGTCCAGCCTTGTGTAGGTCTACAATCTTGTCCTTGACATCCTTGGACAGCTCTTTGGTCTTTGCAATGGTGGAGAGTTTGGAATCTGATTGTTTGATTGCTCCTGTGGACAGGTGTCTTTTATACAGGTAACAAAATGAGATTAGCAGCACTCCCTTTAAGAAGACTGCTTCTAATCTCAGCTTGTTACCTGTATGAAAGACACCTGGTAGCTAGAAATCCTGCTGAATGAAAGGGGATCAAATACTTATTTCCCTCATGAACATGCAAATCAGTATATAATTTGTTAGAAATGCATTTCTTTTGCATTTTTTGTTGCTATTCTGTCTCAGTGTTACAATACACCTACTGTTCGATTTTTTTTACTGATCATTTCTATGTGAGTGGGCAAACATTCAAAATCAGCACGGGGTCAAATACTTATTTCCTTCACTGTATATACTGGAATTTTTATTTTTTATACTAGTAATGGAGGCAGTCAGCGACTTATAGTGGTACTGCGGCGGGCATTCTGACACTGGGTGGGAACTAGTTAGTTAGACATCCCAATGACACTAATACAGTGATCGGTGCTATAAAAAGCTCTGACACTGTACTAATGACACTGGGCAGGAAGGGGTTAACATCTGGAGCGATCAAAGGGTTAACTGTGTGCTGTTTACCATCATGTGCTGTGTGTGTGTTTTACTAGGCAAACATGCTGCTGTGCATTTCTCTGTTTTGCAGAGAAATACACAGCAGCATGTTCTTGCTGGCAGGCGAGAGACCTGTGGTGTTTACACACAAGTCTGTCCCCTGTCAGTGTTACTCGGCAATCACGAGGAATCTCTGGCCGGGACCCGGTGATTGACATCTTTAGCCGCTATATACGTGATTTTGCGCAGCCCTGCTGCCCTGTAGCAGTAATTCTGCTATAGGGTGGTGGGGAAGCTGTTAATGTTGCAAGAGATGTACATAAAAGTTATTGTTTAAATATTATTAATATAGCCGCTCCTTACTTCAGTTTCCTTTTTAAGTATGTCATTATTGAGACACTTCTATCCCCATGTTTCTTTTTTTTGGTCAGATGGGCACAGTTCTTCATAGCTCCACTGATGGTCCGGGATGCCATTGACCGGGAAGTGCAAGCTGTGGATAGTGGTGAGATTGGTTCTCTATTTTTTGCAATTGTCTGTCTTTTTTTTTTTTCCACCAGTAAGCTTGATATATACACAATAAAAACTTTGTGTATTATTACTTTAGAATATGAGCTTGCTCGGCCTTCAGACTCTAATCGTAAGGAGATGCTTTTTGGAAGTTTGGCAAAGCCTGGTCATCCAATGGGCAAATTCTTTTGGGGTGAGTGAGTTCAACTCCTTAATCATTCTCATATGGTGATGCACTTTTACTGCTAGCTATTTGTATTAGGAGGGATTTTATATACTTAATTTGAAATCCATGGAGGGTTTCAGGAAGTTTCAACCTCTTGTTTTCAGTATGTGCTTATTCTGCTTCCAGTGGTGAATTTCGTTGACTAGACTATGCTCCACAAGTGATATGCCACCTCCACCACTCACTTTGGTCTCTTACATGTAATCTGCACACACCTAACCTGCCTATACTGTTGCTTATGTTCAGTACTGTGTAAAAGTTTTAGGCAGGTGTGAAAAAATGCTGTAAATTACGAATGCTTTTGGAAATATAAACATGAATAGTTTTTTTATCCGTTAACAAAATGGAAAGTAAATGAACAGAAGAGAAATCCAAATTAAATCCATATTTGATGTGACAGGAGGCTGGCACTGTGGGCTGCGTGGAAGCAATCGGACGGCAGCACTGCTGCCCGAATGCTTCCACCTGACAGGTGAGCCCTGCTGCTTGCCCGTAGCAGGGCTAAAGGTAGAAAAAATCTACCTGCCCAATGCCCGGAACTACATGTCCTGGGCATCAGGCGATAGAAATTCAACATCCCTGTAGATAGCACAGTGCTACCTTTAGTGCTTTGCTTTCCATGGGGCTCTGCATACACATATGTACAATCAATGCTATTGTATTCTAGCAATTAAATTCATCCTTACTCTTCTAGAGCAGTTTGATGCAACTTTGGACAGCTATTTATGCGACAACTCTTTTTATCCTTGTGTTTTGTTTGCAGGAAATGCACAAACTCTGAAGTATGATCCTCAAGAAAAGAATATAGACACACATGCCCGCCTCAGGGAATTCTACAGAATGTACTACTCAGCCCATTATATGACTCTGGCTGTACAGTCTAATGGTATGTGCTGATAAAAGTATGACATATATTGTGCCATCTGATTGTACAATCTCCTTGAGACCAACTGATAACTATGTAATATAAAGACCTTTACGATTGCATACAAATTGATGGGATTAGATAGGTTTGTCCTAATAATACATAGTTTTGGTCAATATAAATTATTAACTGTATAGAGGGATCATACAATTAGATTGTAGTTTGTATGACCACCCTAAGGTAAGCTTATGAAGTAGAGAAGGTATAGTAATTGTTTGTTGTGATCTCTGTAGAGACCCTGGATACTCTAGAAGAATGGGTGCGAGAGATCTTCTGCAAAGTTCCATCCAAGTATGTATTGTCAGAAAAGAAGGGTGCTGGTGCTGTAACATTTTGTAAATGTCCTTGTTTGAAATGTGATTCCCTTATAACATTGGGATTAAGTAGTCAATACAGATATATGCTAATTGCAGGTATTAAATCAGAATTGTCCAACCAAAACTTTGACAACAGTTGTAATAGACAGGAAGGGAAGGTAAATATCTAGTGGCAACAAATACAGATCTTCTTCTTCCTCTTCCTCTTCCTCCTTCTTCCTCCTTTTTTTTTTTTTTTTTTTTTTTTTTAGTTGATTAGGGGGTGGATATATTGTTCTATCTGCTCCATCAGATTTTTCCCTCAATCCCTGTCTTGTAAAGTTGTAAAAAGCGCTGTGCAAACTGTTGGCAATATATAAATCCTGTATAATAATAACCATTGTCATTGTGACAGTAAGCAAGGGAAAATTCTCTTAACAGAGCCCCATACATTAAAGGCCTGACAGGTGTTTAATCCTTCCCCACACGTTTAAAAACACACACATACAATTTTGACTGGACATACATTAATTAGCACAGGTTTCATTGATATGCTGCTGCACCCTCACTGCCCAGCCAGCAAACTGAATGAGTGGAGGTGACCAGGACACAGAACTACGGCAACCTTTTTTTACACATCAGATGGGAAGCTTGTTGAACTGTGCAAATGAAGGATTCTTAAAAATGGGAGCAAGGAAGGGGATTTATCTAAGATACTAGATTGATTGTAAATTATTTGTTTTTGTTTTGTTTCTTAAATAACAAACATGTTATACTTACCTGCTCTGTGCATTTGTTTTGCACAGAGCAGCCCTGAACCTCCTCTTCTGGGGTCCCTCATCGACGCTATTGGTTTCTCCTCTTCTTTGTGTTCTATAGAGACACACCTATTGGCTCAATCCTGAGGCAGGCTGTGTGCGTCTATTGACACGCAGCGCTGCTCAACCTCCCTTCCCCTCCCTCCTCACTGGATTTTATTGAACTTGAATACATTCCAGGTGTATTTAAAAAAAAAAAAAAAAAAAAAAAAAAATTGTGCAAAATCTTCGGGCCTATTCACACACAATACTGGGGTGCTATTCACAGTCAATGGCACCACAGTGCACCAACACATGTAACCTGTGCTACTGTGTGCTGCAGTAATGCATATTTACAGCTCTTATAGTTCAGTTTCTTTAGAAAGCAGTCACAGCATACTAGCAGGACCTTCCACCTGGACTGTATTTAGCTGATTTAACTAATGGAGGTGAACTGTGAGACTTTGTGTGCCTTTAATTTTGATGCATCTGTAATGTAGTCCGACTGGGCTTTAAGAGCTTGTTTGCAGTTGAAGGATGGTAAAACAGGCAGTTAAGCCACAATTTTACCACCTACTTAAGCTGCAATAGCATCTGGATAGGGGTGTACACATACCACAGCCATGATGCTTTGTGGCGGGGTCAAAAATTAGCCACTACCCCCCTCTCAATTGGTAGGCGGTACCATCGCTGAACGCAACCTATTTAAGTGAATGTAACCACTCTTCAATTGTGTGTAATACATTTGCAGGGTTATCATCTCCTCACCATTTGTCAAACCCTCTGAAAAGCGATCCACAGCGGATTACACCTTGACTGTAATAATTTAACAGTTTCCCTTCAATGGCAATGCAGCCCGGGATACCAACAAGCTTGTACTATTTTGCATAACTTGCGTCTGCTCTTCATCTGAAAGTGGATCTAAAATTCATTCTTACATCTTTTTCTAGTAGTTGGGGCACAGGATATGGTTTTATTTAATAAAAGAAGTAATTAAAGTAGCACTTGTAATGTCTGCTGTCTGACATTTTTAGGTATTGCTTAAATTAAGTCTGCTGGAATTACTTACCATATTTTTCGCTCCATAAGACGCACCTAGGTTTTAGAGGCAGAAAACAGGAAAAAAAAAAAATTCTGAACTAATGGACTGCAGACATAGTACAGGAGATGACCAGAGACTGCGGACATAGTACACAGGAGATGACCAGAGACTGCAGACATAGTACAGGGGATGACCAGAGACTACGGACACAGGACAGGAGATGACCAGAGACTGCGGACACAGTACAGGGATGACCAGAGACTGTGGACAGTACAGGAGATGACCAGAGACTGCGGACACAGTACAGGAGATGACCAGAGACTGCGGACACAGTACAGGAGATGACCAGAGACTGCGGACATAGTACAGGAGATGACCAGAGACTGGGGACACAGTACAGGAGATGACCAGAGACTGCGGACATAGTACAGGAGATGACCAGAGACTGGGGACACAGTACAGGAGATGACCAGAGACTGCAGACATAGTACAGGAGATGACCAGAGACTGGGGACACAGTACAGGAGATGACCAGAGACTGCGGGACATAGTACAGGAGATGACCAGAGACTGGGGACACAGTACAGGAGATGACCAGAGACTGCGGACATAGTACAGGAGATGACCAGAGACTGCGGACATAGTACAGGAGATGACCAGAGACTGAGGACACAGTACAGGAGATGACCAGAGACTGCGGACACAGTACAGGAGATGACCAGAGACTGGGGACACAGTACAGGAGATGACCAGAGACTGGGGACACAGTACAGGAGATGACCAGAGACTGGGGACACAGTACAGGAGATGACCAGAGACTGGGGACACAGTACAGGAGATGACCAGAGACTGGGGACACAGTACAGGAGATGACCAGAGACTGGGGACAGTACAGGGATGACCAGAGACTGGGGACAGTACAGGGATGACCAGAGACTGCGGACACAGTACAGAAGATGACCAGAGACTGCGGACACAGTACAGAAGATGACCAGAGACTGCGGACACAGGACAGGAGATGACCAGAGACTGCGGACACAGTACAGGGATGACCAGAGACTGCGGACACAGTACAGGGATGACCAGAGACTGCGGACACAGTACAGAAGATGACCAGAGACTGCGGACACAGTACAGAAGATGACCAGAGACTGCGGACACAGTACAGAAGATGACCAGAGACTGCAGACATGGGACAGGAGATGACCAGAGACTGCGGACACGGTACAGGAGATGACTGCTGACCCTTGGGGAGGGGGGGGAGCGGGTACCTGAATTTGACAGGTATCCGCCCTTCCGCGGATTTGTACTTTGATCTTACCTGTTCCTCTATCCAGCCGTGCGCTGTCTACCTGGCTTCTGTAGTGCGGGTGCTCGGCGGACAGCCGGATGCCCAGTGCGCATGAACGAGAAGCGCTGTGCTTTGTGATTGGTCCGGTGGCTTCTGGGATCTGTCATGTGTCCCAGGTACCACCTTACCATTCACAAAGAGCACCGCTTCTTGTGCATGCGCACTTGGGACCTGGTTGTCACGCACACTACAGAAGCCGGGAAGACAGCGCGCCGCTGGATAGAGGAACAGGTAAGGTCCCACTGCAGAGCTGAGCGGCCGGCCCGGTATTCTGACACGGCGGCGGTGGAAATACCGGACCAGCCGCTCCATATTCGCTCCATAAGACGCACTGACATTTTCCCCCCTTTTTTGGGGGGGAAAAAGTGCGTCTTATGGAGCGAAAAATACGGTATATATAGTTTACGGTTTATCTAGTTTTTTCTGTACTACAGTGTTACATTATTCAGTGCTTAGGCCATATTCGTATGTTTTTGATTTACTTGATAACCTCTTTTTACCTTTCTTTTAGCGGCTTACAAAAGCCTGATTTTAGTTATCTGACAGAACCGTTTGACACCCCTGGCTTTAATTCCCTTTATCGAGGTAGGCATTGCTCATTTATGTGTGTGGGGTTTTTTTCTTTTTTCTTTCCAAATTCCAGCTCTAACCCATGTTACGGTGAGCACACTTACCTTTATAAAGCAAACGCCACTGAAATGCCAATTGCCTGTCTGTTTTTGTCTTCTATACTTTTTACTGACCAGAAACAAGCATGCAGTATGGAAAGTTTGAACTCCTGATCTGGGTGATTGTTCTGTCAGTGACTCTTAACGGGGGCAAGCAGCATTTTTAGGAGGAAAAAGTCAGCAATGGCAGCCCCCTTCGCTTTCCTTTTTAAAAGTACACTGTCTATTGATGGTTAATTTGACACTGTTGTGTTTATTGATTAACATATGCTTTAGTTGCTGGAATGATTGTGACACCTTTTTTGTAACAGATTTGAAGCTGTATGTAAAAGCAAAAAGCAAAGTGATACTAAAGTCTTGTGTTTTTGTTTTGCAATAAATATTGCCCAGAAAGGTCACCTACCTCTATGACAGCGCCTGCCAGCGCTGTCTGCACCTTCGTCTTTTTGAGTGCGTCCTGTAGCAAGGAGGCATGCATGTATGCACCCAGTCCGGGCTGTGTGCATCTATAGACACACGTGGTGCTGGTAAGCAATGCTTCTCCCTCCTCACAGGGCCTGATAGCAGCAGGAGCCTATGGCTGCACTGTATTCAGTTTCTGTACTTGGGAAGTGAGGAGAGTGGAGCCAGAGACGCTGGAGCGGTGACATGGCACGAGGCAAGTTGTTAGGGAATGGGTGGAGGGGATTGGGACTGGTTTTTTAACTTGAAGAGAATGCATTAGGGGAAAAACATTTCAACTTTAGAACCAATTCAACCCCTTAAAGACACAGTAACACATATGCGGCATCCAGGAGGTGGGCTTTAAACGTGGGTGCTGCATATATGTGTTCTTGTGTTTGCACTGGGAGCGTGCCCCGCACCGCACTCCCAGCACACAGACTGTACACACAGAGAGCCCCTACTTGCTGTGGTATCCTCTGATAGGCTTTCACACTGATCAGTCACTTTGCAGCCCGCCCATGTGTGTTTCTGTTCTGAATGGAGAGAAAGATACATTGTATCCTCCTTGTTTCAGGGGAGAAAGATGTAAACGAATGTGTTAAAGAAAAATGAGAAAAACAAGAAAAACTATCTAGCTAAAGGCTTAATCTAGGTTAGTGTTAAGGTCAAGGGAAGGGGCAAAGGTCAGGGTCACTATATTTTGGGTAGGGTTTAAAAAAAAAAAAAAAAAAAAAAAATGGCCTTTTTTTAAATGGGTGTCAGTATGTTTTAGGTAGGATTAAAAAAACCAAAAAAAAAAAAACACACAAAATGTGCACTATTGTTTATGGGTCCTACTAGAGGTACATACAACAAATAACGTACACGTGGTAATGCTGCGATTGTCAGCAGGATAATTTATTTTATTTATTTCAGGTACTTATATAGCGCTGTCAATTTACGCAGCGCTTTACATATATATTGTACAGTCACATCAGTCCCTAACCCTCAAGGGGCGTACAATCTAAGGTCCCTAACTTACATTCATATACAAGGGCCAATTTAGACAGGATCCAATTAACCTACCAGCATGTCTTTGGAGTGTAGGAGGAAACCAGAGTACCCGGAAGAAACCCACGCAGGCACAGGGAGAACATGCAAACTCCAGGCAGGAGGTGCAGTGGTTGGGATTCGAACCAACGACCCTAGTATTGCCAGGCGCAAGTGCTAACCATTTAGCCACTGTGCTGCCAGCATTTTGGATTGGTTTTGGTGGTAGGCTATGCTAGTTGCAAGAAATATACAGCTACATTTAAAAAAAATATATATATATTTTTTTTTTTTCTTACTATTTTGGCCCAGTTTTCTTTTGATAATAAAAAAAAAAATCAGGAGATACTCATTACAATTTGCTACCAAATGATAGTGAGCAAAAGGCAATTTATCCTGGAAAAAAAAAGTATAATCCACCTGGATACACAAAGTAGTTGTGATGATATATGTAACACATGTCAAAGTTGCAAAATTGGCTCTGGGGTTAAGGTTTGTTTTACCCTGGGTCATGAGGGGGTTAAGGTACAAGTATAGACAAAACCTTTTTTTTTTTTTTTTTTTTTTTTTTCGTTTTAGCGAGAGCAAGCGAGGGTTATAACCCCTGTTAAGATTTTTTTTTTTTCCCCATCGGCGTCCTATTGCAGAGATTTTACTTCACTTCCTTCCTAATAGCCATACAGGAAGTGAGAGGAAATCCCTGCAAATCAAGGGAATTTCTTGGGGACCCCCCGGTCACCAAATCTAGTGTTCCCATTGGAATATTTCCCCTCTATGACAAACCAAATTTGGAATTTTTCTTTTACTTTCAATGATAATGGTAAGCAGGGCAAATAGAGCAGGTGAATCTCCTTAATGGGGGCTCAGACAGCAATAAAAATGTTAAGGGGTTCTAATTCCTCTCCGCTCTATCCTAAACTGAAAAAAAAAAAGTTTTGCTGTCAGTTATACAATAAAACCACTTATTCTGGCTTCCTTCCCTCCTATGCATTTTTTCCTTGCTGAGTTTTCCATTGAAATCATAGGTGGTTGAGCAAAACTATTATTTTTCTCCTCATATTTTGGTAGCACTCTAGTGTCACATGATCTTTTTTTGATTTTTTTTTTTTTTTTTTTAGGCTCCATGCACACTAAGCTAAAAAAAATGCTGGTAATAGCATTTTAGGAGTGTTAAAAAGTGTTTAGAAGCATTAGCATTTTATTAGCGGTTTTACATTACATGTAGGGAAAAAACTAGAAGAAAGCTGTTAGGAGCATTTTAGTAGCATTTAGGAGCGTTTAGCGTATTTTTGTACTGGGAAAAATGCTCCCAAAAACTTTGCAAAAACAATTTTTTTCTGCTGCTAAACGCTAAAGCTTTAAAAACACTACTAGCCTAAAATAGTGTGCATGGACACATAGTATAACGCCAATTTAGCTTCAAGGAGCAGAAAAAAAAATGCTGATAGCAGCTTCTAGGAGTTTTTAAAAATATGCAAGTGTGTATGGAGCCTCAAACTATCTTGACCGCAGCAATAAAGTGCTTTTTTTTTTTTTTCTCTTCTCTTTGCAGTTGTCCCAATTAAAAAGGTTCATGCTTTGACTATAACATGGGCCCTTACTCCCCAGGAAAAGTTTTACAAGTGAGTACTGCCATGTTAGCTCTGTTGGTTGTCCAGGATTCAACCATTGACGGTTATCTGTTGGAGATCAAGTTGTATCATTCTATATTCTGTTGATCCAAGTTTTCTCTTTACGTTTTTTAATAAAACACATTAACTAACGCTTTCAATTCCAGGGTGAAACCTCTTCACTACATTTCTTGGCTTATTGGTCATGAGGGCAAAGGCAGTATTCTCTCTTTGCTGCGTAAGAAGTAAGTGAAACTTGTCCTGTTTCTGGCTTGTGTGTCCTATATGAACGAACAGAGACGTTAGCAATGTACCGACCGTGGATTGTCAGTAATTGGACGTGTGTGTTGCTGTTGGGTGCAGAGAATTGTGGTTTTATTATCTGGAATTACAAAGTGGCAGAGGAGCAGAACGGCAGGTTAACCTGATACAGCCAACTTACTCATATACTGAAGCCGTGAAAGAACACGAGATCCTCCATAGTGCAACACTATTCACAGTGTAAATCTCATACAGAATACACCCATAGCATGTGGTGTGACTGCCTGTTACTGCTATATCAAATGTGAGGGTTTTACTTGGCGTTTTTCACCCATTTACACTGTGAATACATAGTGTTGCACTATGGAGGATCTCTTGTGTTCTTTCAGGGCTTCAATATGATCTGAGTAAGTTGGCTGTATCACACTAACCTGCCTGTGGAAGGAGAACCCTTGCTGTGTGCGAGCCACTAGTGAGGGTCTGTGGAGTCAGTGGAGTCCTTTATGGTGTGGAGCTATTACCTGTGAAGGATCCAGGGTGATCCGAAAGGCGTGTTGGCCCATTGGGTCGCATTAAGGAGGTGAGGGGGCATTTCTGCCACTGAAGGATACCTATTGGCTTATTTTGCACATGCACCGTATGTGGAACTGGAAGTGGAGCAGCGGCCATTTTAGAAAGTGGCAAGGAGTATTTCAAACAGCCTGGACGGTCCCTGGATGGTGGAAAGGTTTGAAATACCTGTTTTAAGGCGTTTTAAAGGCGATGTTAATGTGAGCGTTTTGATTAAAGCTATTATATGGTGTTTTTGGCAGTAATACACTATTTCTCATATATGGGCATCTTGGTGTGAGGAGGTGTATGGAATACTGTTGCTGATGGACCCAGGTGTCATTGTGAGATTGTGGTAGCCTTGAGGATCTCTCCAGGAGGGCTATCTTACCATCCTGGTGTATCTGGATGGCAATGAGGCGAGATAGTTATTGATTATTGGTAAGGGTATTCACTCCTTACTTGAATTAGAAGTGCACACTGTTTTTGCTTGATTTTTTTGTCACTTATGAGTGACTCACGAACACGTTTTTTCACTAATTTTTCACTGAAAAGGGGTCACTTGTGTGGTACACAGTTGAGTGAATTCACACACTGTTCTTAAGATTATTATATTCAAGGATAATGCACTATGTATAATTTCTTTTCCTTTGAGGTAACACTGGTCGTGGAAGCCGTTGGGAGGCTCAGATAATTTGGACATTTTGTGAAATCACCTTTATTACACTGGAGGGACATCTGTGTGGTTTATTTAATTTGGATTTAAATTTTGGACTTTAAACTTCATTTTTAATTTACTTGGTGGGGTTTACCTATTTTATTTTTGGCATACATTAATTTATGTGTTTGTTATTTTTAGGGATTCTAGCACTTGTCACTTTGATACTTAGTTTTATCCCTCATTTTGGGATTCACTTTGCAAGTCATTTTGTTTGTGCGTGAACATCCCATTTATGATTGGGTGTTTTTCACATTATATTTGGGTCCAACATTTGGGACCTAGTTGATGTATTCACTATTATCACAATTTGGGACACTTATCAATATGGTTTAGATCTCTGGAGGATCTATCACTTATTTATTCATTTATGTATTTTATTATTTTTTTGCATGTTATTTGTTCATATATTGATGGTCTTTAGCGCTACACCATTTATACATTTTTAATTTTTTGTGTCACATAGGTATAGGACAGGGTGTCAGCTGCGTTTTGTTATATAGGTTTCCATTAAGCGCAGGGGGATTTCACTTCTGTTTTGAAGCTAAGCAGTCTACTTTCATGTCTGTAAGTTGCATACCCAACAACCCCAGTAGAAAAGCTACAAAGGGATATAATGTGTTCTCATTTACTCAGCAGAGCTAAGCAAACAGCAGGAAGTCATTTTAGTATACAAGAATTTGTGCATTAAAGGAATACATTTTATGCAGGTGATAATTAGGGCTGAGGTTGGTAAGCGAGAGTGCGGCAGATGTAATTGTTGAAATACTTTGTTTTTTGTGGATGCTGGAGGGCTAAAAAAGGGGAAATGGCATGATCTACATAAGAGTGGGGAGGAACTTGCTTCTGGTGGTTGTAGAACCAGATGGAGAAAGCAATAAGACTGTTAATGCATGTTTCACTATTGGAATGCTGTTTAGATTATGCAGATGAGGGCATTTTGATCAGGCAGTATCCTCTATTCTGTTTGCTTCTCTATTTCAGGTGTTGGGCTCTGGCTCTGTTTGGAGGTAACAGTGAGACTGGGTTTGAGCAGAACACAACATATTCAGTCTTCAGCATTTCCATAACATTGACAGATGCAGGATATGAACACTTCTATGAGGTATGATCTAAAACTAGAGCCATGTGCAAAACATTTAAATGTGGACACCTTTTAGTGTCTGTTTTTCCTACATTTTTCTTTTTCTTTTTTTTTTAATTTATAAAGCTGACTGTAGTTGTATTGAAATTCTTCCAGTTCAGTAGGGCCCGGACAAAATTTAATTAGTCCATGACCGTCCCACTAGAGAGAAGTCAATCTAACAATTGTCTTCGTTTGAACAGGAATGTTAGAAAATGTTCATTTGATCAGTGCTTGCAGTCAATTGCATCACTGATCAGTGTATTCTGACAGTGGAGGAGTCACGCTACCAGGATAAAGTAGCGCAGCAAGGAGGATACCTTCATCTACCTCGCTTGTGTGGATCGGAGAAACGCTTTACTTTTTTTTTTTTTTTTTTTTTTTTTCCTCCTGATCATGTGGCTGGCTGATCAAAGAAAAAAAAAAAAAGATCCATCTGTTGCCAGTTATAGATTTTTCTTTGTTATCTTTAAACCATTTTGATCTTTTTCAACTTTTTTTGTGGTTTAGGCTCCTTTCATACTAGTACGTTTTCAGATGCGACTTAAAGTGGAGCTCCAGTCTCCTGTTAAAAAAATAAGTCAGCAGCTACAAAAACTGTAGCTGCTGACTTGTGAAAACGGCTACTCATCTGTTCCTTGATCCAGTGGTGTGCACCCCACAGTTGGGTTCACTGGCCGTCCTCTGTCCCCAGTGCCAGTACTCTTCTGTGACAGCTTGCAGCTTCACAGCTTGGTACCCATTGCGCATGCGTAGCAGTGCTGCTCATTGTGAATGGTCCTGTAGTCTCCTGAAACCTGTCACATGTCCCAGAAGACTGCAGTGGGGGGGGGGGGTGATCATCTAGGGCCCAGGGTGTCAAACTGGCGGCCCTCCAGCTGTTCCGAAACTACAAGTCCCATCATACCTCTACCTTTGGGAGTCATGCTTGTAACTGTCAATCTTGCAATGCTTCATGGGACTTGTAGTTTGGCAACAGCTGGAGGGCCGCCAGTTTGACACCTGTGATCTAAGCGGTCAGAGCGGAGGTGGGTACCTGTCAAAATTGGGTACCCGCTCCCCAAAGGTGCAAATTCTTAACTGGGAGAGGGGACAAGTCCTTAAAGCTGAACTTCCCCTTTGTCGGACAAAATTGCATGACAGTGGAAATTACTTTTGTTTTCAAAGGTGCCCTTTTGCATCAATGCAGCTCAGCCCAGTGCAATTTTGGAAAAGGTTCCTGTAATACTATGGTGCGATTTTTGCCAGATAGAATGTGCAAACCACACCCAACTTATAACCATGTTGCATAACATAGTCATACTAAAAATTGGGTTGAAATAGTGTGAATTTAGCCTTACTGTCATACTTGAAGGGTCGCTCTTTATATCTTGGTGTTTGATGTAGATTTTCTTTGTTGGCTGTGCATATCTAAACTTGTCTAGTATAAAACTATTTGGATGCGACAACCGCATGGCTAATATGGATCTAATGTTTTTTGTCTTTGTAAATCATTTCTTAGGTTACTCACATTGTGTTCCAGTATATCAAAATGTTGCAACAGCTGGGTCCACAAGAAAGGTGATTATTTGAACAAAAATTGAATGTGAAGGAAAAACAATCAGTGAAACTGTGTTGAATCCTAAATGTTTATATTTTCAGAATTTTCCAGGAAATTCAGAAAATAGAGGCCAATGAGTTTCAATATCAGGAACAGGTACACTTTCCAATGCAATAATATGGACAATTATGTGTTGTTGGTTTTATATGGAAGTGAGCCTGCTGTGAATGTGTTTTTAAAAAAAAAAAAATACAAATCAGCCCCAGTGCAAGAATGTGATGCATATATGTACCTTTAGTTTCCTCCAGACTGTTGTCCAGGAACTTGCAAGCTCAGCCCAATCTATAGCAAGGGCTGAAGACTGATGCAACCCTTTAGGAGTGTTTGTAAGCCACCTCCTTCCAGCTTCTTACTGTCCTCCACATTGGATAGCAGAACAATAAGGGGGTATACAAAAGTCAGGGAAGTTGAGGATCTGGATGTGTAGCTGTGTCTTGTGGTGCCTCTATATCTATTGGAATTTACCATCTTTTATAGGCGTTTAATCTTTTACTCTCAAATTTAAAAAATTCAAAAGCTCAGCTGAGGGTTGGCATGAGCAGGCAGATGTGTGATTTTGACTTGCATGTCCCCATTATACCAGTACTCTGGCACTTTCTGGGGTTTGCTGTAGGACCACTGATTTAACAGTTTGTGGCCCTGACATTCGGCCTAAAGTCACCACCTTAGGTGTTCACAAAGATCTTAGCTTCAGCGTTGGCCTGTTGTGATCTTGTGGCATCCCGATTTTGGGACACTTGGTCAACCTCCTGTTGAGAGAACAGAGAAGGGCAGATGACAAGGGCTCTGGGTTAGACAATGTATCTCTGGCTTCCAGATGTTAAAGTGGTTTGAGTGGATCTAAACATTCAAAAATTGTTGCTCAGACCAACTCATCGCTTGCAGTATCTGGGTCTGGTCCTGGACACATTTCAGGCCAGAGTCTCCAAGAGAAGCTTCACATTCTTCTGTCTTATGTGCAGACCCTTCAGTTCAGAAGCTGTCTGCTTCTGCAGAAGATTCTTAGAGATGACGGTATCCTCCTTTGAGTCAGTCACCTCTGCCCAATTTCACTCCGGACCTCTGCTACGCAGTGTCTAGACTGTGTCTCAGTCTAGACCAGGCTATTTTTGACTATCTGGCTTTTAGGGTTGGGTTAAGTCCTTTTTTTTTTAAAAAAAAACCATAGTTTCTGAAAGATTCTCACGGAGGACATCAGCTTCTTGGGCTGGAGAGAAGTACTGGGCACCCCGTTGTTGCAGAGTTGTCAAAGGAGCCTTGTCTCATGATAAACATCCTGGCACTTTGGGTGATTGAACAGTTCCTTCAGAGTTGGACCAACTTGTTAGAGGGCCATTCGATCCTGTTTCAGCCAGACAACACCACGGTAGTTGCGTGCATCAACCTTCAGGGAGGTACTAGAAGTCTTGCTTCAGCAGGAGCGGTAGAACGCATCCTGTCCTGGGCACAACTTCACATTCCACAGTTGTGAGCTCCTACATTCCAGGCAGGGACAAATGGCAGGCAGACTTTGTCAGTTGGAGGTGCCTGGACCCGGGAGAGTGGTTTCTTTATTTTTTTTTATCCAGGTGCAATTAACCTCTAACAGAAATGGTGGATGTTCTGGAGGCTCTGTGGGTTCAGTACATCTTGATTTATGCTTTCCTCTCCTGAAACTTCTTCCTAGCATGCTACACAGGATTGATATGGAGGGTGTTCTGGTGATCCTCATTGCTCCAGATTGACCTAGGCAGATGTGGTATGCCTACCTAGCAGACGCACTGTGGCAGTTATCAGTCCATCTGGACCTACACTCCTAAAGACTGACTACCATCCTTCTTCTTGGTTGCTGGCCATAATGGCATGGCTGTTGAAGTTCAGGTTTGCAGGGACAGGGTTGTCTGAATCTGTGATTCCTCCTCGTCTCGGGTTCCCCACCGACACTCCTTTCTCCTCCTCCTTCACCAGTGCCACCAAAAGCAAGCCACAGTGGGGGCACTGGTGCATTTTTGCTGCCGAGCCCAGCATTATGTGTCCATAAGGCACATTGAGCTGTGGCTCGCCCCCACTCTCATCATTGGCTCACTGGCTGTGATTGTCAGCAGTGGGACCAATGACTCCTGCCTCTGCCAATGAGGAGAGGGATTCCCGGGACAGCCAAGGCTGTCATTCGTGCACATCGCTGGATCGAGAGGGGGCTCAGGTGAGTATTAGTGGGGCTGTGGTAGGAGCAGCACACAGAATGGTCTTTAGCTTAATGCATAGAATGCATGAAGGTAAAAAAAAATAAAACTTCTGCCTTTACTACCCCTTTTTAAGACTAGAAAGTCCACTTCCCTGAGGCTCCTATCATTGGATGGGGAAGGTTTGCTTCACTTGGTTTAAGTCTAAGGACTTTTATCCTGGGAATTTCCTCACAAGGTGAATCTCGTCCTTCCTGCAGTTGGGTCTAGACCAGCATTTTTCTCTCAGCACCATCAAGTCTCTAACATGTCTGTATTTATTAAGTTTGGCAAGGACCATTGGTCTCTGTGAGTATGATATGACTCTCTTTCTACTTTAGAAGAGGAGTTAAAGCCCTTTCTGCACTTTAGGAGAGGAGTCTGATATGACTGGTTCTTTCCCACTTTAGAAGATGAGTATGATATGACTGGTTCTTTCTGCACTTTAGAAGATGATCTTTGAACACATTATGGACATTCCTCTCTATTCTCACCCACAAGATTGCTTTCTTAGTACCTATCACCTCTGCAAGCAAGTGTCTGAACTAGAACCCTCATCTTGCAAAGAATCGTTTTTGGCCTTGCATAGGGACAAGGAAGTATTAATGCCCAGAATTTCCTTTTAAATCAAATTAGTCTGCCTTTCATCTTTACAACAACATTGTTCTTCTATCCTTTGTGTGGCTCTGGTTCATCAAAAGAAAATTCCACTCTATTGTCTTGATGGGGTTCAGGCTGTGCAAATATACCTCTCAGACACAGCTTCTTCCAGAAAGACTGATTGCCTATCATTCTGGATAGCCCCAAATAGGGCACCCCAGCTTCTTTTTTTTTTTTTTTTTTTCATCAGCTCTAGGTGGCTCAGACAGACCATTGTTCAAGCTCATAGTCTTTAGGATAGTTTTCCTCCCTTTCCTGTTACAGCTCATTCTTCTAGGCCCAGGAGTGTTTTTTTGGGCTTTACAGTATCGGCATCTATTTACAAATTTTGTAAGACTGCCGCTTCTTTTTTTCTGTTCTAAGTTATACCATTTGGACTTATCTGCTTCATCTGATGCCATCAGTGGGTGTTAGGTTCTTCAGACAGCTCTTTGAGCTGGAAGCAGTACTCGGCTTTCTGTTATCACTTTGGGCATTAGCAGTTGTTGTGTTGCTCACCCCTCACTTGGACTGTTTTTGGATGTCCTGAAGGTTCCCATTTTTCTGTGTTTATGTTCTTATGTCCTTCGTACTGATTTACTATAAAACTCAGGAATGCTGGCAATAGAATGGTTATCCTGGGCTGGCCTACAATTTTCTTGTTTACCAGTGTCCTGTCTTGTTTAGGTGCCAATACCACCCAAATTGTAAATTCCTCCTGTGTCCTTCAATGGACTTCATAAAAAGGGTTTTATGTTGAGTGCAAAAAATCATATCGTGTATCTCAAAGGCAACCATGTGTTGAGTGGCCAGCTTAACATTTTTAATAAGACCGTGTCTTGTATTGGAAAAGTCAGTCAAAAGCTAGTAACCAGGAAATTATGTACATTAAAAGCAATGTTCTTTTTTTTTTTTTAATCATCTGTTTAGACCGATCCCATTGAATTTGTAGAGAATATTTGTGAAAATATGCAACTATTTCCCAAAGAGGATTTCCTGACTGGAGACCAGCTGCTCTTTGAATACCACCCTGATGTAAGTGTTTTCAACAGAAATCGCTAATTTCTTACGTAATGTTTAACAGGTCAATGCATTTTTATATTTTTAAAGCTTCAATTGTTATTAAAATAATAGCTGGTGATCCTACCATGAAAGTCCCTGTGTATGCACCTCCTGTTATAGGGTGACAGTGGTCTGCCTCCCAGTCGTTCTCCTGCTTTGTCACCCTATCATTTGCTCTCTGTGTAGACTATGAGCAGCCATTCTGACACACTTTGCATGGCAATGTTCCACTGTTGTCATCACCAGGAAGCCTGCCCTGAGAAATGTATATGCAGCTATTGTTGGCGTGCATGTGGACAGAAGGTGGCTGCAGAGAGGTTGCAGGAGATCAGTAGTGGTGAGAAGCAAAAAGGGTCAAAGCAGAACTGTTATAAAGACAAAAACATGACAATTGTTTGATGCATGGTGCTTTAAATGTTTTATTTAGGGCTTTTTTTTTGTATGTTTAAGGTGGTAGGTTGTTACTTAACCCAGGACCCTGCATTCACTATATCTGGTCTCCCACAGTTCACACAACATGGAAATGCAATTATTTTATTAATTATAAAATCTGCTAAATACCTTTTCTTATCAATAGTATATAGCAGACTTGTGACTTCTACCAGTGTCTGGCTGGCCACTGGTTGAAGCTTGTAGGAGGAACTTTTGATGCATTTTTTCTTCTCTGACTGTCTATGAGGCTGCATAACCCCTGACCCTCTGTTTGGACAGTGCTGATTGACCCTGTGCCAACCACCACCAAAAAAAAAAAACAAAAAAAAACCTCCCTAGCAATGCACACCAAATTGAGCACGAGCAGAGTGCCTGCTAGGGCTCTGTACTATCAGCAGATTGACAGGGGACAGTAAAAGGGGAGGATCAGAGAAGACAGGATCAAACCGCTTTTTTTACACAATGTGGAGGATTAACCCCTTAGGTTCCACAGTTCATATAACAATAATGCTTTACTGAATATACAGACTGATTTTACTGTTGTATGTTTAGAAACACTTTAAGTTTTTAGTTTTTTATTTAAGTAGTGTATTTATAAATGTTTTCAAACAAGATTCTTGCAATGTTTTTAATATTTTTCGAATTGAATTTTCCAGAAACCGTTTAAAATGACACATAGATTCAAGTGGTTAAGAAACACTTGAGTTTTTACCTTAAAGTATTACTAAACCCACAACAGTAAAATCAGTCTGTGTATGCAGTAAAGCATGCTTGTTATACTCACTGTGGAACCTAAGGGGTTAATTATCTGCATTGTGTAAAAGGGCTGTTTGATCCTGTCTTTTCTGATCCTCCCTTCTTCCAGTGTCCCCCTCTTATCTCCTGATAAGACATATCATGTTGAGTCACTCTGCACTCAGTTTAATGTGTATTGCTAGAGAGGCTTTTTTTTTTTTCTTTTTTTTTTGGGAGAGTGCATGTGATCAGCACAGGGCCAGTCAGCACTGTCCAGACAGAGGGTCAGGGGTCCTGCATCCTCCTAGAGCAAAATAAAAACCCCTCCTACAAGCTTCGACATGTGCTTGGCTGGACACTGATAGAAGTCACAAGACTGCTCTAACTGCTGATGAGAAAAGGTATTTTGCAATTTATAGTTTCCAAAATAATTGCACATCCATGTTGTGTGTACTGTGGGAGACCAGATATAGTGAATTCAGGTTCCTGGTTTAGTAGCACTTTAATTTCAATTTAAAAAGGCGGGCACTCAGAATGAGCAGTGCTGGGTTCCCAGTGATTAAAACGGCTTACTGGAGTTTGGTTAAATTTTTATTTTTGGAAGTTTCTGCTTATATAGCTTTGCATAGTGAGAACAAATTGTTAGCTTTTATGTGGCAGTTTTTTAGATGATTGCTTGAACAAAGAGAATTTGTATCTTTTTCCATAGTAGAGCTTGCACTTCTACTAGGTCTGACGGCACATGTCAAGAAGAGGGCTGTATGCAAATCATATGTTCAGTGAATTTCTTTTGATGATAGTGGGCTCTGGCTGTAGGTAAAAAGCAGATGACTTCTAATACCTACTTCTTGGTGCATTCAGGTAATTGCAGATGCTCTTCGAGGCCTTACTCCTGACAAAGCAAACCTGCTGCTTCTTTCTCCTGCCAATGAGGGCAAGTGTGACCTGAAGGAGAAGTGGTTTGGCACTCAGTACAGTGTTGAAGGTAATAATACATGGAGGTCATGTTGAAAAACTTTACCACATTCACTATATACTTTCCATAATCCTGGGCATCTGCTTGTATTGACTTTCATTATTTTGTTTCCAGATATCAGTGCACAATGGAACGATCTGTGGGCTACCGACTTCCCATTAAATGCAGACCTTCACCTTCCAGCAGCAGAAACAAGTTCATTGGTTAGTGTGCAGTGAATGAACTCCTTGACCTTGCGGATTAAAGAAATCTATGATTATGCTGCCCTGTGCTTGCTGTAACTGTCCTGTGCTAGTGCAGTCTGAAAATGAGACATCCCACCCATTAATATGGACAACATCACGATGTCTAATTTTGCTCTTGAAAAATGTATTCTTAGTTTACTTTGTCATTCATTAAAAGCTCTTCTTGGATGAATTGTGTGTATATATAGGCTACAGGCTATGTTTACCTAGCTGTGTAACATCACATTGCACACAACGGGGTGTTGTCATTGGGCAGCACAACTACGTGACTGTGTCGACCAATGACAATCTCCTATGAGCCTTCTATTTTTCTAAGGAGTCTTGCTAGAAGGAAGAAAAGCTGATCACTGGTTAGCATGGTCACGTGGTTGTGCTGACAGATGACCGCTCCCCATTGCGTGCACGGTGACGGTACACAACCTCCAAGTTCTCAAGTTTTCGAACTGATGCGCCGGCTGACGTGGGTGGTGGGAAAAGATGATCGCGCTAGATAAGGGCAGTAGGGACTGAGGGGTTGGGAGGGTGCTTTGAGCTAGTTCAAAGTTTCATTTTTTAATGAAAAAATAAATAAAATAATGTACAAGTTCAGTAGTTGTTAAACATCCCATCGGTCCCCTTTCATAACTCCCTCAATACAGTAAACTATAAAACCAACCTCCTGCAGATCCTTATTTACCTGTCCTGATGGCTGCAGCCTCCTGAGCTGTTTTTGCATAAAGGCCACATAGGCTTAAAGGGTAATTTCACTTTTGTAAAATATTGCAAAAAAAAAAAAAACCACATGCAATTTATATTTTTTTTTCAATCTGCAGTGCTGTAATTTTCTTTAAAATTCAGTGCAATGTGGCAACCTGAGGGCATTCACTACATAGATCTTGTACAGAACGCCTCCAGAGATGTTATTGTCTGCTTGTGTGATTTGGATCACTGATTTTTCCAGAAGTCTGCACTAAGATACAAGTCAGAATTTAGGCATCCTCTGCGACAAGAATTTCAGTTTTGATGTGATACTCCTAAAGAGTTAAGCATTTCTAAAGGAACATCAAAAAATGTAAAAGCGAGCGCATATATATAAGAAGCAAATATTCCAAGTAGCTGCTAGCACTATAGGGCATAGTGAACAATCCCAATAGATGTTTTCAAAATATATGAAAGTGCAGCGCTGTGATATATATGAATAAATAAAATCTATTTAAATCATTCAGGGGCTTACCCCTGAGGACGTGCTGTCACACGAAACGCGTTGGGTGGAGCCTTCATTGCTGATGTCACACCGTCGTCTTCTGGGCAAGGAGCGGTGGCCATTTTGGTACCTTATTATTCTTTTCCACATGGATTGCTTTGATATATGTATACCAACAAACAGGGTGGATTTGATTTAAATCAAACTGATTTAAATCACGATTTAAATCACTAGTCAGTAAGGCTTGATTTAAATCCTAGTTTTCTACATAAAGACTAATTCTTGCTGGTATAACTTTAATATGCAAGTAGATGAAGGTTTTTAGAATAACAACTTTTCATATTAGTTTTTTTTATCCCCAGTTTAATAGGTTAATCATTCATATTTGGACAACTTTTCTGTTGTACTTAGGAAGGAGAAAAATAATCATTACCTTAATAATAACAATTTAAATAGATTTATTCAACTGAAACAATAACATTACAGCATATGTTATTTGCTTAAACAAACATCCATGTTTGTTCGCTAATTTGGCTAAACAAAATATATATATTTTAAGAAACTTAGACTGTCAGCCCCTTCCTCCTCACACTTATTTCACTTTCTTCTTGTACAGATCTATTCCACTCCAAACAATCAGAAAAATATTGTTTCTATTCTATTCACTGAACTTCTTGAAACTTAGCACTGAAGGGGTTGATTCTGTATTCATAGGTTTGTAGAAGTTAGGATTAAGGTCTTTTTTCTTAACTCTGTTCATGTTATAACATTTGTGCTGTGAAGAAGAGGCATGTGATCTCCGCTGAGTCAAATTCAGTTTTGAGAACTACAAAAGTAAACCAAGCATCTGTGATAATATCTTGTAGGCAGAGAAACTGCCCAATAATCTTACAAAAACCTCTGGAAGAGCATGACATTGTGAATGGATTCATGGAATTTATTTACCAAACAAATTAAACCTATACAGCCTTATTCTACATAATTAAAAAACTAATCTTTATTTCATGATGGAATAACCTTTGGATGGTAATATATTTTCCTCAAAAAGCATTTTATTTAAAAAAATCCGATTTAAATAAAAAAAATCCGATTTAAATAAAAAAAATCAGATTTTTTTTTTGATTTTTTAAAAAAAAAAATCATTGATTTTTATCCACCCTGCCAACAAATACTACACACTATATTAGTCCCTTTGGCTCCTGTGGTTGAGCAATCTTCCCCAGATTAAAGAGACATATACCACCGGTACTGTGAGGATGCTGGATGATGAAGAATAAACCTTAAGCTGTCCCTCTACTCCTGCACCCAGATGTGACAGATTGTAACCAATGCTTGTATACATCAAAGTTCTGGTGAGTGCACACCCATCAGAAGTGGTGGATTACCTTTAAAGATATATGCACTACTGCACTTTGGTCACAAGGATATATCGTGTCTTAATTGAAGAACTACTTCTGATGAATTATCCTTTTTACTTTTATAACTGAAATCAAATGATTATTATGGACTTGTATTGATTTATTCACTTTATGCACATATTGCACTAATTAGCACTATATACATTGTGCACTAATTACTTTATGATTTAAATATATTTTATTCATATATATCACAGCGCTGCAATTTTATATATTTTGAAAATTTCTAAAGGAATTCAGACCCTGCTATTCTCATTAAAGCCCTGCAAGTGCACCACCTGATCAAAAATGACACTGATTCTGCAAGTCACTGCTATGCAGAATGAGTCCTGCACCAGACATGAGCTAACAAAGAGCTATTCCTTGAGCGTAGAAACACACAAGACTCTGCAACGAAGTTTGTTAAAATCCCTACAATGTACATTGATCACCTAGTGAGGATTTTTTTTTTCGTTTTTTTTCGTTTTTGTTTTTTTTATACAAAAATGGCATTACTGTTTAAATGTAATATTGCTTCTGCAGTATGTGTATGTCCCATTCAAGTCCATGGGATGCCTGTATGAAAGCACGGGTAGCCCAGGCACTAGACTGATACTGTACTGAGGGGGCCAGAGAAGGGAGCTGGGAGGATTTTTAACAATTATTTGACTTCTACTTTAAGATAAAGGGTCGAATTTCTACAGTAATTACTTTTTGTATTATCACATGCCAAATTACTCTCCTCTATAAAGTTTCTTTAGTCAGGAATGCCATGGATCAGGGGCGCACTGACAACTCATGGGGCCCCCGGCAATAGGGGATCATGGGGCCCGTGTCCTTACCCAAACTCAAAAAAAGCCTATGAAAAAGGTACCTGGGGCATCTCATGGGGCCCCCTACTGACCCCGGGCCCTTGGGCAGTGCCCGAGTTTCCAAATGGTCAGTCCGCCCCTGCCATTAATCATACCATTCTTCTTGAGAACTCACTGACGGAATGCAAATTTTGAATGCAGTTATCTCAGACCAGTAATTATTCAAGATGCCATCTGGTAATGACTCTTAGGCTCCATGCACACTGGCCTAAAAGAATGCTGCTCCTAGAGGTGTTTAGCATTTTTCCTGTAGAAGCAACTTATGTTATTCTATGTGTCAGTGCACATTAGGTAGTCTAGTGACGTTTTTTAAACTCCTCAGAAAAAAAAACCTCTCAAGGCTGCTAAACACTAGTACAAAAAAATGCTCAAAATTAGCTTTCATTTCTGCCAAGAGCACTGGTGCTGTTTTAATCCAGTGTGCATGGAGCCTTATAGCTGTAGAACATCTCTAACTGCCAGTCAGGACATTAGGTTCCTGATGTGTATTTCATTTTATAGCTGAATTTTGTTAACCTACAGTATAAGTGACACCATAACAGAAAAGGCACCTTTGTATTGTTTGATGATGTGGCAGTAATGTGTATTCCTCATTGAGTCCCTGTGTTCTTGTCCTGACAATTTACTATGATTTTCCTCACCCAGCCACTGACTTCACTCTGAAAACCTCCGACTGTCCAGACACAGAGTATCCGGAGAAGATTGTGAACATTGAGCAGGGCAGCTTATGGTATAAAAAGGACAACAAGTTCAAGATACCTAAAGGTAATGCTTGAAGACTAGACCATACTTCTGCAGCTTGTGCTTTAAGGATTGCAGAAGTAATAATAATACAAAACATGCAGTGGTGGGGATGCATTAACTCTGTTTTATCTCCTTCTCAGCTTACATGCGCTTTCATCTCATCTCTCCATTAATCCAACAGTCACCTGAAAAGTAAGTTCTTTGTACTCCTGAATTTGTTTTATCTGCTCAGTATATTCTGTACATTAGTAAAGGGTGTTCTGAAATTTGAAAAATGCTTACTGTCTGCTAATTAAAATGAATGTCACATAAAGGTGCTTTTAGTTTATTCCATTTTTAACCACTTCCCGTCTGGCCCATGTATATAAATGGCTGGATGGGGGCAGTGCAGGAGCGGGTTGCCGTTCATAAATGGCGCCTGCTATTTTAGCTGTGCGTGCTCCCTGGGACCGCGTGGGCACTGCGATCCGGTGCCCTCTGTGTTCAGAGGACACAGCGAAACACTAATTGCTGTATGGGACCTCTGTGTGAGGTCCCAATCATGTGATCACTGATTGGTCAAACGGTGATCACATGAAGTGATAGTAGTAAGCAAGATGTCACTTCTGGCATCATTGCTTACTACATGTGAAATCTGTGAATGATCACAGAGATCACATGGTAAAAGGCTATTTACGACAGCCTTGTACCATGTGACAAGCTGTGACCAATCACAGCTCACACAGTATTTCTCAATGGCTGCAAGAATCCAGCCAGAGAGAAGGAGAAATGATTGCTTTTACAGCCTTTATGGGTGTATAAGCAATCGGTGTAAAAAAATCTTCATCACCCCCCACAAGTACAGTGTCACTATGGTTACACTACTGCTAGGGTGACATTATGTTAAAAGAAAACAAAAAAAAAAAACAACTTAAATAATAATATAAAAAAACAAAATAAAAATGTAAACAGATTTATTGAAAAATTATAATTTTTGGTTATAAACAAACTAATTTGGGTTATTTTTTTTTTTGTTTTACTAAAAAGATAACTGAATAAATTTTGGCCAAGATTTATGAAGAAAGATTATTTATTTTGCAAAATTTTAATAAAGAAAAACACTTTTTTTCAAACTTTTTGGACTTTTTCATTTATATATCAAAAAAGATAAAAATCCCAGTGGTGAATAAATACCACCAAAATAAAGTTTTATCTGTCTCCAAAAAATGCTAAAACATTCATATGGGTACAGTGTTGCATGACCGCGCAATTGTCATTCAAAGTTTGACAGCGCTGAAAATTGGCCTGGACAGGAAGGGGGTAAAAGTGTCCGGACTGGAAGTGGGCTGTTTTTTTTTTTTTTTTTTTTCCCGCAAATGTTTTGTCTCCAGCTTGATTGGTTCCCTTTTTTACTTTAAAACTAAAGTTTACCATTTGGGGCCCCATAATTTGTGTGTTTTTCTTGTTGCTTTGTCATTGCTGCCACCATCTTGATTGCTTGCTACAAAACTGAGCCTGGCTGGGAGTGGAAGGGGTTATTAGTGGGATGTCCCTTCAGCCTTCTTTCTTTCCAGTATCCAGTAACCTGAAGGTAGCTGCATATCACCCTTTCGTAATGATTACAGTACCTGCGTCACGTACTATTCTCTAGGAAATGGATTTTACTGGCAAGTCAAAAATCCTATTGTTTTCCTAATATTTGGAGTGGTCACATGACCGCTATAGCTCTGTGCTATGCATTGCACCCAAGGTTTATGGGCATGGTTGAGCTGCAACATCCGGTCAGTGTGGGTAACTTGGCTGTTGGGTGCTCAAAGGAATACCAATTTACAGCCTGACCTGTTCTGCTGTCAACCATTGCAATCAGGGCTGAAGAGTGATATCCGATGACAATGGGACTGTGGACCATCCTGTCGTTCCTGGTCTAGGAGTGAGTATGTCTGTCAATGCTCACAGAGCAATGCTGACTGAAAGGTGGAGTGTGAGGAGAAGGAGACAGCAGCGATAAACAGCCATTTAAGGTGGAGTAGTACCATTGGTACAGAGCAAGGCAAAGTGGCTGGACTTGCCTAAGGAGCTATACCCGTGTCCCTGTGTGCTGGATTGGTTTGCTGTGAGGTCTGGAGTGCTGTCCGGTGTGTGTGTGTGCCATTGGAGCCCCCCCCCCCAGGTTGTGACCAGATCCATGATGACCACCAGGGTCCCCCCTTTTTGGATATGATACTTGTATGCGCATTTAGCGTGCGCTTCTGGTAAGTGCAAGCATACTTAATTTCTTTCATTACAGGAGTCACCTACACTGGATCTTATCTTATTGAACTTTTCATTGAATTTTAGGTGTTTTCTCATCCATTCACCAACTCACTGGACTTCATGTGTTTATATGTTTTTAGTAATTCTTGTTCTCAGAAATTACTATATTGTTTACATTGATGTTGTTTTATAACATCCACAACCGATTTGTCACTTTATGCTTATCCATTCACTATTGCACTTGTCACTTTGTTGACACTTATTTTTCATCTAATTTTGCACAAATTTCATACTTTGCATATTATGCACTTTGTCACTTCATTTTTAGCGCTATATATATATATATATATATATATATATTATTCCATTTGAGGATTGAGGGGTTCATCCTTTATGCTAGCAGCTGCTTTTAGTTGTTTTGTGCGCTCACTCTTATTACTTGTTTTTATTTGCAAACCCTGGTTGATGTTATGTGAACTACACAGGATGGGCTGCATGAGGGAAGCAGCTGGATCACTAGATATTTACTATTTGACTGACAATGCCAGCTATAAGAAGGATGGAATTGTGCCATGTAAATGTGATCAAGGAATATAATGGAGGATTTGTAAGTGCAAACTGTTCCGTTTTGATTGAAGTGTACTATTAAGCAGATAACTTGAAAGCCAAAGGCTGTCCAAGACTTTACTCTTCTTTAGAATATTCTCCATTGCATCAATGCTCTTCTTGCATTCCATTAAATATTTTATTTTACCAGCTATAAAGTGAAGTAATGTGCAAATATATATCGTGCAGCATATTGATTACCACCTAACAACGTGATCTCTTTTCTGTGACATTTTATGTTTCTTTACCGGTATTCTAGACCTATTTAAAAACTGTATCTTTAGTGGCTCCAAAAGCATTGATTCCTTCGTATTCACTGATGGCTTTCTGCTCTGTTTTGTTGTTTCAGCTTGGTTCTCTTCGACATTTTTGTCAATATTCTGGCTCATACACTGGCAGAACCTGCCTATGAAGCAGATGTTGCTCAGCTCGAATATAAACTGGTAGCTGGAGAACATGGCCTTGTCATCAAAGTGAGGGGGTTCAACCACAAGCTTTCAGTGAGTATGAATGTACTACGTTTGCAATGTTTCTTTCAGAAGAGAGATAAGCTGATGACATGTGAAACTCTGCTGTGGCTTCCTTGGGGTATATTTAAAAACCACACCTAGCTTTCTTCAAATATTTCCCAGGAAGGGTTAAAGGTGTACTCCAGGCAGATATATACACAGATAAATACACAAATTAGTGTATTTATCAGTACATCATTAAATGTGTTTTTTTTTTTTTTTTTTTTTTTTTTTTTTTAATGCAAGCAGAGGAAGTACCTGAATTTGACTTTGCGAAGCCTCTTGGGGTCCCCATTTACAGCAGAAGCCAGACTGGGAGAGGGAGAAGCAGCATATCAGATGTGCTGTAATGCTCATGTGCTAACAAAGAACATGCTGATAGAAGAAAACAGAGTGACAGAGAAATGAGCTCATCCAGTCTGCTACTTCTACTTTCATTGCTGAGTCGTGGGCTGGGGAGGGACAAGACTTGTAAGTGCAGAAGAGAAAAACAGGTCTCCTCAAGGCTTCACTGTCGGTTTCCCTTAGTCAGGATGGCAGTGCCAGCACCTAATAGCTGATTGAAGAGTCGGCTCGGGTGAGGACACCACTGGATGCCTAGACCAATAAGTGCCCTAATATTAATAGTCAGCAGCTACAGTATTTTTGGGAGGGGACAGAACTCCTTTTAAAAGTTATTGGTTCTAAAGGCAGACTTTTTCTACTTTAATGTATTCTCTTCATTGAGGTAAAAACCTTCTGTGTTCAGCTTTCCCCCCCAGCCCCCCATAATACTTGCTCGATCCATATCTCGATCCATTGCTGTACCCGAGAGCAGTGGCTCTCTGCTTTCCCCTCACTTGCCATGGAGACAGCAGTAGGAGCCAGTGGCTACTGCTGCTGTCAATCACAGCCTGTGAGGAGAGAGCGGGGGTTGGGGCCGAGCCACGCTGTGAATATCAAAGGAGCTTGCTATGGGGGCACATAGCAGGGGGAGGAGCCAAGAGCGTAGGCGGGGGACCCCAGAAGAGGTGGATCAGGACCATTGCACATAGAAGGTAAATTATGTAAAAAAAAATGTTTTTCTTTTAGGTGTACAGTCACTTAAATACCATGTGAAAGACACAGAAATATATTTGTTTTGGGCAGATTTAGCATTGGAACAAATCCCCAAATGTCCTCTTATGTGATTCTATGCACATGTTTTCTCTATATCGTCCTTTGTGGGACACAGGTTTGATATTAAAAAATTTTTTAAAAGACTTGTGAGCCAATATAGTGACTTTCACCTTCAGAATGTGTAACAAAATACTATTTTTTAAAAAAACGAATAAAAACATAAAATAAACCAAAAATAAAAACAATATGTGGTTCGCAAACACTTCACACCCAACTCATATAATAGTGTATATAATAGTAAATAAATTATTGTGCTGCGCTCCCTAAAAACAAAAAACAGCATGTGCATATATATCAATTTTCAGAAACATGCAATAACCCTCTTAATTGTGTTCCACTAAAAATCCACCCATGCAACAAAAACATCCCAATATAATACACAAAAAATCTTCATAAAAAATCACCCATGCATCAAAAAAACATCCCAGTGTAATAAACAAAAGTCCTCTTTCCCATAAATCGGCTTCAATCAAATGGATTAATTCCAGGTTTCCAAGTTCCTTATAGTATATATAAGGAACTTGGAAACCTGGAATTAATCCATTTGATTGAAGCTGATTTATGGGAAAGAGGACTTTTGTTTATTACACTGGGATGTTTTTTGCTGCATGGGTGGATTTTTAGTGGAACACAATTAAGAGGGTTATTGCATGTTTCTGAAAATTGATATATATGCACATGCTGTTTTTGTTTTTAGGGAGCGCAGCACAATAATTTATTTATTTACAAGTTTGATAATATTTAGCAACGTGGGTTTCCACTGCTGCCTTCAGGAGAAATAGATAATAGGCAACTGAAAGCCAGCCTCCCATATTGATTACCCTTTCCACCTCACACCTGCTCAGTCTTACTTCTTCAGGAGAATAGACGTCTTCATCCTCTCTACTAGAATTTTCTGGAAGATTTTCTACTATGACCAGCTGTTGGTAGTTTCATGTGGAATATATGAAACCCTGGTATTCTCTTCAGGCAGTCAACAGTGCTGGTAGGCTCATGCTGGTGGATGTATTAAAATCCTTAAAACCTCTCCAGTTAGCCAGTATATGCTGCTAGATTCCTGTTGGGTGTATTAAAGGATAAAGTCACCTTATAAAGGGCTCATGTACACTGCAGCTGATAAACTGACATTCAGGAGCTGTTCAGCGGTTTTTATCAGCAGCCCCTAAACTCTCCCTAATGTTTTCCTATGTGTCCATGTACACATAGTTGTTTACAGGCAGTTGAGTTTACAGTCATTTTTTTGAACACACCAAACATGCGTTCAGGAGTAGATTTTACCAGTGCTTGTAAACGCGGTTAATTTTTATGGGCAATGTGCCTGGCTGACAGCTGGGCAGTGTATTTCTAATAAACACACATATAGGCAAAGGCTTTTACTGTAAACACTTTGTTTTTACTTTGGCAGCCGGGCACCATCATGCCCTACCACCATTTAAATGTCCTATCATTTCTCCTGGGCTGGGCCCTGATGACACAGCACAATTAGAGGAGCCTTGGCAGTGCGTGCGCACAGAACTTTCTCTCCTATGGTTTCTCCTTTGTGGGGGAGCTCCGTAGGCTTACAGCTGCTGTAGTTTCACTATTCCATCACTAGGTGTCCTTAGTGTACCTCTAGTGGAGGCAGATTGGCGATGAGCTCACTATGCCACGCTGCTTTCTTCCTCCTCTCACTAGTTTGCTCAGCTAGTCTGTAGGGACACAGTACTGAAAGAAAATAACATATTCAAGCGGTATTAAACCCTGAAACAAAAATGTAATCTATTGCAGTTTACCCAAACCTAAAATGTGGTAGCTGCATTACTTTTTTTCCCTTTACTTTCACCTGGTGATCTGGCCAGTAACACACTTCCTGTCTTAGGGTGGCTCCACTCTGGATAAAGGAGCAATAGAGACGCCTTTTGGACAGCAGCGTGATCAGTCTGGGAAATGGGTTGAAGGTAGTGTTAGATGAAGTTCAGCTTTAATTTGTTGGTCAAGTCCATCTAACACTTTTTAACCGGTTGCAGCAACAGTTTTTTTTTTCCTTTTTGGAATGAAGGTTTTATAATAATAGCTGACCTTTGTAATAAGCACCCCTGTAAAAGTTAAATATTTAGTCTCAATACTTGAACTGCTACTTCTGCTGGAGAGCTTGGTTTGTTGGCAGAAAAAAAAGGTGAAAATAAAGCCAATAAATGCATCCCCAACAGGCAGCTTGAGCCGGTGGTACAACCATGAAGGCTGTGAGCAGTGGTTTTCCTGTCACCATACAACAACCTTACTGCTTTCATGGAAAAAGCTTTTTTTTTATAGTTGTGGTTTTCAGCTCCCCTACCATGCTTTTATGGTAAGTGACATGTTCTAATCCTGTAACTCCAGGATATATTAAAGTGTTCATCTTTACAGAAAATCTGAAAGGTGACCCAACACTGGACCACCTCCCAATCCCTGCTGTACTGGAGTCCTGCTATACTCTAGTCCTGCGATCCTCCAGTGTCAGACACCAGCATGCCACTTCACCCGTCTGGGGATATGAAATCTCTGTGGCTTTCTCTCCTCTCCTTGCAGTGCTGACCAGACGGACTAGACACATTCTGATTAGAATCCCTTTGGCCCATACTGTCTAAGCAGTATGGAGAGGAGATTAAGCCGTAGGGATTTCAAATGCCCGAACCAATGAAGCAGCATGCCGGTGTCTGATAGCTGAGGATCACGGGACTCCAGCACAGCAGAACCAGGGGGGATAGGGAGGGGGTTGGTCTAGTGTTAGGTCACCCTATAAATTTTATGCAAAAGTGAAATACCACTTTAAGCTTTGTGTTCATCTCTCACTCCTGCTCCAGCTACTTTCTGTTTGTATTGTTGTCTTTCTTTTCATAGAGAGGTTGTGCATTCCACCATTCCTCCTCCTACCACGGTTTGGGCTCATTTCCAAAAGTGGATCTAAACTTTATTTGAGCACCACAAACTGAAAACTGTCTTTAATTCATTTTTAATATTCATAGCGAACTTGCCCATCCATTCTCCATGCTTTATTTTGGGCGTTTGCTATGCAAGCTTCACAAATGTCCATAAAGGCTATCAAAGTCATGGGTGCAGGAAGTAGTATCCACTGCTCACAAAATACATTTTTTTGCTTTGCATCTTTCTGTGTCTCAGCAATGTTGGATGGACCTTCTTTCAGTTGTTCAAGGGTTGTTGAACCAGGGGGTTAATGTTTCCATTCCCGCAACTGAACGTTTTCAGGGTTTTTATTCAAACCTGTTTACAGTTTCAAAACTTAAAGGAGGTTTTGTCCCATCCGGGTTTTGCAGACTCTCAAAAGTTTTGGATAGAATCTGTTCAGTTAGTTATTTCCCCACTTCATTGCAGAGACTTCTTCATATATATTGACAGAGGCTGTATCTTCAGCGATCACTAATTTTTGTGTTTTGTTCTTGGCTTTGCCATTGGCAACAACCACTGCAGCCTTGGCTCGGGCCCTACCTATAATGTTTACAAAGTTTCTTGTACTGTTCTTGGGCCTTCTTCATCTTGGAGGTATTTTGGTCATTGGATACTTGGACAGTCCCCTGCTACCATATCAGGACCTCTAAGGCCTTGGGCTCCAATGTACCAACCATGCTGCAGACCTTGGAGGACTTTGGAAAGTCATCTGTCACATCTCTTGGAAAGTTTGGGCCTTCTGCTGGACACAGGCCAAGGTCGGACATGTTTCTTCCCAAGGAGAGGTTGATGAAACAACAGTGTCTGGTTTGGCAGCTACAGCCTGGCATTGGTTAAATGTATACAATTGAAAGTGTTTTATTATATCCATTTGACAAGTGCAAAAAATGAGCTGTTCATGAAGTCAGAAGTCTTGTGAGCTGATAACTTCCTGTATGCTCTCTGCCTCTGGACTGTTCTCAGCATTGCTTCCCCCCCCCCCCCATTATGGAGAAGAGAGGGAAGTGTTAGGCAATCCTTAGACACGTCCAGTCCTAGGTTACCTGCTGTATGGCACTAGTGCATGTGCAGACACGTACAATGATGTAATTGCATTCAGGGCCACCCCTTCTGAACACAGCTCCAGCTGTCTATCGCTCAACCTTGCCCTGCACCCAGGGAATGCTGTCAGAGAAAGACTGCCACATACTCTGTTTCAGAGGCACTGATGCCATATGGCAGCTTTCATGGTTGGGCATCAAGTCTGTCCACGTGATCCTATGGCTCAAGTGTTGATTGTTAAAACTTCTCTGCAAGAAGCAAATTGAGAGACTGCCCTTTGAGGGTGAATGCTTGTTTGGACCATCTTTAGATGCCTACATTTAGAAGATGAATGTAGGGGAAAAACAATTCCTTTACCCCCTAAGAAGAAGGTGAAGGTGATGACTTAGAAACCAGTGATGATATCAGAGTCTAAAAGGGTTCCTTTCATAAGCAACCATCCTTGGGTTCAAAACAGAAGCCCACATCCCTGTTCTGCAAGAAGAACTGGACCCCCAGTCCTCCTGGTTCTGGAGGAAAACCCTGCTGTCATTAAAGGGGCTCCCTCATTTGCACAGGTGGGAAGATGTCTGTGGGCCTTCATGGCTTCCTTGACTCATCTTCACAGCCCTGGACAGACAGCCATCCCAGTGGATTTATTGCACCTTTGCCAGAAAAGGAGAGGTCTCACAGCTTCTATTCCAGCCTTTTTAGCAAGCCAAATAGAGATGTCAAGGATGCATCCCAATTTTCCGGCCCCCACCTATGGTTTCGCAGTGCAGGATCGCCACTATCCGTTTATGGCATTGTCTTTCAGCCTTTCCATGGTCCCCAGGGTGTTTATCAAGGTGTTCCGGTTCTAAGGGTTGTTGAGGACCGGGGGTATCCCCAGCATGGAGTACCTCGACGGCCTGCTTCATAGGGAGCAGGATGCTCAGAAGCTGAAGGTGAACATAAGCAGACAGTTCAAGTCTTGGAGAGGTTTGCCTGATTGCTGAACCTTCAGAAGTCGGCCTTGGTTCAGAATCAATTTCTGGAGTTCTTAGGCTTGGCACTCAACATGGCACAGATGAAGGTACCTCTCCTGCAGTAGAAATGCCTTTCTCTCCAAGCTGAGATGGAGTTCCTGAAATTGGAAGATTCCTCGATCTGGGCATGCATTAAACTTCTGGGAAAGATGGTAGCGGCCTTCAGTGTGGTCCCCCATCCTCGGGCTCACTCCAGATCCCTGCAGCTCAATATCGTTTCACTATGGGACGAACCTTGGGTCAACCAACGCATCCCTGGGCTATTTAGCATTATGTTTCTGTTGTTCAAGTTTGTAAGGCTGCTACCTGATATCTCTACTATACATACATTTTACTAAGTTCTACCAAGTAGATGTTCATGCCTCTGCTGTAGGGTGGAAGGTTTTGCAGGTGGATTTATAGTGGGGTTGCCTCTGTTCTGTTTTTGAGGTTTTGGGTCTTTTGGCCTCATTCCAAATATACCTGAATATCTAAGTTCTCTATGCCCTGTGATATATGATTAGAAAATTAGGATTTTTGGTTATCAGTAAAATCCTTTTCTTGGAGTACGTCACAGGACACAGATCCCTCCTCTCTTGTCTGTGTTCCTCATTGCTACAAATCTGAGGCTTAGGTGAGCTTGGAAGGGTTACTCCTGGGTGGGGATTTCAGAATTTTTTGGTCAGTGTCTCTTCACCTGAAGGAGGCAGCATAACCCAATTAGTCATGTATATCTAAGTGTCCTGTGATGTGATGTCCTGTGAATATCTGTGTCCTGTGGTGTACTCCCAAGAGATTCCAGGTAAACAAAAAATCCTAATATTTTTGGGATTTGTTATGAAAAGGCAATCAGATTACTACTGTTCAAGAAGACTTTACTGTTCACTTTCTTGTTCAGTGCCATGTCTTTCAATATTAAAGTGGAATTCTAGGCTATATACCTAAAGTATCTTAAAAATGCTCCCTCCCTCCTACTTACACCTATGCTGACTAAACTGTGTAAGAATGTTTCCTATAATTACCTATTGTCAGGTCCTTCAAATCTGGTCACCTGATCTCCCGTGTCAGCCAGCAGTGGCCACAGAGGAGAGTAGAGAGCGCTCGACAACAGCTGGAATGCCTGTAAGCAGGGACGTCACCCATAAGCTCCTATGGCCCATCCGTTGTTGACTCTGCCTTCCACTGCTGCTGGCTGACACAGTTTAGCCAGATCAGGTGACCAGAGCAGCCTGAAAATAGGTAAGTATATACAGTACCTCTTTCTTACACAGGTTAGTCAGCATAGATGTTAGGAGGGGGAGGTATCATTTTTAGAATTAGTGGGGTATAGCCTGGAATTCCACTTTAACATAATTTTAGTTCTTGAGCATGTACATTAAGGAATAACAATTTTTATGTGCTTTGTTCCTCTTTGCGTAGCTTCTCTTTGAATTGATCATTGACCACCTGGCAGACTTCATAGCTTCTCCTGACGTATTTGAGATGATCACACAGCAGCTGAAAAAGACCTACTTCAATCTTCTTATAAAACCAGAGAAACTGGGCAAGTGAGTGTTTACTGTGTGTGCTGACGCTGATTGCATAAATGGTACTACATGTTTGACACATCTCTGATCTTGTATATCTGATATCTTGTATATCTCTGATCTTTGATATAATATACTTTTGATATATAAATCTCTGACATCATAATGCCATTTTGATTTTACTTTGTTGCTTTTGATTGACATAACCAGAGCAAGCCTAAGCCTGTCAGCCCTGTGCACAAACATTGTACAAACATGCACAACTCTACTTTGTCAAAACCGATTTTATTTAAGGTAGATTTGTTTAGCCTTCCATTAATTAAATGCTATCACCTTCTTTATCACTTGGAAGGAAACATATGCTGAGGGATGTTTTGCCATTGCTGATCTCTCGTGAAATTGCTGGTGTCATGATTTGTGAACCCTCTGTCACCTGTCATCCCCTCTGAATTGTTGCTTTGAAGCATTAGGTCTTCATCAGAGCAGGTGATGGGGTGGATACTATGCCGCTAATGCTCCAGGGTGCAGAATTTAGAAATCCCAGTATGACAGGCAGGTTGGGTAGATATTGGAATGGTTTAGGTTCCAGGCAAGTGATCCTAGAAGGGATTGCAACAGGCAGATGGTTGGAGTGGACAAAGAGAGCAGAGTTAAGCCTGATGCAAAAACGCTGTTTAAATCCTAAAGGAGAAGTGCGGGATTACAAAAACATAAATAAAATAAACAAACATACTCACCTATATGGCTGCAGCATCACTGATCGCTCAGTTCTCGGTCTTAACTGAGCCGAGAGTGGTGACTGTTGGTCTCTGGCTCTTTGCTCTGCCCCTCGAGTGCTCACTGGAGCGCCAGGCTGTGGAGGGGGCAGGAGTGGCTGGCTCATGGTCTCAGGGCCGCAGGAGAGACTGAGCCAGCTGACAGGAAACCTTGTCGGGATCCCTGCAAAGCCTGGATTGACGTCAGCCAGCAGTGGGTTTTAGCCTGCTGTCGACTGATTCTGGGCCATGGAGGTGCACAAATAAGTGCACTCCTCTGACCCAGAAGAGAAGTATGAACAAACAAGCCATACTTCTCTTTTTAAAATTACAGGAGTGTAGACAGACTAGAGTTTACCAGAACCTGTTGATCAGCTATAGACGTGAATCTATGGCCCCACTTTAAAAATTGCCAATGAGGCCAGGTGCAAAAACCAGCGGCAGTGAAGGACAAGATATAACCACTCTAGGTTTTAAAGATGTACAAGGAGAGGATAGAGTGCTGTTTGAGATCTGAGAGCCAATACAATTGCAAGTGGATCATTACGGCTTGCTGCCTTTCTTTAATGCTGATCCAGTTGCTTCAGTACATAAATTTTGGAGATGAGTTTTTTTTTTTTTTTTTTTTTCACTGACTGAATATTTTTTCAGGTTGGTGAGTCAAAATGTTGTAAGTCCAGGACAACCAGGCAATACAATTTTCATAAAGAGCTGAGGAATGGTAGCCTCCATATTCTTGCTAGTAAACATGCAGATTTCATCCTCAGAGCATCATGCTGCTTCATATCACGGTCATCTATATATAATAGCTCCATATGTATGTTAGATGTGTATATTCACACATCTTTTTATATTCAGCATACTCCATGATCAGCGCTACTATTTTGTCTCTGAAGAATCTCTGTACTGGATCAGTAGCAGTAGGTCCGCCAGCTTATCTGTTTTGTACAAGTTGTTGAAGGTTGTGCTCCTGTATTTTCAGAGATGTTCGCCTCATCATCCTGGAACATAATCGCTGGTCTATGATTGAGAAATACAGGACCATTCTGAAGGGTGTGAGCTTGGAGCAGCTGAACTCTTTTGTAGACGAGTTCAAGTCCCGTCTTTATGTGGAGGGCTTAGTACAGGGCAACTTCACCAATAAGGTAGGTGGGACATTGAATAATGTTGTTCTGAAACTTCTGCACTTTTTTTTTTTTTTCTTTTTTCTCCCCTAAAGCAATTTTTTTTTATTTGAAAATTGGGTGAATTGTTGTTTTTTTTTTTTTTTTTTTTTTAACCTGCATTTGCACTAATATGTGATTTGACGTTTCGATAATTTGCATATTCTTTGTTTCTTTCTCTTCAGGAGTCTGCAGAGTTCCTGAACTATGTTATAAGGTGAGACTATAAGTGTTACAAATCTGTGCTTAAAGAGAACCTGTAGAAGTGAACTATGGAGGCTGCTATTGTTGATTCTGAGAATACGATTTCTTTGCGGTTATGCTGATCCAGTGGTTTCAATACTTAAATGACTGTTTTGGAACAAGCGTACTGACTTACTCTGAGTATCCTGGTCTGCATGCTTGTTTCAGGTTATTGTCTGAAAGTACTCAATCCAGTGGCAGCCAGGCAACTTTCATTTTCTAATGAAGGTCAAATGTTGCAGGCTCTGTATTTGTCTTGGTAGAGGTTCCCTTTAAATTGTTTACATTTATTGTTTGTATTTTGTATCTGTAAGAAGTTTGGAAGAAACTCTTTTACAGAAGTTAAAAGAATCTTTCTGTGCCTTCATCATAAGGAGATCTACCCCTCCTTGCTTCATCTTGTAGCATCACTGGCTATCAGAGAGTGTGTAACCCAATGAGGAGTCTCTCCATTGCAAGTGAGATTGAACAGATGTAAAGATTAAGAGCATTTTAGGGCACTTAAAGTGTTACTAAGTGTTACTAAACCCTCAACAGTAAAATTAGTCTGTATATGCAGGAAAGAATGCTTGTTATACTCCTTGTGGAACCTAAGGGGTTAATCCTCCGCATTGTGTAAAAAGGCTGTTTGATCCTGTCTTCTCTGATCTTCCCTTTCTACTGTCCGCAACCCATCTGCTATTACTACAGAGCTCTAGGAGTCACTTCACATAATCAGTTTAGCATGTATTGCTACAGTGTTATTTTTTTCTTCTTTGGGAGAGTGCATATGATCAGCACAGGGCCAATCAACATTGTTCAGACAGAGGGTCATGGGTTATGCAGCCTCATAGGACCATCAGAACAGAATGAAAACTCCCATAAGCTTTAACCAGTGCTCAGCTGGACTTGGATAGAAGTCACATGACTGCTATATACTGTTAATGAGAAAAGGTATTTAGCAGTTTATATTTACTAAAATAATTGCATTTCCATGTCCTGTGTACTGCGGAAGACCAGATATAGTGAATGCAGGGTCCGGGGAGACCAGATATAGTGAATGCAGGGTCTTGGGTTTAGTAGCACTTTAAAGTTATTGAGTCCCAGTCCTAATGTCGCTTTCCTCCCCCATCATCCTAGTAAAGCCACACAGCTTCTTCTGGAAAATCCTCCCCAGTTAGGTCCTGCTTGTCCCAAGGATGCTGCCATGGTCTTCGTTCGTTCAACTTTTTGTAATAGGAAAAATATTCACTTCTGTTTAGAGTACTATAACCTGAGCCCATCTGATTGTTGTGATTGGTTGCTATTTCTATTCTTCAGTCTGTATGTATGAGCAATTGTACGTGACATAGTTTCTTTTTATCTGATTGGTGTCTTCATTTTGGTGAATGCTGATTCAGCCATTGCAGAAAACATGCATTGTGTGTAATGTTGTGGCACTGGGATCAGGAATACTGGTTGGATGATGTGTATCTATGTGATAGATAAGGAGGTGTCCTAGTCATGATGTAAGGGTCATCTAGAGCTGAAGTTCTGCACATATTGAAATCTGAAGTATTGCTGTGATTTATACTGCCTTCTGTGTATTATAAACTGACATGATGTCTGTTTCTCTTTTTCAAGAAAGCTGCAATATCTGCCTCTGGAACAGATGATTCCTGTGCAGTTCCAGGTAGTAGAGCTTCCGACTGCTCATCACTTGTGTAAAATCAAATCCCTAAATAAAGGGGATACCAACTCTGAGGTCACTGTGTACTACCAGGTGAGAACTTGACTTTATATAGATCTGCTCTGTGACTTCTCAATTCTCCCTATGGACTCCAAGCCAGCCTCTAATGATTTGTATTTATTGCAGTCTGGTGCTAAGAATTTACATGAATACACACTGATGGAGCTCTTGGTGGTAAGTAGTTTTGTTTTACGGAGAATTTGCTAATATCTTGGATATTTTGCGAAACTGATGATGCTTGTCTATACATAAGTGAATCCCATGATGCATGTGACAAAACTCCCCCTCATCGCAGTAATTTACAGTTGGCCTTGGTTGGATCTGAAATGTCGAGTCTCAGAAAATTGTGAGGTTTCTACTTTTATCTGCATCATGGAAAAAGATTTCAGGGAATAACCTGCCTCTGTTTCAACAAAAAAAGAAAATAAATGAACTAAAAGAGTAATTTGTAAGTTGTAGCATAATTGTTTGAATCTGTCTTTTAGATGCATATGGAAGAACCTTGCTTTGATTTTCTGAGGACGAAGCAGACATTGGGGTAAGAGGCTTCTGAAGAAAAAGTTATAAAGTTACTTATAACCTTGAAAATGCATTGAGAAATGAGTGCCTGGACAAACAATAGATTTTAAAGTGGTGCTAAAACCTGAAGCTTTTTACCTTCATACATTCTATGTGTGAAGATAAATAACCTTCAGTGTGCAGCTCTCCCCTCAGCCCCCCATAGTCACCTGAGCCTGATCCCAGTCCAGCAATGTGCACGAGAGCAGAAGCTCTCTCAGGTCTCTGCCTCCTGATTGGCTGAGACACAGCAGCGGGAACCATTGGCTCCCACTGCTGTCAATAACAGCCAGTGAGGAGGGAGTAGGGGGGTGGGACCAAGTCATGCTTTGTGTCTCCCTTAGACACAGAAGCGGCTTGGGAGCGAGCATGCACAAGTGCCCCCAGAACAAGCATCTTGCTCTGGGGGCACTTGGCAAGGGGGAGGCCAAGGTCAAGAAGCGCTGGCGGGGGACCCTAGAAGAGGAGGACCAGGACTGCTCTGTGTGTACTACCACTGCACAGAGGAGGTAATTATGACATATTTGTTAATTTCAAGGAAAAAAAAAAAAGCTCCTTTTACAACCACTTTAAGATGATGTGGTATTTCTTTTACAAAGAGCTTTATTGAATAGTAAGCAAAAAAATAAACAGACATTCAGAGCATAAATGCAAGGACCAACAATTATGGATCATATTAAATGACGAGGAACTTATTCAAGGCATGCATCAATAAAGACATAAGCTGAAGAGTTAACATAGAAGCCTTGTAGGAATAGGTGAAGGAAGGGGTTATAAGGGAATGATTAACAAACCTTTGTGGGTCCATGATAATGTAAACTCCAGAGAGAGTTTTAGCTACATCAACATTATAGAAAACATGAGAGGCCCAAGAAGAGGCCCTCTCCCAAAAATTATTCATGTTCATAACCTAGAGAAAGTATTGCGGATGTAGCGCAGAAAACAACAAGCACAATCTGTGAAATATATTTAAGGACAAATTGAACAGCAGGAAAGGAAAAGACATACAATAGAGAGACACGGACATCACAAACGACAACACAAAAAAAAAAAAAAAAAAAAAAAAAAAAAAGGGAAAGGGGGGGAAGTTGGGGCTCCAAGGGGATCACGGCAAAATCCAACCTCATATCGACAGGAGAGATTGGTCGAATCTCGAGGGTTGAGCTACATCCAACCAGGGGCGCCATATCTGCAAAAATTTTGTATGGGTATCTAACAATATGGCTGTTAATTTTTCATTAACCATGATGAAATTCATCCGGTTTTTGACAGCCTCAAAACTAAGGACAGGAGTCTTCCAAGCCCTTGCAATTGTCAATTTAGTTGCCATAAATAAGTGTGATGCCAGCTGCCGTTCAGAACGGAGAAGACCCTCCAATGGTTTAAATAAAAGTGCTTCATACGGATTACGCTTGATGTCTGTGTGAAGGATAGTGCGGAGAAAGGCGTACACCCTAATCCATAATCTACTTACTTTAGGGCAAGTCCACCATATGTGGGCCATGGTGCCCAATTGTTGGCAACCCCGAAAACAGACTGGGGAATATGTAGGGATAAAACTAGCTAGGCGAGCAGACGTATAATACCATCGGTATAGAATTTTGTAGGCATTCTCAAGGATAATGACATTCCTAGAACATTTAGAGATTGCTTGGGTCATGTTCTGCCAGTCCTGTTGATCCAGGGTCCCCCCTAATTCAAACTGCCAACGCTGATGGTAAGAACGAACCGGAGGGGTTCTATAAGATATAATGGAAGAATAAATCAAAGAGATCAAACCCGGGGCATGAGGTCTATGTCTGCACTGGCTTTCAAAGGGGGACAGACGATAAGGTCCCGAATGTGTACGTATCAGTGTTTTTAGGAAATGATGAAGTTGAAGGTAACCAAAATGTTCTCGAAGGGGGATATTATAAGAAGAGCGCAGAGCGTCAAAGGTAATTATTCTAGTGGGAGATAGAAGTGAGTGAACATCATAAAAACCATGCGCCTGCCACCATGCAAACTGTCTAGGGTTATCCCTACCCGGAGGGAATAATGGATTATGTAATAGACGTAACAGCGGCAGGTGAGGAGAGATAAGGCCAGCGGAGTATTTGATAGAATCCCAAAGACGTAGCGATAACGTCAGCGTTGGACTAAGGGTAGATGGACGTTGAGAAGGAGGAAGCCATGGCAAGGAGGAGAGCGGTATTGGATGAGAGTCCATCATATCTACAACAGCCCACAGAGGGAAGTGATGAGATGCATGAACATGAGCCAAGGGGGCAATATTAGCCGCCAAATAATAAGACTGGAGATTCGGAACCGATAACCCGCCCGCACTCCGTTGCGCGAATAAGATATGTTTGCTAATTCTGGGTCGAGAGGAGCTCCAGATAAAGGACAAAAGTTTTCGCTGATGGATACGCAATATATGCGAAGGTACTGGAACTGGCAAGACACGAAATAGGTAAAGTAGTTTTGGGAGATAGGTCATACGGATTGCATTAATTCTGCCGAACCATGAAAGCGGGAAATGAGACCAAGAGGACAATAATTCAGTCAGCTCATGAAAAACAGTAGGAAAATTAGCCTGATACAGTCCATCATAGGTCGGGGTAAGCTTAATTCCTAAATACGGTAATGCCGAAAGCCATTGAAAGGGGAACGTTTGCTTCAGAGTAACCAAAAGTGATGGTGAGAGGGTAACTGACATAGCTCTTGATTTTGCTGGGTTAACATGTAAACCTGAAAGGGCTGCAAAGGAATCGAGGACTGCAAGCAAATTAGGCAGAGTAATCCCCGGGTTCGAGATTGACAATAATATGTCATCTGCAAACAAAGACAATTTATGTTGGGAGCCGGCCACATCAATCCCCTTAATATCAGGATGTAAACGGATGGCTTCGGCCAACGGTTCCAAGGCTAAGATCAAAAGTAAAGGGGAAAGCGGGCAGCCTTGTCTAGTTCATCTGGCAACCGAGAACGTAGAAGACTCGAATCCGTAGTATCTAAGCTTCGCTTGAGGAGATGTGTATAGCGAAGAGATCCAGCGTAAAAAGGAAGGGCCAAAGCGATGAAGGACCGATAGAAGATACGGCCAGGATAAAGTGTCGAAGGCCTTATTGATGTCTAACGATAAGAGCATCATATCAAGTTTACGAGTATGGGCCAAATGTTGCAATTGTAAAATACGTCTGATAGCATCTCCAGCCTGCCTGTGGGGAACAAATCCCACCTGGTCCTTTTTGATCAAACGAGAAAAAGGAATTCAATCAATTAGCCAAAATCTTGGTAAGAATCTTCATGTCGATATTGATAAGAGAAATAGGCCTATAATTCGCCCAAGAAGAGTGATCTCGATCCGGTTTAGGGATCATAACCACATTAGCAGTTAAGGAGTCCGGGGAAAAATACGAACCTCCCTTCACCGCGTTAAACATAGCGGCAAGGTGGGGAGCGAGCACATCGGCTAATTTCTTATAGTAAAGTGCCGTATAGCCGTCAGGACCTGGACGTTTGCCCGTTTTCAGGTCTGCTATGCATTGCACAACCTCAGATATTTGGATATTACGGTCCATTAAATCCTTGTGGGCCGGCGTTAAAGTAGGCAAGGGTAGACGTGCTAAAAAGTCAGAAATGGACTGAGGGTCAGCCCGAGTGGGATCAGAGTAGAGTTTAGCTAGTCGGTGCCGGAACTCCTCCAAGACCGCTACAGGATTGCTCGTAAGGGTATTGTGGCGAGTGCGTAGAGATATCGGTTTGGGATGTTGCGCGAAAGAACGTAATCTACGGGCCAACATAGAGTCTGGTTTGTTTGCTTTGCTGTACCATTTCTGGCGAGTCCAACGTAAAGAGCGCTCAGCCTCATCTGTTAAGCACAGATCCAATTCTAAACGAGCCTGATCCAACAGTCTAACGATTCGACGGGGAAGGTGACTGTTTAAATTGGGCCGACGCAGAAGCTAACTTTGATTCCAACTGAAGTTGTTTAAACTGTCTTTCCTTTTTTCGCCTCGAAGCTATGTGGATAATATGACCCCTAAGAACCGCTTTGTATGCTTCCCATAATGTTACCGAAGAAGAGACAGAACCCAAATTTAATTGAAAATATTCCTGAGACTTGCGATGTAGCTCCGCCTGAATCTCCTGCAGCGAAAGCAAGGAATCGTTCATTATCCACGATGAGGAGGCCGACCTACATAGGAGAGATCGGCAGACTACCAAAATAGGCTCATGATCTGACCATGGAACCGTTAAAATTGAAATAGAGCGAACCAAAGGGAGGTGTTTACGGGAAACGAATGCATGGTCAATTCTGGAATGAGAATGATGAGGATGTGAATAATAAGTGTAGTCTTTCCCCCGAGGATGAAATTCACGCCACAAATCTACCAGATCATGGGTATTTAACATGCGTACAAAGGACTTCGCTGATGCGGAAGGGTCAGAGCTCTCTGCTGGATATTTATCTAATGCAGGGTTTAGTACTAGATTTGAGTCCCCTGCCATCAAAAGCGTGCCCCTTTGGTGTGTAGCCAGAAGAGAACATAAGTGTGACAGAAAAGGCCCAGGGTTAACGTTAGGAGCGTAGTAGGACAGTATAGTAACATCTATTCCATGAATCGTGCCCCGGAGCAGAAGGTACCTGCCATTGGGATCAGCAATACGCCTCACACAGACCAATGGAGTTTTGCTATGAAAGGCGACCAATACGCCTCTCTGTTTAGTAGGGCCATTAGCTTGAAATATCTGAGGGTAACGTGCATCAAAATATTTTGGGGCAGAATTAGTGGAAAAGTGAGTTTCCTGCAAACAAGCAATGTCAACTTGGCGAGCCCGGAGAAACTTAAATATCTTTACCCGTTTCTGTGGAGAGTTCATCCCCTGGACATTCAGTGATAACCAGTTCAACGACATGGTGATTTAAAAAAAGGAAGAGTAAATCCACCACGATCCCCGGGAGCCCTGGAAAAAAATTTACAAAAACACAAAACACACATGACAAAGGACAAAGAGAAAGAGACGAAAAAGAAAAGACATTAAGACATCTGATATACACGTAAGATACCTGTGTAACATGGAGATTGATTCAGACAATATAATTATCCATTGTGGGTAAAACACCCACATAAGGGCTAGGTAGCGGGCGGACAAAAGACCATACCGCTAGCCAGCTCGGTGGGGGACACAACCATCCACCGGAACAACTCGGCTTAAATATAAAATACAAAAACATTATATAAACAACTGAGGCCAATACACCTGTAACTAAGCAATTCGAAACCTGCAAGACTATAGAGATCTCAACCAGTCAGGGCAGTGAAAAGAAACCTCTACTCTAGATTAGATGAGGTAAAACACACGGAGATACATAATCCCTGAACATATCCAAAATCAAGTCCAGAAGGTGGCAGAAAAAAAAATCCACATAGGACTAAGCTGTATATTTAACGACCAGTCTCTAAACATCAAGTTGCGGAGACTTCCTGAAAACGTTGGGCCCGTAGAGATTGGAGGGCCTGTGGGCCATTTTGACTAGAAGGAGATTTACGCGAGAGCTGGGAATTTTGAAGATTCGTAGGGAGAGGAATCTCCTCACTCTGGGATTGTGGCAGTTCCAGCTTAAGCTCCCTGAAGTGACGCCGAAGATCCGCTGGTGAAGAGGCCTGGAATTGGCGACCTTGGAAGGAGAATAAGAGCTTGAAAGGGAAACCCCATCTGTACTTTATAGCAGCCAATTGAAGAATTTTAAGATAGGGTTTTAACCACTTGCCTACCGGGCACTTATACCCCCTTCCTTACCAGGCCAATTTTCAGCTTTCAGCGCTGCCGCACTTTGACAATTGCGCGGTCATGCAACATTGTACCCATATGAAATTTTGATCATTTTTTTTCTCACAAATAGAGCTTTCTTTTGGTGGTATTTAATCGCCACTGGGCGCTTTACTTTTTGCGCTATAAATTTAAAAACGTGCAAAAAAATTTGAAAAAAAAAAAAGTTTATTTGAAAAATTTTATAAAAGAAACAAACAGGTATTTTATCTCCTTCACTGATTTGCGTTGATGAGGCGGCACTGATGGGCACTGATAGGCGGCACTGATGGGCACTGATAGGCAGCACTAAAGGGCACTGATAGGCAGTACTAATGAGGTGGCACGGATAGGCGGCACTGATAGACAGCACTAATTAGGGGTCACGGATAGGCGGCACTGATATGCAGCACTGATAGGCGGCACTGATAGGTGACACTGATGATGGGTACTGATAGACAGCACTGACTGGCATCACTTCTGGGCACTGACTGGCAGCACTGACTGGCACAACCCCTGGGCACTGACTGGTGGCACTGACTGGCAGCACTGCTGGGCTGCACTGGTGGGTGGCACTGGTGGACAGCACAGGTGGGTGGCACTGGTGGGCACAGGTGGGTGGCACAGGTGGGTGGGCACAGGTGGGTGGCACTGCTGGGCACAGGTAGGTGGCACTTCTGGGCACAGGTAGGTGGCACTGCAGAGTGGCACAGGTGGGTGCACTGCTGGGCACAGGTGGGTGCACTGCTGGGCACAGGTGGGGGCACTGCTGGGAACGGGTGGGCGGGGCTAGTGGGCGCACTGCTGGGCGGAACATGCGGGTGTCACTGCTGGGCACTGATCATCAGTGCCCTGATGATCGGTGCCGATCCCCGCTCTGACAACTGCCGGTTCTCGGCAGTACTTTCCTCACGATCTGACAGCGTGAGGAAAGTGCAGCCGAGAACCGGCACTTGCATTTCCCTGTGATCAGCGTGTCATTGGACACCGCTGATCACGTGGTAAAAGGCCGGTGGGATCGGCCTTTCACCACATCACGTGATCAGCTGTGTCCGTAGGACACAGCGATCACGGAGATCGCCGGGTGCGCGCCCCCTGGGGCGCGCAGGAGAGCGCGTTCTGGGAGGACGTCATATGACGTCCACTCAGAACTGGCCGGCCGCGGTGAAGCCGCCTTTCGGCTATGCGCGGTCGGAAAGAGGTTAAGGTACGACGTTTGGCAATCGTGACTGGGGATAAATCCGCAAACAGATGAACAGAGTGACCCTGAAATTCCAGAACCGAACGATTCCGAGCCGCCTGCAGTAGACGTTCTTTAGTGTGGTAAAAGTGGAATTTAATAATAATGTCTCTGGGAGGCCCCTCCATGGGCTTGGGTGCTAAAGCTCTATGAATACGGTCGAACTCCAGGCGCTCCATGGGAATCTCAGGAGCCAATTCCTGGAAAAGAGCAGTGGCAGTACCCTGTAAATCGGTGACTGTCTCCGGGATTCCGCGGATGCGGAGGTTATCCCTGCGTGCTCTATTCTCGGCATCCTCCAGCTTATCTTTTAAAGAATCCAGTTCAGCATGCAGGTCTTCAACTTCCTGTTCATGACCTTCCAAGACTGTAGTCGCCAGATCCATACGTTGCTCCAATTGATGGGCGCGAAGGCCCAGCTCCTTTAGGCCCTTTGCCAAATCAGAAGACAATTTTTCGCGAGGCCGTTGTAATCTCCTCTCGCACTATAGCACGGAATTTGTGTAGCAGGGCTTCGGGATTGTGTTCCAAAGAATCTGCCATCCCTGATGGAAATTGCCGCTGACTATCGCCATCTGACTCAGGATCACCTGGAAGCTGGGTATTGTCATCCGGCTCAGGCGGGCTAGGTATCAGCTTAGCGACATGGCCCTGTGAAGGGGAGTGCTGTTGGGCCCGATGTTTGGGTTTAGTGCGGGGAGTGCGATGCATTGCCGGGAGTAGTCCACAGGACTCCAAAACGTTGTCAGGTTATTGAAGTGTTACGTCGGGGTGTAGAAGCCTAATGACCGAGAAAATTGTCACGGTGGCACGGCACAGGGAGGTAGCTCTGGCATTTTCCCCCTAGCACGTGTGCGCGTCCCCCACCGGAGGTGTTCACAGAAGATTCACATGATGCTGTAGCCAGTGAAATGTAGATGGTTATAATCACTTGGCCGGGTGTGCAAACTGTATACAGGCTGCCAAAAGGTATCCCTGAGACCCCTGATTTATCCACTTGTGGAGAGGGTTATGGACAAATCCATCCAGTGCAGCTGCTGCATCATCTCAGATCCCTGGGGCACACTGGGGTCCTGCAGGGATATGCTACAGTCCAGAGGGCCACCAGGAGGCCCAGGGGGGTCCCCCCCACCTATCTCAAGGACTGACCTTTATGCCAGGGTTTGATATACAGGGCAGGGATCCGGCTGTGCGGCGGTCCGTCCGCGGCGGTGATCCGCTCCGGCCGCGGATTTAGGAAACACCGCGGCTTCACACGCCGCGGTAGGCCTCAGATCGTCCTGTGTCCCAGATGCTCAGAAAGAGAGCAGAATACCAGCACACCCCTCCTCGGGTGTCAGATGAGGTCCAGGCAAGCGGGGAGCAGCCGAAGTGGCCACTGCACCCTGGATGGCAGCGGATGGAAGGTCAGGGTACCGGAGCTCAGGGAGAAACGTCCGCACCCGGCTCCATCTTGGACACGCCCCCCGTGGTATTTCAATACCTTCATACCCAAAAAATACTAAACTTTAGCCACCAGCCATCCTCTTCCTTTCACATTTCTAGAAAAAATTCATCTGAACAGGGACAGCAGACAGATATTCCAGATAGTAATGTTTAATGAGGCCTTTATAATATAATTGACTCACAATGATGCAATCTCTTCCATAATATCTTTTATAGATACCATGTGTATCCAACCTGCAGAAACACATCTGGAATTCTGGGATTTTCAGTCACAGTGGAATCACAAGCAAATAAGTACAAGTAAGTGAGACGGAACTTCAGTTGTAAATGTTCTCATAATACAGAATGTTATTGAAATATCAATTTTGAATGTACTTATCGTTTAATACTTTTCTGCTTTCATCAAATACATGAAAAAAAAGTCATACTGCTGCATGTATTGTAAGCTGCAATTTACATGATGCCTAATTGAACTACTCTCAAACTTTCTTTTATGTCTCATAGACTCTGCTAGTGAGGTCTTGTTGCCTTTTGTTCCCAGCTTTGCCCCCCCCCTAAATGAAATGTATTTCCCCATTCATTATTTGTTTTCAATACTAACTGAAATATCCATTGGAGGGTGTGAGATCCTATATAAGGACCATGGTCAGAAGGAAGGCCAGATTAATTTAGATGCAGATATATATAATCACTGCTGTATTAAAGAATTATAGGAGATGAATGAACTCGTTTGCATATACCAGAGATTGACATACGAGTTATCAGAGAGACAAATAATTCTTTAAAGCAGAACTACGGGCAAAACGGGTAAATAGTTGAAATGGCCAAAAAAGATGTTTTACTTGCCATTATATTTGTATTCCTGTCCATTTATTCAAAATGTACACAGTTCAGCTACACAGTCTTCCTGGAGACTTTGTTTTTTCATTTTAGCAGTTAAGTAACAATCTCATGTCTTGCCCCTCTCACAGCTTTTGATTGGTCAATAAAAGGAGAAACAGCAGACAGCAGGGATGTTACTGGTGGCAAGAAGACTCCCCTTCCCCAGTGGAAGAAGCTAAAGTCTATCTCTCTGGCCTACAGGAAGTGCCCCCTTTTGTTTCTTCACTCCTTTGACTTCTGCAGTGAGGCCCTCCAGGCATAGCCCCTGTCCACCCACAAGCTCTGGCATTCAGAGTCTGTCAATTCCTCACAAACCTTCCACTCTATAAGGATGCACCCCCATCTCCAGAATGTTTCATTCCTGCCTCCCTCATTTTCAGGCTTCCATTCTTGTGACTGCACAGACTAGCAGATCTCTGCCAGGCCAACATTGACTTTCTGTACCTTGGTACCTGAGGCCGATTGGTTTCAGGGGTTTTACTCCAACCTGTTCACTGTTCCTTAACTCAAAGAAGGCATTGACCCTGTCTTGGACCTCAGAGCCCTGTATGCCCCAATATAATCAGATCCATCAGTGTTTTTCTTCACCAAGGGAACTTCTGGCTTTTGTGTGCCTTTTTTTTCTCTCTTTTAAATGCTTTCTTACATGTTTCCATCTTTCAAGCTAACATTTCCAGCGTTTGCTGTAGTGCACTCTTTTCAAGGCTTTCCCATTCAACCTATCGTCTATGCCTCGGGTTTCGAGAGCTGTTGTGCTCTTTGGGTATACTTGTACGGCCTTCTATTGAGGGAATAGGTTTCCATAGCTCTGGAGGAACAAGTCTCTGACTGTTTAGAAGACACAGATTACAGGTTTGTATCCACTTGCAGAGATCCACAGGTGGATGCACTGTTGGCTCTGTAGGATCAGTACACCATGATCTATGTTTTTCCTTCCCTAAAACTTCTTCCTCATCTGTTCAACAGAATTGGTATTTAGGGCATTTCAGTAATCCTCATTGCTCAAAATTGGCCAAGGGACTTGTGATATGCTGACCTGGTAAGACTTCTAACAGGCTCACCACTGGCCCTGCCAGACTGTTTAGATCCACTGACCCAATGGCAAATTTGCCACCTAGTCTCTCAGTAGCTGACTTTAACTGCATGGTTAATGCAGCCTTTGTTCTGAGGGTTCCTCTGATTTTGTGATTACTGTGATGTTCAGAGCTAGGAGGTCCATTTCCCACAAGGCCTGCCAACAGACGTGCAATGGCTTGGTGTGAGTCTGTGGGCTCTCACCCCAGAAATTTCTCCATGTAATGAATACTCTCTTTTCTGCAGTTGCATCTGGGCCAACATTTGGATTTTACTACCATCAAGGGCCAGATCTCCTGTCCTTTTAATTCTGTCTCAAAGATTGTTGGCTTCCCTGAATCCCCTTTGACTTAGTTGGTTTTGAATCTGTTTCTTTCAGCATTTCAGAAGTCCTTGTTTGAATTTTTCAGACATTCCTTTCTCTGCTCTGACCTACAAGGTTGCGTTTCTTGTGGCCCTCCTCCCAGCTTTATCCTGCAAGGGGCCCTTTTGGTCCCATACAAGGACACAGGTGGAAGACCCAGGACTTGATTTCTTCCCAAGATAGTCTTAGCTTTCCACCTTAGTCAGGACATTGCTCTTTCATCAGTTTGTCCTGCTCAAGTTCACCAAAAAAAGTGCAAAATGTGGAAGTGGAGGGTGTAAAAAAAAATCGCCTTTTGGTGAAGTTGCGCTTTCCAGTTAAGGCTCCCTCCACTAGGACAATGCGTGCCACTTTAACCTTTCAGCTGCAGAGATCTGTTTTTCAAATTTGGAGGGCTGCCATCTAATCTTTTTACTCACATTTCCTCCCAAGTTTTACCAGGGGGACATTTCTTCTTCATCTGATACCAGATAAGTTTAAGATCCTTCAGGGTGCTCTTACACTTAAATCTGGCATCAGATGAGCTGCAGGTAGTCCCCCATCCCTTTTTTTTTTTTTTTTTTTTTTTTTTTTTTTTTTTTAAATGTTGCGCCTGCTAGGTTGTGTGGTGTGGCCCATCCTTCAGTTGGACTGTTTTTGAACATTTCCGGGGTTGCAAAAGCAATTTTACTTACCTGATCCCCTGCTCCCCCTGCAGATGGCACTTCCCCTTGCTCAGGGCTGTTTCCCAGCTGCCTTATGTCCAGTGCAGGGCTATGGTCCCTACATCAGTCCTAATTATGTCAGAGCACCTTAGACCACTGGAGCATAGAGAAGAGAATAGCCTGTAGGGATTGGCCTAGCAGCGTAGAGGAGCCTGCAGGAGTGAAGGATAGGGCAGGAAAATGTGCTTTACCAAGTCCCCTACATATATAAGAGCAGTCAACCTTTGCAGTTTGGGTGCTGCCCAACAGCATGGGATTATTTTTTTAGGTTTTCTGAAGTCCATCTTTAATGTATAACTAAAGGCAATTTTTTTTTTAATCGTTAGAGTAGATAGGGATTAGAACACCTATCAGTTTTTTAATGCGGACTGTGCCCCTGTTAGGGAGATTCACCCTCTCTATTAGTTTTTGTTCACCATTATCAATGAAAGTGAAAATAAACAAAAATCCCAAATTTTGAGATGTCCTCAGAACAGGAAAAATGAGGATATTTTCCAATGGGGACACTAGTTCTGGTTACAACCAGGGATTCCCTCACTATAGAGGGATTTTTTTTCTTCTCACTTTCTCTTCTGGCTGTGGGGCAGGAAGGGAAATCCCCCCAAAGGGACACAGATGGCAAAAATAAACCTGATAGGGGTTTTAACCCTCTCTTACTCTGTCCAAAATGAACAAAAAGTTTTTGCCTTTAGTTCTACTTTTGTGCCCCTTTAAAGGATGAGAAAGAAAATAGGATTTTTGTATACACACCATAAAAACCTTTTGTTGGTGTCCATTGACAGACACCGGTCTTACCTATCTGTGTCTATGATCATTCTCTTGGTGAAGCTTTGCTACACAATTGAGGCATGCTAGCAGTTGGAGCAGTTTTACTCTGCCTGGGCTAACCTGCATTTTTAATTACTTTGCAGTGTCCAGTTCTCCTGTAGGTGGCAATATAACCCCAAAGGTTTAGGACTTCCTGTGTCCTTCAATAGACTGAACTCTATGTGCACTAAATTTACACATTCTAAACAAGCAGTTAAAAATTTTAAAACCAGTCCCATTCACCTTTTGTAGTTAGTTATTATGGAGAAATTCATCTTGAAAGCTTATAACAGAGGCACTACAATTCTAATTTTTTTCCAGTTCATTTTTGTGAATTAGTTCACAGTGAAAGCAGCTATAAAGGTCAGAGAGGGCTTATTTTAAAGCATTTTAAAATCTTGCTAAGAATATATATAGTCAGGTCCATAAATATTGAGACATCGACACAATTCTAACATTTTTGGCTCTATACACCACCACAATGGATTTGAAATGAAACGAACAAGATGTGCTTTAACTGCAGACTGTCCGCTTTAATTTGATGGTATTTACATCCAAATCAGGTGAACGGTGTAGGAATTACAACAGTTTGCATATGTGCCTCCCACTTGTTAAGGAACCAAAAGTAATGGGACAATTGGCTTCTCAGCTGTTCCATGGCCAGGTGTGTGTTATTCCCTCATTATCCCAATTACAATGAGCAGATAAAAGGTCCAGAGTTCATTTCAAGTGTGCTATTTGCATTTGGAATCTGTTGCTGTCAACTCTCAAGATGAGATCCAAAGAGCTGTCACTGTCAGTGAAGCAAGCCATCATTAGGCTGAAAAAAACAAAACAAACCCATCGGAGAGATAGCAAAAACATTAGGCGTGGCCAAAACAACTGTTTGGAACATTCTTAAAAAGGAATGCACTGGTGATCTCAGCAACACCAAAAGACCCGGAAGACCACAGAAAACAACTGTGGTGGATGACCGAAGAATTCTTTCCCTGGTGAAGAAAACACCCGTCACAACAGTTGGTCAGATCAAGAACACTCTCCAGGAGGTAGGTGTATGTGTGTCAAAGTCAACAATCAAGAGAAGACTTCACCAGAGTGAATACAGAGGGTTCACCACAAGATGTAAACCATTGGTGAGCCTCAAAAACAGGAAGGGCAGATGTTTGCCAAACGACATCTAAAAAAGCCTTCACAGTTCTGGAACAACATCCTATGGACAGATGAGACCAAGATCAACTTGTACCAGAGTGATGGGAAGAGAAGAGTATGGAGAAGGAAAGGAACTGCTCATGATCCTAAGCATACCACCTCATCAGTGAAGCATGGTGGTGGTAGTGTCATGGCGTGGGCATGTATGACTGCCAATGGAACTGGTTCTCTTGTATTTATTGATGATGTGACTGCTGAAAAAAGCAGCAGGATGAATTCTGAAGTGTTTCGGGCAATATTATCTGCTCATATTCAGCCAAATGCTTTAGAACTCATTGGACGCCGCTTCACAGTGCAGATGGACAATGACCCAAAGCATACTGCAAAAGCAACCAAAGAGTTTTTTAAAGGAAAGAAGTGGAATGTTATGCAATGGCCAAGTCAATCACCTGACCTGAATCCGATTGAGCATGCATTTCACTTGCTGAAGACAAAACTGAAGGGAAATTCCCAAGAACAAGCTGGAACTGAAGACAGTTGCAGTAGAGGCCTGGCAGAGCATCACCAGGGATGAAACCCAGCGTCTGGTGATGTCTATGCGTTCCAGACTTCAGGCTGTAATTGACTGCAAAGGATTTGCAACCAAGTATTAAAAAGTGAAAGTTTGATTTATGATTATTATTCTGTCCCATTACTTTTGGTCCCTTAACAAGTGGGAGGCACATATGCATACTGTTGTAATTCCTACACCGTTCACCTGATTTGGATGTAAATACCCTCAAATTAAAGCTGACAGTCTGCAGGTAAAGCTCATCTTGTTAGTTTCATTTCAAATCCATTGTGGTGGTGTATAGAGCCAAAAATGTTAGAATTGTGTCGATGTCCCAATATTTATGGACCTGACTGTAAATGCTTTAATAGCCATAGTCGGGGCACAGTTGCACTTTAAGTTGTATATGCCTGCTCAGCACCTCATTCCCTCTGCAGTGTGTCTTCCAGCACTGATATTATCACATCTCTGGATGCACCATCAGGCTGTTAAGCGTAAAGTTCTTGTAAGGCCATATACAAAGACAGGAATGGCTTCTTTCAGCTGAGTAATGAAGTGTCATCCAGACAGTCTTCTCTGCACACAATGTTTTCATTTAGGAATAACAGAATGTTCTTTCTAGATGCTCTAAAATCCATTAATGGTATTGATCTGTCCATAAATTAATGGCTGCATTGTAAAAAGGCATTAAGCCCTCAGTAGACCTGCTGTGACCACAGAGGGGTAGGAGTTCAGCAGGCAAGGGAGTCTGCTAGAAGTGCCTTATATTAATTGCATAATATACTGAAACTTGCCTTTTATACTGGAAACTGTTGTGTGTATTTCAGTTTGTGGTGTTAACATAGCATTTGGACTGAAGAATATGCTGTAATTCAAGTTTGAGGTTTTTTAGTGAAACTCTGTTATTTGGGGCTGTAATTATATGGGGACAGAGACTGTACTTTTGATTATGTCTTGGCTCCTTAATGTCAATCCAGCAGGGACCACCTGAACTGCGATGTGCGTGTGACCCTATCTGTTTGAGAGAAGTCAATTGGTAGATCACCTTCTGCTGAATGGGACTGTTGGAAAACTTTCTTTCAATTATGGCTGCAGCACTAATCAGTGTATTTTGACAGCAGAGTAGTCCCTGCTGTCAGAACACTAAAATAGTACAGTTGGGGGGGGTAAGGATTCCACCGTTCACCTCGCTTGTGTGGATGGATGAATCTGTTAATTTTTACTCCTTTAGTCTTCTTTTTGAATGTAAATAGCTAAGCATTGTATAGCCATCTTTACAGATATTGTAACCTCTCACAGAGCTCACAGTACTTTCCCTGACCATGCCTTTCTTTCCATTAAGGCCACCATAGATGGATCAATTTATATCTGGTTCAGCAGGGACCAGCTGAGATTAAATCCACCTATGGGCAGGCTGGTTGTACTGAAGTCGATCCATCAATCAGCTTCAGTATTGCCAGCCTCTCAGGTTTTTTGCATATGATTACTGCCAGCAGCTCTAGCTGCCATCAGTGATCAATGTGTTCTGCTGACCGGGAAGGCTCCCTGCTGGCAGAAGGCAATAGCACAGCAAGAGGGATTCCTCCATCAACATTGACTGTGATGATGTCCCTCATCATCACAATCAAGCAATATTCTTTCCTTTTAATCCATGGTGGAAGGAAAGTGAAAGTGTGTGTGTGTGTGTGTGTGTGTGTGTGTGTGTGTGTGTGTGTGTGTGTGTGTGTGTGTGTGTGTGTGTGTGTGTGTGTGTGTGTGTGTGTGTGTGTGTGTGTGTGTGTGTGTGTGTGTGTGTGTGTGTGTGTGTGTGTGTGTGTGTGTGTGTAACACGTCACCATTTTTCTCAGTAAATATATTTCTAAAGGTGCTATTGACATTAAATTTTCACCGTATGTCAGTAACAGCCCATGCAATCCTAACATACAAAAAAAAAAAACAACTTCAGAAATTAGGTTATGAGTAATAAAATAGAATGACACAGGGAAAAAGTATTGAACACGCTAACTGAAATGTATTTAATACTTCGTACAAAATCTTTTATTGGTAATGACAGCTTCAAGGTGCTTCCTGTATGGAGAAACTAGTCGCATGCATTGCTCAGGTGTGATTTTGGCCCATTCTCCCACACAAACAATCTTCAAATCTTGAATGTTCCCTGAGCCTCTTCTATGAACTCTGATCTTTTCGTTCTTTCCATAGATTTTCTATTGGATTCAAGTCAGGTGCAGTAGCGCTTGGAGCTGCCTCCAGCCTGATATCAGATCAGGTCTCCCTTGATTTGGGTATACTTGTCTGGGGTCATTGGCAGAAAATGTTGAAGGAAAGAGAGCAAAGCAGTTGGTGTTTCAGGAAAGAACGGTCTCTTGACTTCTAGGCCTCATGCACACATGATGGTTTTGCAGCCACTTTCTTTCCTTTTGTTTTTTGGGTTTTTTTTTTTTTTTTTTAAAGCTTCTAAACTCCCCTCCATATTATCCTGTGTCTATTCACACACACAAACTTTTAGAAGCTTTTAGTGGCAGGGGTGTTTAGGAGCTGGAAAAACCCCCACTGCCAGTGCGTCCAGGAGCAGCAGCGTTTTTGGCAGAAAAAAACGCTTGACGCGTATAAACGCGCGGCGCATTTAATCCTTGAGCGTTAATTTCAATGGCCAGAATAAATGATTATTCTTGCCAATGAAACAAATTAATGCCCAAGCGCTTGATGCCTGTAATTGCACCTAAATGCTTGTAAAAGCCTTAGATACTTTTACAAGCGTCAGGCGTTTTTTCTGCCAAAACGCTGCTGCCAGGAGGAGGAGCATTTTTAAAATGTCCTGTATGAATGAGGCCTTACTTGTCCTGTAAATGAGCAATATTTGACCTAATACCAGACCAGGAATATTTCTGACTGAACAAGTTGGAGACAAAATGAACTAAGCATTGTCTTTCTTCCACAGCTCTGAAGTGGTAGACAAGAAAATAGAAGAGTTTCTGGTTTGTTTTGGTGAAAAAAATCAACAGCTTGACTGATGAAGCTTTTAAAACACAGGTAAACCTGAATGTAATGATGGTCACCCAACGTGAAGAGTTTCATAAAATATATGTTCTTTTCAGGTTAAACAAAAATGTAAGTTTGTTTGAATCTTCAAGGCAGGTCATGCTTTTTCCATTTTGAGCACGACTGCTGTAGAGGTCCATCCACAGTTCAGGACAGAATTGACAAAGCTACTAAATGGTTGTGCCTCTGTTGTGATATAATCTAGCTGTTGTACTGGTCAAGCAACTGCAGGACACCCATCCGTCATGTCAACACACTCCTATAACTTGCAGAACCCACACACCGATCCATAGCTCTGCTCAAGACTGGCCTCCCCTGCACATGGGCAACCTGGGTGCTGGCCATCACAGTCCACTTGCAGTCTTCACTGAAAACAGGAAAAATCAGCCGCACCCCAGATACCTCTTCTTGCATTTTTTTTTATTAACCAGTTCCGTGCCACCCTATAGTGGAATTACTGCTACAGGGCAGCACGGGTGTGCAAAATCGTGTGTGTGTGTGTGTGTGTGTGTGTCAGTGTCAGTAATACAACTTAAAAGGTGAAACTAACATATGAGATAGACTCATTACATGCAAAGCAAGATAGTTCAAGCCGTGATTTGTCATAATTGTGATGATTATGGCTTACAGCTCATGAAAACCCCAAATCCACAATCTCAGAAAATTAGAATATTACATGGAACCAATAAAACAAGGATTGTACATAGAACAATATCGGACCTCTGAAAAGTATAAGCATGCATATGTACTCAGTACTTGGTTTGGGCCCCTTTTGCAGCAATTACTGCCTCAATGCGGCGTGGCATGGAAGCTATCAGCCTGTGGCACTGCTGAGGTGTTATGGAAGACCAGGATGCTTCAATAGCGGCCTTCAGCTCTTCTGCATTGTTCGGTCTCATGTCTCTCTCATCTTTCTCTCGGCAATGCCTCATAGATTCTCTATGGGGTTCAGGTCAGGCGAGTTTGCTGGCCAATCAAGCACAGTAATCCCACGGTCATTGCCAAAAGCACCAAAACCTGGTTCAGTGTGGGCAGGTGCCAAGCCCTGCTGGAAAATGAAGTCAGCATCCCCATAAAGCTCGTCTGCAGAAGGAAGCATGAAGTGCTCCAAAATCTCCTGGTAGACGGCTGCGTTGACCCTGGACTTAATGAAGCACAGTGGACCAACACTAGCAGATGACATGGCTCCCCAAATCAACACAGACTGTGGAAACTTCACACTGGACTTCAAGCATCTTGCAATGTGTGCCTCTCCATTCTTCCTCCATACTCTGGGTCCTTGGTTTCCAAATGACATGCAAAAGTTGCTCTCAGCAGAAAAGAGGACTTTGGACCACTGAGCAACAGACCAGGTCTGTTTTTCTTTAGCTCAGGTAAGACGCTTCTGACGTTGTTTGTTGTTCAGGAGCGGCTTGACAAGAGGAATACGACATTTGAAGCCCATGTCCAGGATCCGTCTGTATGTGGTGGCTCTTGATGCACCAACTCCAGCCTCAGTCCACTCCTTGTGAAAGTCCCCAACACTTTTGAATGGCCTTTTCCTGACAATCCTCTCCAGGCTGCGGTCATCCCTGCTGCTTGTGCACCTTTTTCTTCCACACTTTTCCCTTCCACATAACTTTCTATTAATGTGCTTTGCAAAAGAAGTTGGATGTTCCCAAAGTGCTGTATCAATTACCTTTTGAGGCTTTCCCTCCTTATGGAGGGTGTCAGTGATGGTTTTCTGCACAACTGTCAGCTCAGCAGTCTTTCCCATGATTGTGATTCCTACTGAACCAGACTGAGAGACCATTTAAAGGCTCAGGAACCCTTTGCAGGTGTTATGGCTTAATTAGCTGATTAGAGTGGGACACTTTGAGCCGAGAATATTGCACCTTTTTTACAATATTCAAATTTTCTGAGATTGTGGATTTGGGGTTTTCATGAGGTGTAAACCATAATCATCACAATTATGACAAATCACGGCTTGAACTATCTTGCTTTGCATGTAATTTTGCAGTTCCGGATAGGGGACGCACACACCCTACCTGCACTGCCATTCGCGGTCTTGGCTGTCAATCACTGGGTCACGGCCGGTGATTCCTCGCCGGCACCCGGTGATTGCTGAGTATCTCCAACGTGGGAGAGACCTGTGTATAAACAACACAGATCTGTCCCGTCAGCTCCTGCACACTGCTTTGTATGGCTCTGCATAGCATAGCAGAGCCATACAAAGCAGTGTGCTTACAGTGTAAAGCACACACATTAACACCCCTTGATCGCCCCTCATGTTAACCCCTTCCTGCCCTGTGTCATTAGTACAGTGTCAGTGCTTTTTATTAGCACTGACCACTATATTGGTGTCACTGGGGATGTCAATGACACAAAGTCAGTTCCCCCCCAGTGTCAGAATGCCCGCCGCAGTCCCGCTACAAGTCGCTGATTGCTGCCATTGCTAGTAAAAAAAAAAAAAAAATTCCAGTATATATACTGCAATTTGTAAACGCTATAACTTTCACATAAACCGATTAATTTACACGTATTGGAATTTTTTTCTCTAGCAAAGGCATGTCACAGAATACATTTTAGCCTAAATTTATGACAAAATTAGATTTTTTATTTTTTTAATTTACTGTACATGTAGCAAAAAGTAAAAAAAATGTTTTTCTCAAAATTGCTGGTCTTTTTTTTTTTTTTTTATATCGCAAAAAATAAAAACCACACAGGCGACCAAATACCACCAAAAGAGAGCTCTTCGTGGGTAAAAAAGGACATAAATTTAATTTGGGTGCAGCATTGCATGACCGCACAATTGTCAGTTAAAGTAACGCAGTGCTGTATCATAAAAAATGGCCGGGTCAGGAAAGGGGCTAAATCCTCTGGAGGGAAAGTGGCTAATCTTTGCGTTGATCGCATGCAGTAATGTCTCCAATCCAAAACCTGCCTTCCTTTATGCAATCCACCACTCCTGACTTGCTCACTAGGATAGGGGGCTTGCTATCTTTGTGAGCAAGCCAGAAGTGGTGAAACGCATCAAGAAAAGGAAGTTGGGCAGCACAGTGGCTAAATGGTTAGCACTTCTGCCTGGAAGTACTAAGGTCATTAGTCTGAATCCCAACCACGGCACCACCTGCCTGGAGTCTGTATGTTCTCCCGGTGCCTGCGTGGGTTTCCTCCAGGAACTCCGGTTTCCTCTCACACTCCAAAGACATGCTGGTAGGTCAATTGGTTCCTGTCTATATTCTAAATTGTCCCTAGTATGTGTATGTATGAATGTAAGTTAGGGACCTTAGATTGTAAACCCCTTGAGGGTTAGGTGTGTGTGTGTGTGTGTTGACAGCTCTATAGAAGTACCTGAAATAAATTAAAAATAATATGAAGGCTGGTTTTTGGGTTGGAGACATTACTGCATGCAGCCAACACAATAAATATTACAACTACTGCAAGAAGAGCTAATTGGAGTGCAGCTGATTGTATTCCTGTTTGCAGAACCCATCCTATTGATTTGCACTAATGCATTTCAGCAGTAACAGTGAGTTTAAAACTTCTTTTCATTGCACGAGTCCCAAACCCCCCTAGTAAATGTGGACTTGAGTAGCTGGTTCCCTTATCCAGAGTAATAGCAAAATGTGTAGTGTACGAAAAACCTTCCAGACAATGCTTTGATATTTGCTGATTTGTACCTCTGCTTCACCATTACTGCACTGATGAGGTAACAGTGGTGCAGGAGGAGTCCGTGTCAGAGAGGTGCGGTGTACAACTGAAGCGGGCCAGCCATCAGGCTGTGAAATCATTTACACTCAACGTAAGTTAATAAGCAATTGGGAAAAACCATGGTTGTCTCTCACACTGCATCTCCTATCCCAGCCTTTTGGCTTGGTATGGTTGTCAAGAACAAAAGAACCAAAATGTCATCTATTGCTGCTTTCTGGTCCGTATTTTTCTTTTTATCTGGGGATGCTGGCAGGAACGCACTTCCTGTCCTGGCGTGACATCTCACTCATTGTACTGTGTCTATGGAGGATTGGGATTGTCACCTTACACAGATTTGTAGTACAGAACACCCCACTCATCTCCATAACCTAGAGTGTGGAGGTCTTCTGTAGTCCAATCTTTGAACGAAAGAGGTTTGTTTGATTTCTGGCAGGATTGACAGGTATTTTTTTTTGTACTCATCCGACAAATATACCAGAAAAAAAATCAATTGTGTAATTAACAAATTAAAATGGCAAAAATAAGAGACGTTTTCCTGCAGATGTCTGCTCTTCAGGAGTCCCAGCCTGTGTCCTGTGCTGCCATCTTGGGTCTCTTCAGCCAAATGTCCCTTCCGGGTTCAGGCACTCTGGACCCCAATGAGACTGCAGCTCCACCCCCCGGCCACCATGGCCTCAGGAGTAAGACACCTCATACTCTAGGCAAGAATGGTAGTGGGGTGCTTTTTTTTTTTTATTTAAATTAAAAACCTCTCTACTTTGAGAGGGGGGTTGGCAGGGGTGCCAAGGCATAGACTCAAAGTGCTATGGTGGAGTGAAGTTCTGCTTTTTAATGCCTCAATGTGTCAGTAGAGGGCATGTCACATGTCATTGATATTTTTTTTCTACATTGGATATTTTATAATGATAGGTTTGCTCTGATGGAGATTTACTGTAAATAATTCATATGTTTTCTCCACAACATGCCTGTGATTTTTTCAGTATGAGCTAAGTGATGTTCACAAAATGGTTGTAAAATGTCATAGTGAAATACAGATTCATGAGAGGTAGATGGATCATTTCCTTTATATAGAAGTATCATATCCTACCATTAGAAGAGACTACCCTTACATCTCCCTGCCCCAGCAGAGCTCACATTCCAAGGTCCCAGTCACAGACATACTGACATGCCCACTAGGTAGCTGTATGTTTCTGCGAGTAATACGGAGCACATGAAGGAAACGCAAACAAACATTGGAGCAACATACAAACTGCATGTAGATGAGGCCCTTGGTAGGCATTGGCGCTTGATTCCCAGTGCTACAAGGTATGCATGCCAACCACTGTAACACCCTTGCTTAAAAGAGTAAATGTGAGTGGTTGGTATAGACGTGTATTTTTTTTTGACAGGTAAAGGCTTTGATAAAGCTGAAGGAGTGCGAGGACACCCATCTTGGCGAGGAGGTGGACAGGAACTGGGGGGAAGTGCTGACTCAGCAGTATCTCTTTGACCGCCTGGAACATGAGGTATAGAATTGATTGCATAGCAATGTACACAAAGAAGCTGCTTCTGATCTGTCCTTACTATACGATCAGTTGGTTTTAATATGCTCAATACGAGAACTGGAGTAAACACTTTTTGATCTGTTTAACTAAGAAAAACCTGAAGCAGCAAGTAAAATGGATCAGACGCAAACCCTGAGCAGTCCAGGAAAAAAAAAATGTATGCCAAACATAATGGCCTGCAATGATTATGACAGTACTGTGTAAAGCCTGGTACACACTTTAATTTTTTTGTTCAACCAAATTTTGAAAAAAAAAAAAAAATTCTATGCTAAATGAGCGATGTTAGAACAACGGCACAGTAGTAGAGATCGCTGCACTGACTGGGATTATCCTCCCTCTCTCTGAACGTGCCGATACTCGGACTGTGTATACCCAGCTTTAGGCAATAGAACTCTGAAGGGTCATAGCGCTAGCAAGCCCTGATATGCAAGGAATATGGAATGCAAAGGCAGAGTTCAGATACGTCTCTTAATTGTGTTTATATTAAGTGACACAGGACTGAATTAACAGCCAACTGCATTTTCACTGATTAAAGTCTTGAAATCTATTGATGTAGAAAGTAGCCACATCTGAATAGAAAAGCCAGTCCTCTGCCGGAATACAGCAGAGGATGACCCTTTCTGTGTGAAGAGAAAAGGTCCAATACATTCTTGGCTGAAGCAAAGGTAGAGCAGTACTATAGGGGTCAGGGGATGGGGGGAGTGTGGTGGGGGACACAGGCATCTAGCATTCCTGGAAGTGTTGAATTCTAACAGAACTGATGGGAGTATTGCCGCACTGGAATGGAACAGACTGCCGGAAAGGTTTAGTGTAAGAGCTCTAACTTTACATGTATGCTACCTAACAGTTTAGATTTAAATACCAGTCTGTGACTGGTGATTGGGAAAACAGGCTTGAAATGTAAGCATGTCCAGAGCAGCAGAACAATTGAATTAGATATTTTCTAATCTTTTTTTTTTTTTTTTTTTTTTTTTGTAATCAGTCTCCTTCAGTAAAATGGAAACCCTTTAACCATTTGGATGAAACTTTCTGTTACACTTTTGTTGAATTGCAGATAGAGGCCTTGAAGACCTTTAAAAAGACAGACATGACCAGCTGCTTCCAGGAGCATCGGGGGTGTGACAGGAGGGTACTAAGTGTACATGTGAGTGATCATTCTCCGTTTTAAATGTTAAAGAAAATTCTACTGCTCCGCTATTATTCAGTGCTTGTAGTAGGGCCCTTTCACACAGATGTGCTTTTGTGCAGCAGCTTAGGGCCCCTTTCACACTATGCTTGTGATGCATGCCCATTGACTTACAATGGAAGGCCTTTTTGGTGTGCTTTTGAAAAACTGCACCAACAAAGCACCTTCCATTATAAATGCAGCACGCAGGACTTTTGAAAGCGCAGCACACGTGCAGTGTGAACCATTACCTAGGATTTATTGGGCATAATTTTCATTCACTTTTGGTCGCCCTTGAAAAGCGTGGTAAAAGCGCTCCAATGTGAAAGAGGCTATAGGCGTTTGACATAATCATTAGGGCTTTTGTCGATGGCAGCAGTTTGAACCAGCTTTAGTAAATAAACCGCTAAGTGTCTCACCCAGAATCTGGTGCGGCTGTGCATGGTAGCCAATCAGCTTCTGCCCTCTGCTTGTGCAATAAAACCTGGAAGCTGATTGGTTTCTATACAGAAGTGCACGAGATTGTGAGTGAACCAGCTTTAGTAAATAAACCCCTTCGAATTCACTGACCAGTACATTTCAGCTGGTTTTGCAATCCTATACACTTTGCATCAGATGGGTTTTTCATGCCCATGAATACAGGCCCATAGCAGAAGGGGAGCCAGTAAACCTTTTGCAGTGGTACAAATAATCGATATCTGGTCGCCTGCAGTGACATGTAATTCTGGGCACAGTAGTTGAGCAGTATGAAGGAATGATTGGTTGCATCTTATGACATTGTTGTAACAATAATGACCTCTTTTCTGACAGGTGGTTGGATTTGGTGAGAAGGAGCCTGATTCTGTGCCTTCTCAAACACCCTCTGAAGAACCTGAATCTTCTTATGGCAACATTACCAGTCTCACCTTCCTTCCTCCTTCTCCGCTCATGGCAGACGCTGTGCCAATTAGTGACATCCATAGCTTTACTTCCACCCTAAAATTGCTACCATACCACAAGATCATCAAGTGAGAGATCGGACAGATATGTGACTACTGGGTGATGAGCTGTGTCCTTCTACCATCAGCAAAGGGACTTCTATAAAGGGTTGTGTAATAGTGTGTTTCTGGTGCTCGCTGTAGCATGGCCAGAATTGAAAGAAGGAAGAAAAAAAAAAAAGTTAAATCTAATTATGAGACTGTAGATATGCAGATTTTTAAACCTAGACATTTAATGCTGCTCTTATTGGAAGTAAAACATTTGAAGTACTAAATGATTTTACAAATCCTGGTATCTGGATACAGTACAAGAATGACAGGCACATCTTTTATGGTGAAAGGTCAGCGGTCACAGTGACATGACTGAAGAACAAATAGTCTGCATTGCCGGGAGCTTAGGTTACTATGACCACAAATCTTCATTCAGACACCTTCCTGAATGTCAGTATGGTTTTGTATCCAGCTTGATCAAAGAGAAGAATAATGTAACTGAATTAATTTAATTTAGGATTTCCATCACATTTGTTATCTCCTACACACTGATGTTCTCAATCAGTTGATCAATGCTTTCTTTTCTACTTTAAGTGGGACTCCGGCAAAAACATTTTATACATTTTGGACTGTCAGAGCAGGTTATAACATTTGCCTCTTTAGTGCTTTTGTGTGTCCCCTTTAGATTCCCCTCACTTCCTGTGCCAGAGACATAACAGGAAGTGAGGTGCCCACCCAATGAGAGGGGAAACGCCATCTTTGACAGTTACCTGGAGAGATTTGTGTTTTACTTTGTTCAAGCACAACCGTAGAAAAAAAAAAAATCTAATCCTCACCAGGACAGGAAGTAAGTGTATATCTCCCCCAGTGGGGGCATAGCAGGTGAACTTGCCATATGCTCTAACACACTCTCCATGTTTATGCATATCTAGAAAAAAAAAAATGGCATGTGTATATTTTTTTTCCCCACTTGGTATGCCCTGCATGGACAACGCACATGGGGCACTACAACAGGTTCACTTTATTCCACCTTGCCAGAAGCATATCCCCCCCTCACTACTCCATGAAACATATGAGGCTCATATATTGTAGCTGCACAGGGCTATGTTCTCTCACAAGTGCTGTCACAGACTGAATCACACATCCTACTTCATACTGGGGGGGGGGGGGGGGGGGGGGGGGGGGGGGGGGGGGGGGGGGGGGGGGGGGGTCCCAGCAGCTGAATGGAGCGGCAGGGAAGAGTAGGAAAGGCGAGAGAGTAAAGCTGCAGGTAAGGGACTTTATTTATTGCTTTCCAATCCGCTATAGAAATGGTATGAACCACCATCTGCATTTTTATTAAAACTGAATGCTGTGTACTGGAGTGTGATCTGTTTTCTGTGAACTGCACATGACACGGCTTCCTTACACATAGTTTTATCCAACACATTGCTTTCTGCTGAAGAAGCTTCATAAAACCAAATGTGACGAGTAGCAAGATATGGATAAAAATCTGCAGTTTGATACGGAGCAATACTGAACCATGCTGGTGCCACGTTTTTAAGTTGTGCATTGTAAAGACTTATAAAATGGGCTTTGCATATGGGCAATTTTGTTATGATCTAAAACAAAAGTGGTTTATCTAGATGTTGACTGAGTGGTTGGCCAGGGTAAAGAAGAGATGGAATCTGACAGTTCACTGGCCGTGAGGCAATGTATACGACTCTTTCTATTGACATTGATGAGGATCAATAAGGAATATAAACAGGATAAAATGAAAGTGAGCCTTGTATCCAATAGCAACCAGTCAGTTCATTCTGTAGCCAAAATTTGGAAAAATGCCATGTGCAATTTGTTATGTGGCAGCAACTTTTCTTTACTCCATTTTTTGCACTGGAGCCTCTTGACTTGTTTTAGGTTAAAGTTAGTTCTTAAAGTGGAACTTCACACTCACAGATTATTAATCCTTACCCTGCTAGCATTAGGAAAGTAGATTATATTTACCTAAACTTTTTTTTTACATTTCTTCAGTTATTTCCTGCCTAGGCAAATGATGTCATATATCCCAGCAGTCTTTAGGAGGGGGCTCAGCTCAGCCTATGCCTGAACTAAGGGCAGAAGGCTTTCAGGAAGTACATGAATCATCTACCCTTCCTCAAGATGGCCACTGCCAGAAATGCTAGGGGGTGTTTTTTTTTTTTTTTTTTTTTTAGAATGATTTCTCAGCACAACAAAGCGAGGAGAAGTTTGCGTTGAATATTAAACATGAATTAAATAGTTTTTTTTTTTTTTTTTTTAATGTTTTGCTTAAAGTGGAACTGCACTGCACCTGAGCACCATAAACCAAAAAAGCTAATTTCCACAAAGCTTACTAATGGTAGGTGGGTTTATTTAAAGCAGTGACCAGGGTGAAAGGGCCTTTCTACACTTCCCCACTAGGTTTCCTAAATAATATTGGTCTTTTTTTGCCTCTCTTTATAGTCTTTTTATGTATGTAGCAGCTAGACTAGTCGATTACTTGCTCATTGCAAATGCATAAAAACGGCCTGCACAGAGGCTTGGGCACTCTGGGGTCAATGCACTTAGATAAATACTGTGTGAATTTTTGCCTAATATAAAAACTCATGAGATATTTATCTCAGAAGTCATCAGTTGATTAAAAAAAAGTCCTATTTCACAAATATTTGTTTTGCAATATTTTGTTATTTATTTTCCCCCACTGGCCTTATAGACATATCCCAAAAGCCAGCCAGTTCAGCAGGAGCCAACCAATGGCTGCAAGTGCTGATCAGTGTATTCTGATGGGGTGCTATCCCTGAATCATACATCGTTGGTATGGAGATCTATCAAGTTTCTTTTCAACCTGCTGTACCACAGGGATATTGTTCTGTGAATGAAAGCAGACAGAATCATTGTGAAAACTATGCAAAATGGTCCAGTGTCTTCATTCACAGAACAATCTCCCCCTGGTACAATGTTACAGATGGTTCACATTCCTGAGCTAAAGGTAGAACATTTTCACATTGCTAAAACATTTTTACCTTCATTATTTCCAAAAAATCATTTTATGTAGCCAGCCGGGAGCCTTTTTTTTTTTTTTTTTTTTGTTAACCACTTGCCTACAAGGCACTTATACCCCCTTATTTACCAGGCCAATTTTCAGCTTTCAGCGCTGCTGCACTTTGATTGACAATTGCGCGGTCATGCAACATTGTACCCATATGAAATTTTGATCATTTTTTTCTCACAAATAGAGCTTTCTTTTGGTGGTATTTAATTGCCACTGGGCACTTTACTTTTTGCGCTATAAATAAAAAAAGTTCAAAAAATTTGAAAAAAAAAAAAAAGTTTCTTTGCTTCTATTATAAAATTTTTCAAACAGGTATTTTTTCTCCTTCACTGATGTGCATTGTCGAGGCGGCACTGATAGCTAGCACTGAGGTGGCACGGATAGGCGGCACTGATAGACAGCACTAATGAGGTGTCACGGATAGACGGCACTAATATGCAGCACTGATAGGCGGCACTGATGGGTACTGATAGACGGCACTGACTGGCATCACTGCTGGGCACTGACTGGCACAACCCCTGGGCACTTTCTGGTGGCACTGACTGGCCGCACTGGTGGGCACAGGTGGGTGGCAAGGCTGGGCACAGGTAGGTGGCACTTCTGGGCACAGGTGTGTGACACTGCAGAGTGGCACAGGTGGGTGATCTGCTGGGCACAGGTGGGCAGAACTTGCGGGTGGCACTGCTGGGCACCGATCATCAGTGCCGATCCCCGCTCTGCCAACTGCCGGTTCTCGGCAGTACTTTCCTCACGATCTGACAGCGTGAGGAAAGTGCAGTCGAGAACCGGCACTTGCATTTCCCTCTGATCCGCGTGTCATTGGACACCGCTGATCACGTGGTAAAAGGCCGCTGTGATTGGCCTTTTACCACATCACGTGATCAGCTGTGTCACGGATCACGGAGATCGCCAGGTGCGCGCCCCCAGAGCGCGTTCTGGGTGGACGACATAAGACGTCCACTCAGAACTGGCCGGCCGCAGTGCAGCCGTCATTCGGCTATCTGCGGTCGGCAGGTAGTTAAAGCATTTTTCCCACTGATGAATATTCTAAACAGCATTTAGCAAATTTCTTGTACATTTCCCTCTTAAATTTTTTTTGAGGATGATGTACTTTTAATATGTTCCACACTGGTGGCAATGAAACAGACAGGGCTGGAGCACTTGCTGTGCATTTCCTCCATTTAGAAAATGTCTTGTATAAAGTGTTCTGTGATTGGACAAGGGGTGTATGTCATAGTTTCCCTGCATTACCTTTGTGCTATAGATTCACTGAGCAGTAGAAAGGCATAGGGGACAGAAGGCAGACCAGAGCTGATAAATAGAATGGCAGATTTTGGGGAGCCCAGGAATCTGCTCTCTGGACCTTGATACATAGTACATATGTTTTAAAGAAGACATACAATGTTGATTTTTCTGAAGATTAGATTTTTAATTGCAAATCATAAATGCAGATCTAATAAAATAATTTGCTCTAACCATTTTATTAGGAAATAAATAAATACAAAGGCAAGACCAGTTTCTGGGGCATGGAAGAAAAAATAACTATATATGAAGAGAGAGGGCAGTTTACACATTTGAGAATTTCAGGTAGGTATGGATAGTGCCGAAAAGTAAAGTCTAATTTTCAGAAGTGTTCTGGTGGTTATTAAATTTCCAGATCTGTACTGTATATACAAGAGGAACTGAAGATATTTTGATATAGAATAGTAATCACGTCCTGCGATCGTCAGAGGAAGAATGTGGCACTGGGTAACAGAGCCTGATGTACAAATTTTGTTTTAGACTTTTCCATGCGAATTCTTTAGAATTAAAGTACAGCTCCAACCAAAACTGATTTTACTGTTGGAATGAGACACTGATGTTCAGGTGATCCCCCTCCCCAGCATGGCTGTGACTATGGGTGTTTGGCTAAACAGCAAACAAAATTCTCCATCTATACCTTTTAAAGAATCCACCACAGGGCAAGTGATGCAGCATGTCTAGGTCTGCTGTCATGTAGTGGTCTCCCCCAGAAATTTCCAGTTGAACATTACATTTAACAGCCACACTGGGGTCCTGGACAGCACTAAACATTGGGTGTCAGTCCAGCAGACGGCCATGTTGGATGGAGCTGCTCTCTAAATGTAACTGTTACCAGTAAAGAAATAATTTTTTAGGGCCTGGTTTAACCTATTCATCCATTAGGGAGTAAGTCCCAAGGTGGCACCAATGTCAATGGGCAGGTTAACCAAGACAAAATGGCCCCCTGTGGAGAGCTAGGAGTGCCAGCTTTGTGTTTTATGGGGAAGTACAGGACCTTTTAAAGCGTTAATTGTGATACACAGACACAATGTCCTGTTTGATTTGTCATACCATAGAAGTCCAGTATCCCTGAGTAAGGAACCGCTGCAGTGTAAGGGCCCTCTCAGCACCAAAGAGAGAGTCAAATCATCCGGAAATATCACAAGAACGTCTTGTTTTTCTGGGCTTTCCATGGTTCTCGCTAAGGTTCTGCTACGATTGTTCTGTAGGCCACTTAGTACTTGACAGGCAGTCGTTTAAGGAGTGGTTCATCGTACACCCAGCACTCCCCGTCCTCATGGAATAGCTAAGAGAATGCAGAGACAGGAAAGTAGAGAAGGAACTTTCTTTATCGAATAAACCACATTTTTGACATGTCTCCACTTTATAGCAAGGCTTCACAGAACAGTCTTTAATATGGCATTCCTGCAACTTATAACCTCTAATTTTTACTGTGACCTTTCTGCCTTGCTTTTTGTCGCAATGACAGGTAGACAATTGGGACACTGACATTATCATTTTTCTACTGGGAAAAAAATAGTTTTATTGTCAGTATCTAGTGCAGCTCAGATCACATGCCTCCAATCAAGTAGATGGAGAGGTTCCTCCAATCGCAGCTGCTTAGACAGGACACACTCAACACTTGGACAAGTCTATGAGGGCGCACTGTGCAGATGCAGCCAGCAATGAAAAAAAATGCACTTCTTGGGAAAGGAGTCTTAGGGAAAATGGCCACAACCTGTCTCGGAGTCTACTCTGATCAATAGGGGATCTGTGAGTGGATCAGCAGGGATCTGTGAGTGGATCCCCTGCTGATCGGAGCCCAGTGGGACAGATGTCTTTTTTCAACATCTGTGCCTGTTTACTTTCTTCTGGTGGACTATGGGCAGCCAGGTGTAAAACAGGCACCATTATTTACATTAGGCTGCCTCTGAGCTGGTCTGGAAAAATGTAAAAGGATGAAGTCCTCTTCTATGTTTATCTTTTCTTCCAGGTCTGGATGAACCCAGAGGTAAGACATAAGTACATTTACATGTGCCTGTCCACAGGGCTCCATGGACCTTCTGATCAGGTATGCCTGAAATCCTGACAGGCAGACCTGATGGGAATGCCCATGTGAAAGGAGCTTAAAGTAGTGGTGCTAAACCTCAATCCTCCAGTACACGCAACAGAGCATGTTTGGGGAATAAGTCATAAATACCAAGTCACTGATATTCATTTAAAGCTGAAGTTTAATTTAGAAAAAAAACAAAAAAAGATCCCTACAGCTTTAGTCACATAATGTACCTGTAATGAAGTATGTCCCACGTTGTGAAAGCACCTGGATACTGAGCAAATCTTCACTGCAGGGATACCCTGTCCTCTTCCCTTCTCTGAACTTGCAGTGCTGCAATAGTTAACAGTTTTGGGTCTGATGGAAGTATGCGCCCGCCTCTTTCCTCCTCCAATGAGAAAAGTTATTTCATGGATTACACTGCTTTTAACACCCTCTGTTAATAGGGAAGAGTCTGATCAGTCACAAGTTTCTCTCCCTCATTCACAGATCAGGCTAAAAGCTGTGCAGTTAACAAAGAACTTTTCTGAATGGAGGAAGAGAAAGTAAGGCACATGTCCCTGTTGTACTATCTGTACTACTACTGTTCTGCATGAAGACCCAAAGCTGTTAACCATGGCTGCACTGGGGGTTCAGTCACAGGAAGAGGACAGGGCATCCCGGCACTGAAGATTTCTTTAGGATGCAGCTGCTTGAACAACGTGGGACATAAATTACTACAAGTCAGTGTGGTGACTAAAGTGGTAGTGATTTTTTTTGAGCCAAACTTCAGCAGTAAAGCACCTGTGCATGTTGAAGAAGAAAATCCAGAAGACATGACTTATTGGGGAAGTTAAGAAACTTGGTATGAATTAAGGCCAAGAGGGCTAAGCAGCTTCCCTAGAAGCATTCGGTGTTTGTGATGGAGCAGCCTGGGGAGCATGGGCAAGGGTATTATAAGTGAGGTTGGATAGTAAGAATCTGTAACCGATCCCATTCAGGGCAAAGTGATAGATTCTCTAACAAGAGTTAGGCTACCCCTCTCTCCTGGGGATTATCCAGCCTCAATATTGTCCATCATAACCAACCATCATACTGATTGTCATAGGAACTTGTCAGATTCCAGTCATAGAAAACCACAAGCACTGGAACGTACCCTAGTTTCCCACTGTACTTCTTTTTCTTTGCGTTCTCTTGCTTCTGCTCGTTGCCTCTCTTCCAGACGGTGCTTTGCCTCGGTGGCGTCGTCGATGTCCTTGATCTTCAAGTTGTATGTGACATCTTTCCATAAACTTATGAAAGTGTAGATGTGAGAATTACAGGGAAAATATTCACATTCTATTGTGATCTTCTGATCAGACTAAATAAAAGTCAATTCTTAGCATAGAATAAACCTTACAGCAAGTCACACATTACATTGAAATACTGTTGAGGTGATGATAAACCCCAAACCAGAAATGTAATATACTACAGCTTACCAGTCCTTTTCTGGGGGGGCTGGATGTTGATTTTTTTTTTTTTAGGCTCCCCCCTTCCCTATTGATCTGAGCAGCAACACACCTCCTTTATTAGGAGTTCCCCCACTGTGAATGAAGGAATACAGAGACACCTTTGGACAGCAGCACTGTCAGTCTGGGGGAAGGGAGTGTTAGCTGTACTAGCAGATTTAGATACACTAACAAATTGAAGGCAAACTCCAGATAACACTTTATAAGCAGTTACTGCAAACAGTTTTGTTCCTTTTGGGATAAATGTTTTGCAAATATCAGAACTGACCATTGTAACCACCCGTCACTGATAGAGGTTTGCGGCAAGCCATTTAAACTGTGACATCTGCAGGACAGCTTGTCCTGTTGAAAAGCATACTTACTGGCCAAATCACCAGGTAAAAAGAAGAGGAATGCCGCCATCACATTTAATGATTGGTAAGCTGCAATATAATGTTTGGTTTTGGGATTAATACAGCTTTAGGCAGCTGACTGCATCCAGGGTCAGACATCTATCCCAAACCACAGCTAATCTCTGTGTGCAGCTACATGCGATCAGCAGCTGGTCACATAACCCAGTCATTCCAGCAGCAAGAATCTGCATTGTGTAAACGTTGTTTGATCCTGTCTACTCTAGTTTTCCCCTTCCACAGTCCCCAATCGATTTGCTGACAGTACAGAGCCCTAGATGGCACCCTAGCAGTATACACACTAAACTGAGCATGTGCAGATGTTTTTTTTTTTTCTTTGAGAGGGTATATGTGATCAGCACTGGGCCAACCAGCACTGTACAGAGGGTCAGGGGTTATTCAGCCTCGAATAATGAAAACTCCTACAAGCTTTAACCAGTGCCCAGCTGGACACTACTAGAAGTCACAAGACTGCTCTAACTGCTGACAAGAAAAGGTATTTAGCAGTTTATATTTACTAAAATAATTGCATTTCCATGTTGTGTGTACTGTGGGAGACCAGATATAGTGAATGCAGGGTCCTGGGTTTAGTAACACTTTAAGAACAATTAAGATTCCTGAATGAACACTATAAGACCACTTTTCAAAGGTCAGATCTACTATAAAACTTAAAATACAAACAGCACTTGCAATTATTTCAGATATAAATCAAATAGAATACAGTTTGCATTTCTTTAACTGTATTTTCTGTTTTATATTTGAAAAAATTGCAAGAGCTGTAGTTTCTAGTGACACTATTGGAGTTTGGTTAACAGCGGCGGCACACATTTTGATTATTTACCTTGAAGCATTTTGCAGCACTTGTTTATTTTATTCTACTTTAAAGAGGAGTGTCACTCACCTGTCAAAAAATAAAAGTCAGCCGCTACACAAACTGTAGCGGCTGACTTTAAAAAAACACACTTACCTGTCCCTTGGTGTCTCCCCCCCAGCTCGTTTCAGCAGCCGTCCTGTATTGCAGGAGGCCGGCATCTTCAGTGTGGGCACCCGGCTGTGACAGCTTGCGGATTTACAGCCGGGTACCCACTGCATGCGCAAGAAGCGCTGCGCTTCATGAATGGTCCTGTAGTCTTCTGGGACCTGTCACCTTCTGCTTCTGATAGTCTAGGCGATCGGACCGGAAGAGGAAGTGGGTACCTCTCAAATTCGGGTACCCCCTCCCCCAAAAGTGCCAATCCTTAATGGAGAGCAGTCCTTAAAATGGAACTTCCCCTTTTGGCTGGAGCTCTGTTTTAAAGCCTAACTCCAGCTTTGCAAACACTATTTTTTTTTGGGGGGGGGGGGGGGGGGAGAGCCACTAATACTTGTGGATGCTGTCAGCGCTGTAGCAGCACCATTGTGGCAGCAGTACAGAGACATCCTGTCTGCTGCTGGAACAAAATTGACTTAGGCTGAGCCCTCCTCAGCCATTCACAGAAGCCATTTATTTTTTTTTATCAGTGAATACAAGGCTTCCTCTGATTGGCTGAGGTGAAGATCATGACATAATTCAACGGCCTCTACACCTCAATTAATCAGGATAAACCACAGGAAGGAAGATTTTTTATTATAATGTGTAGTGCAGACAATTAAATTGCTGGTAACGTTCTCTTAAAACACCCCAGTTGGAAGTAGTGCAGCACTTATTTACCTTCTAGATTCATATTCTAGTTGGTCTTCCAGCTTGCGGACCTTCTTCTTTACTATAGGCATATTCTTGGTATCTATAAAAACTACATTCTCCTGTAAAAGAAAGCAGAAGTCAGTATAATAGAATAATGAAACACATGACTACTGTAGTTAAAGCAGAACTATAGGCAAAACTTTTTTCATCTTGGATAGAGCAAGGAAAGGTTATAACCCCTGTCACTTTTTTTGCCCTCTTTCGGGAGATTTCGCTTTCACTTCCTTTTTGGCTATAGGACAGGAAGTGGAGGAAATCCCTGCAAGTTAAGGGAATCCCTTGGGGACCCCCAGGCCACCAGAACTAGTGTCCTTAATGGAAGATTTCCCATTACTTTTCTGGGGAATAACCCAAAATTTGGAATTTTCTTCTACTTTACTATCAATTAAAGTGAAACAGGACAAATAGGTAGGGTGACTTTCCTTAACGGGGGCTCAGGCAGCAATATAAACTGATTTCACTTGCAGAGACACACGTTTATATCAGTTTTCCTGTGCGTTTCAGTGAGTTTTTATGCAGTTTGACATCAGTTTTCATGCACTTTATGTACAGATAGACATCACACCCTTCGTCAGCACTTTCTCTTCTGCCCTCTTCACACCACAATGTTGATGTCACCTCAGTTTTTTTTTTTTCCCCTGCAGAAACTGCATACACGTTGCAGATTCCTGTGCAGAAAAAATATGCAGTTGTTACTAGTGTTGTGGTGGTGTGAACAGGGTACATGAAGAACTATTGTTTTCTTTGTGTCCTTGCAGCGGTCCCATTTCACCCTACGGCCAGAATTGTGAGTTGTTCTGCAACAGCTCTCCATTGATGGCTGCGCTAGGGGGCAGTGCGGTGTGCAATTCACTGCATCATATTGCTCTTATTTTTCTTCTTTTGAAGCTGTATTTGAAGTGTACAAAACATGCATTGCATTCATTGCAATGTCGGGCAGCGGAGTGCACTGCCCAATATCGCAGTGCAATTCAGGAAGGTGTACAGCGTTGCACTAGGATGTGTTGCAGTGTGAATGGGACACATAGGAAATAATTGTTTCTTGTGTGTCTCTGCGATGACAAACATTTTACCATGCTCTTTTTTGTTCTTTCAAAGCAGTATTTGAAGTGTACAAAACGTACCCTTCAGTCACTGCAATGTTGGGCAGCACAGTGCTCCACAGTGCCATTCAGGCCGGTGTCCTGCAATAAAATGCAGCATGAATGGAACACAATTATTTCCTGTGTGTCTCTGCAGTGACATCACATATAGTGTGAATTGGCCCTGAAACTTATGTTGAGTCCAGGAGTGGTAGAGCATCATTGTCACCCCATCACAGGGTGCTGCTTTAAACCCTCTGATTGCCATGTGGTATGACGAAGACATCCTTGGCAGTCAAAGGGTTAGACCCAACTCCAGATAAAGGAAAAATGTGAACCTTTCAATTGCTTGCAAAAGTTTAAATATAAAAAGCTTTAGCTGAAATACTTAGCCCATCTCCACCACTGTCCTTTCAAGGTTCAGCACTGGGGTCTCCAACCCACTTCCAGTGAGCTCAGAGGATCAAGGACTCACCCCATTTTGGTTGCACCATAAAGCCATCTTGGGCACCAAGCAGAATATGGTGCAAAAACAGGCTCTATATCTGTAGCATTCAGGGCCTGTGGTCCTAAATTACAGGACTGATGACCCGTGGTTTTAAAAGAGTAGGTTTATGAAAAAAAAATATAAGGCTGTGGGTGATATACTGCTGTTGGGCTTTAAATAAACTACTCCCCCACCCCTCCTCCTTCAATGCATTTCAATTACAGGTGTCTCTTTAGGAAACTTATGAATCAAGGACAGCTTCTGGAGGTTCATCAATAAATCAAAATGACAGAACAGTGGCACAAACAAGAATGGCATCACAAAATATATCTTACCCCATTTGCATATTTTGCATACATAACACCATTCCACTCCCCTTCCACTGAACAGAAAGATTTCTTGTCATTAGGAGGACTAGAGTGAAAACAGAAAAGGAGTCACTGAGAAGAGTAAAAACAAGGCAACATTTGCTTTATTTCTTATAAACTGATGTCATTGGTCCCAAGAAGCCTTTAAAACTCACTAGATTTCCGCTGTGACTCTGTGCTTCTTCCCACCATAGAAAGGTTTGGTGTGGAAGGTGATTGTGGCGCTGTAGCCAGTTTTGGAACAGTTGATGTTGCACTCTCCACCGAGCTCTACCCAAGGCACAGTCAGGATGGACCTGAAGACACATGGATTTATTTAATAAGTTCATAATACATACACAATATATATGACCAATAGAAGCAAAGTTATTTCTTTTCAAGCTTCAGTGCTTTAATATTTGTGCAGGTCTCTGAGTTGTCATGGTTTCTAAAACTGCCTTTGGTTTGGCATTGACCACAAATTCTGTTCAAGTAAAACTATTAAAGCTACAGAATACAGCAGATTCTTTTTTCTTTCTTCTTGCCATCTTTTCCAATTTACTTTTAGTCCCTGTAACAATGATCATCAATACATACAAAGAACGTGAATCTACCAAGTGGGGACACCAAAAGCAATAAAACCTGACAGGGGTTTTGGACCTTCCATACTCTATCCAAATAAAAAAAAATATTTAAGCTGTAAATAATCTTTAATATATAGCAAGAAGAAGAACTCGAAGTTTAGATTATAGAAGTGATAGGTGTCATTTCACGTTTGCTCCATACAACTCTCCTGCTTCCCAATACACTGCCCTGCAGCATGCTTGGAAGTCAAGAAATCCCCCATACACATGGAGCCAAAAAACTAAACATTTCAATCTGATTTTACACCAACTTTCAAATAAAACGAACAACTGTAGGGTGAAGGCCTATTGGCTAGACATAGTCTTGGAACTGAACTCCAGGTAGATTCCAATAAATGTAATTATATGCAGTTTTTTAAAATATAAATACAAAGGTGGTGGTGGGAGGAGCCAATCATTCACACTAGATTTGCAATAGCAGTTTATCATCTTTAAATGCAGTGATCCAGATCTATTACTACAGCTACACTATTGAAAAATACTTGCAACAAAAAAATAAAACAAATTAATCATCAGTTACATACGAATCCTTTTTTTTTCTGTTATCTGACTTCAATAGCTAATGAAGGATGACAAGGCTGACATTGTCCTAATATCTGAAAGCCAGACGCTGTTGGTAAACATGTGTGGCCTTGCTAGAGTGCAGTGGATGCTGGGATGTATACTCTGGGGGGGCAGCTAGTAGGGACAAAGCCTATTGGTGGACTTTACTGAAAGCCAAAGTATTCTATAGTTTCAACAGCCATCAATTAGCTATATGTGCAGTGGCATACATACCTGAACACATTAACAACATAACTTGGCTTTAAAGCATACTTGGTACATGTAATGGCAAAGTGGTCAGTGGATGACCTATTTAAATATTAATTAACAGCTGTGGGGAAAAAAAATATTCCCCAAAGCCATTTGCAGCTGTGGTATTCCAGTTTTATTTAACTCACCTCCCATATCCATTGGGGAAGGTTAAAATGTAGTGTTCATCATAGTCTAAACAAGATACACAACCTGTAAAATTAAAAAAGAGAAAAAAAAAATGAGTTATCATTGGCTCTCTGAATTGAGAAAGATCAAAAGAGAAATGATATACTATAAAGTATTGTGACAGTGTGGCGATCTGTCACCCTGGATTCTCAACAAGGCAGGTTGAGGGGCTCCAGGGTAAAGGTTTGATATGGAGGAAAGTGGCTTTTCACTTTCCTCCTTTGTAAGGTCCACTTTGGGAGCTGGAGCCTGGAGATTTCGAAGCGATCTGGGAGGGATGAAATCTCCAATCCTGGGACCAGGTTTTGGGAATGGCCAGGAGACTGATTGCACAGGTGTGTGCGGGCCTTTTTAGAGTCAGGACCAGGGTTCTGGGCTCCACCCCGGCAGATAGGAGTCAGGAGGGCTCCAACCCGGCAGACAGGAGTCAGGTGGGCTCCACCTAGAAGAGGTGGAAGCCAAAAGCAGCAAGGGGCTGCTAGAGTCTAGCTGTGTGCTAGTGGCCAGCTGTGTGCACGAGCCATAAGTCTTGAAGAAGTCTGCAGGAGACAGACAGCAAGCTGAGTATAAGCCAGGAGGCTGAACTGTTTTGTGGATGATCGATACCCCGTGTGGGAAACTTCTGTTTTGAACTTTCATTTAAATAAAAGTGGGCTAAAAAAGGCCTTAAAAAAGAAAGTGAGTAGCTGTGTGCGTTTAAAAGCTCTACCACTTTGAAGCGAGTTCCCACAGTATCTACAATATTTTGTAGTTTTAATTCTTAGAGGATTAGTTCAGCCAGATTAGAGAAACCAAGATGTTAACTAAATGCAAAATAAAAAAATGCTTGCACTTTATAACGCCACCATAGCCATTCCACATAAAATGAAAAAACAATGGAAGACTAACTTCAGAAGAAAGAGATAATAAATAATTAAGAGACTGCCCACTTAGCCAAAGACTTCCAACATTAACCCCACAAGTGAAGGCATAGTCTCATCAAAAAGTAGAACTCTTCTAGCTAAAAAAATACAACCAACCAAACTATTACCATAAACCGTTTTTTTTTTTTTATAAAAATGCTCACAAAAAAAAAAGTAAATTCAGGGTTGGGAGCTTACTGGGACCATTTACTGGTGTCTTCCACACAGGACTGTCACTACCAAGGTTTGGCAAGCTCCCCAATCCAAATTTCTCTATTTTGGCACACCAGCCTCTTTGAGGGTCCTTGTAAGTGTACAGTTGTTTTAGTTGAAGAAAATCAGTTGGTTCACAACACTAAAGCAAACCATAGATGATGCAGTTTTCCTGCAAGCTGTGAATACCTCGATCAGTATTGTGTTCTCCCGGTTCTGCTGGCAACAATCGCATATAAAATCCGACATGCTGGCTGTGCCCATGTTGTACAACAATCGCATTGGCTACAATCAGCCTGCCCATAGATGGTTAGAATCTCAGCCAGTTCATGCTGAACGGGCCGAGATTTGAACCATCTATGGCCGGCTTTAGTTGGGGTTCTCGTTTTATTTATCTTTACGCATTGCTTTACCGCAGTGTAGTCTGCCAAGAAAGTGCAGGACCTGGCTGCTTAGGTTGGCAAAGGTGTCACAAGAACAGCTGAACAGATGTTTAAATCCTTTGGCAGGGAACACAGTTTAGATATGCACTTCAACTCTGTATTTAGCAGTTTTCATGGAGGTCAGTTCTAATGGCTGAAATTGTAAGTTGCAAAAAATGATTTAAAAAAGCGATTTGTTCGTTACAATCATCATAAGTAGATAGTATATGTAATAAGAAAAGGGTATGTGTTTGCCCAGCTTTGGTACCTATCACCCTTAGGCACTATTAAATGGGAAAAAAATACTTTTAAAGCTGTCTATATAACATGGTACATTTTTCATAAAATAAACCTCAATGACAGGTGCTTCTCTTTTTGTGATGGCAACCCACAAATTACTACTGCTGGATCTTCTTTCCAATGAAGAACTTTTTTTTTCTAAGTACACAGAATTCTGCTTTCATTAGTCAGTTACAGCTGATAATTGATTGGTTTCTGTAGGGTATTGTATGACACTTCCCTGAGAAACAAGCATCTCTGTTCTTACCTTGCCCAATATTGTGGACCCCTATAGACATCCCCAAGAACTTGGACTTTGTCCAGATGTGAGCATTGAACTGTATCCTCTTGTTGTAACATTCGGCATAGAAGGCTGAAACTACAAAAAGAAAAAAAATGCATACAGCAGAACGTAAGATAATTCTGATAATACATAAAGCACTGTAGAAACACTGCTGCAAACCATTCACACTGGAACAAGTCTTACCATTACCATACCACCATGTCACAACAGACCTCTATGTAAGAGTTGCTGTTATTGGCTGTCCCAGAACAGCTGGACATCTCCAAGGATGCACCACTTTGGCATAAGAAAGTTCTATAGTTTACAGGTCACTGATATGAAAAAGAAAAGGCTATATAGGGAATCTTAAAAACTGAACTGTTAAAAATCTTTAGGCTTTTTCCGTATTACGTGTGTACAGCTGTGGTGAACATACCGTGGACATGCGTGTCTTTGGGAGTGTGGGAGGAAACCAGAGTACCCGGAGGAAACCCACGCAGGCACAGGGAGAACATGCAAACTCCAAACTACTGTCCACGAGCCTCAGAAAGACACTGCTAGGAGCTAGCCAAGCCACAATGGATATGTTAGGCCCCGTTCACACTATACGTAGAGTGCTCATGATTTTGTTTGCACAATTCTCACGTGGAAATTCACTTAAATGTCACCACTCACTTAAATGAACTACCCTATGCACGTCTGGCGCTCCAAAGAAGTTCAGGGACCAAATTTTAGCCTTGAACCAGGAGTGATTTTACACTCACATTTTGCTGTGCTTCTCATGCAAAAAAAAACCCCAAAAAACACACCATATTTGGGGTGCCATTAAAGATAAAAAGCACCCAAAACGTGTGTTGTGCGTTTCGCTGTATTTTGGAAAAAATTGCCCATATGTGAACAAGGCCTTAGGGAGGATTAGGGGAAGCAGTGGGAGTCAAATATTTATTATTTAATTGTAAGCACTGGGACACTGGTCCAGACTATGGGATCTAGAACATTCTTTAGGATGAAGATGCATGTCCTAAATACATTCCTGAGAGGTACATGAACTACTGAATGAAGCTACAGAATTTGTCTGGTTTGTAAATTGCGCATGTGCAGATGTTTCAAGTCACTACATAATGTGGATAATAACAAACAGAATTAAAGATGAACTCTAGCACTGCCTTCAGTCTTGCAAAACTGTACTGGCTCCTCCCCTTTACTTGAACTTCCTATTTTGATTTCACTGCACACTGTAAGCTTCTCACAGTATACATTAGTGGTTAGTGCAAGTCATATAGAGCCTGCTTCCTTTCCTGACTGGAGGATGTCCAGCATCATCAAACTCTTTCCTCCTAGCCTTACTGTCCCTGGTCCACATCTTTCATTCTCTGGATTCTAGTTTTTGTAATTATGGAGGCTTAGCATCACATGCGGGCATTACTTATTGTGGTTTGCATGCAAATGCAGTTTACCTAGGAACTCCCATTTCTCCAGACTGACATACACCATGAAGGTATTTTCTCATATTAGCATAACTCCTCCCAATGACCAACCCTCTGCTTGCATCTGAGCTGAGCACTCTTGATAGGAGTACAAAGGCAGGGTGCGGTAATGTTTCAAGAAGTTATGTGCAACCCCCCCCCCCCCCCCCCCCCACCACCAGTCTCTTCCACCAGCCATGATCTGTCAGCATTGCATGGAGATGTATAGAGACGTAGTAAGGACATCACTGGGTCTAAAACAAGGTATGTCATGAAAGTTGATTTTTTTTTCAAACTTAAACAATTGTGTAAGTTCATTAACAACCACTAAAAGCAAAATGTACGCAGATTAAACCAGCTTTGATCAATGTGCTTTGATCTGTATCAGCCTCAACACCACTTTTATGGAGCAGTCCAGAATAAAAATGGTATTCCTATATTTTCCTTAAATAAAAAAAAAAAAAATTACCCCCTCTCCCCTTTACCATACAAATATGACCAAAGTGACAGAGGACTGTTAAAACAAATAGGTCATTGATCTTTGCTTTAGGACCAGAGCAGAGTTGGAGTACTAGTTAAACAGCAGGGGCAGAAAAAGCAAGACAACTATAGACATCCAAATATAAATTAGGAATTTCTTCCAGACAACTTAATGTAAAGGAGAAGGAACTTACTTGGTGGATGATGCGAGACCTGCTCGGAGACAAATGTGACATTGTTTTTGGAAGCCCATGGAACTGGTCCTTCAGAAACTGGCTCCTAGAAGATAAATCAATCCACAATCCTATTACAATAGCAGGAACACCACAGAGACAGAAAAGTACCCTGTTCAATGACCAGGAAAATGACAACATAACACAACTTCCCCTAAATTAGTTTTTCTTCTGTTGGTTATGGATAGGGTCCACTGGGAAGTTTTACCCTCACCTCCTGCTCTAATAACAAGGCAACACTGGGGAAAAAGATTAAATGGGAATATTTTTTTTTTTTTTTTTGGGTAGTGGAAAATGGTTAGAACCTCTCACTTCCTGCCTGCCACTCATTACCAAATGTTTTTCTGTCAAACTGCTCCTGAGATATTTTAAACGGAATTTAAAATATTTTTCTACTATATATGGATGGAGAGATGAGGGAAAGGGCCTGAAGGATGGAGAAACGAGGGAAGAGGCACAGTGGCAAGGTGGTTAGCACTTCCGCCTGGCAGCACTAAGGTTGTTGGTTCAAATCCCAATCACAGCACTATCTGCACAGAGTTTGCATGTTCTCTCTGCGTGGCTTTCCTCTGGGTACTCTGGGTTCCTCCCACACTCTAAAGACATGCTGGTAGATTAATTGGCTCCTGTCGAAATTGGCCCTACTATGTGTATGTATGACTGAGTTTAGGGACCTTAGACCGTAAGCTCCTTGAGGGTTAGGGACTGATGTGAATGTACAATACAGTATATTTAAAGCTCTGCATAAATTTGACAGAGCTATATAACTACTTCTGAACCCGGGACATACCCGTACAATGCTGGACTTTTGGTGGCTGTGCTGGAGTGATGCAGCTGCAGGCATTGCCCCAGTACAGGGGTCAGCTCTCTTGTACAGGCAATCAGAGCTTGTCGCCCCACCACCCCTCCCAACGCTCTCTCAGGATCTCCTGTCTCACTGGCAGTCCCAAGCGACCAGCCAGCATGTCCACTGGCTGGCCGGACAGCCGAACAAAGCCGGAATTGGCTTTTATCGGCTCTCCTTTATTGTAAGCCATAGGAGATGGCCTAACATCACTTCTGGTTTACTCAGAAACTTTCAGCACCCTTTTTAAAAATCGGAAAGCACTCAAAAACACAGATCTTGGTGTTTTGAATGCTTTCAAGTGCAGAGGAGAGATTTTGGTGTCATAGACCCCTATTGCTGTCACGGGTTGTTTATCACATCTCCATATATTTGCATCAGTGTTCTCACAAACCTTAAACCTACAAGTCACTATAGTACAAGTGCTTCTACGTACCCATAAAACCCCCAGTGGGACATTAATGCAGCAATAGGATCATACATATATTGAAAAAGACATTTGGTTAAAAAAGATTTTTATCAACTTTATTACATACATATTTCCATTGTAATATTAAATACATTTTCTTAAAAGAATATTGCTCTGACAGTATTCTTACAAGAAAACTCTTAATACAAGAATATGAAACCACACCGAAATGCATATGCTTTTGTAAGTAAAAAAATTATTTGGTTATGTGAAAACATTTTTTTGATTATCTATTTCTTTTTTGGTATATTCATTTATGATTGTTTATATATTTACTAGAAATTCCTTTGTCTCTCATGCCCCTGAGGAAGATCTAGAACAGTGGTTCTTAACCTGGGTTCGATCGAACCCCAGGGGTTCGGTGAGTCAGTCTCGCGGGTTCGGCGGAGGTGAAGACCCACACCCGATTCATATGATTCGTGCAGTAAATATTCATTATTATGTTTTTGTTTTTGTGTGAAAATCATGTTTTAATGGTTTTGTTCTTTGTTCTTAACGGTTTTGTTCATTTTGTGCACCTATGTATAAATATATACCTAAATATATACCTATGTTTTGAATTTTAAAAATCATATTTTATTTTTCCAATTAAGAAGGGTTCGGTGAATGCGCATATGAAACTGGTGGGGTTCAGTACCTCCAACAAGGTTAAGAACCACTGATCTAGAATGTGGAATGATCGAAACGCGTCAGTTTTTTTTCTTTTTCTGTGTGGTTTCATATTCTTTTATTAAGAGTTATCTTGTAAGAATACTGTCAGAGCAATATTATTTTTAGAAATCATGTATTTAACATTACAATGGAAATGTGTATGTAATAAAGTTGATAAAAATCTTTAACCAACTGTCTTTTTCAATATATGTATGATCCTATTGCATTAAAGTCTCAAAGGAGGTTCTTTGGGTACATACATTCATATAGGGATGAGCAGCCAGATACTCGACCCTTTTGGTTATAGTACAAGTGCTTCTGGAACTCACAGAGTCATCATTTTCTGGTAAAACCCAGTGACACTGGAACACTTCTCCCAGTATGGGGTTATAAGGCTTCTTCGCTACAGACCCTTTTCGGCCTGCATGGAATGCGGACAGGTACAGGTACACCGGACCACCTGGACCATCCTGTCTTTGGGGTCTTTGTGGTCGCCGATGCTGAAAGAACAGAGGGTAGACAGATCATGTTATATGGAATGAAAGCTCAATGTCCTAGTATTAGAAGCAAAACACAGCAACTGAACAGTACAGAAAATGAAAGTACCTCACAAACAGATCCGGGTGTGCAAAAAAATCAGCATACATCTCTAGGAGAGATCGTCTTTCAAGAATAAATGTGGGGAGGACAACCTGCAGAAATGTAGATATATAATAAAAATATATGACGTTTAAAACCATATCAATGGAACAAACTACAAATGATGAATGATACTCTAAATTATAAAAGTAAAACATTTAACACGACCTCCAGCCACATTTCTTTCTAGGTTTCAGATAAAATAGGTAAGAGATATATCATAATAGAAATTCAAGACGGGTACTATGTTAATGATGGGAAACATTTCCAGAAGAGAATAAATCCCACCCTTGATTGTGATTTCACACATGTATATAATGTATGTACCTGAAAAAAGCTGTAAAGGTTTGTCACATGGTAGGCTATCATTTCCTCTGAACACTACCTGGAGGCTCAGGGCCAGGAGAACACTCTAACTGCATTTTCACAGGCTCCAATTTAAAGCGATAGTAAACTGCCCAAAAAATTATTTAACAAAAAAAAAAAATCTGTCTTCCTGCAGGTTTCAGTCATAATGTACTAGAAATGCATCACATTATGACAGACTTACCAGCAAATGGAGTACTCCAGCACCCGTGCTGTCACAGCTCCCGGGCGCTTCCCTCTTCACCCAGCCTTCCTTCCAGGTTCGCTGTCTCTGGCTGTATTAAAATCCTGGGGCCGCGATGACGTTACTCCCACGCATATGCGCAGGAACCCCGGCACGGAGCTCTAAAGGTAAGGCATGGGTATGCTGTCCATTCAGAGCGCATGAGCCAGTGACATCCTTGGCTGCATCCCGTGGGAATATCTCCTGAACAGTGCAAGTTTAGGAGATATTCACTGTACCTAAAGGTCAGCCTCATTATAGGTACAAGCCTTTAGGTACAAGGTAGAAAGTGGACTTTACTTCCACTTTAAGGCTGCGCACAAAATAAGGATATCATCAACTAAACGTTTTTCATGAGTGGGACAGTCAGTTGCATTAGAACGATGTTCAAGATAAGGGTCATCTAACAGTAGGCTGTGTCACTGTTTAAGAATGCCCAATTTTCATTCTGAGGGTCCCCACTCATCTGGGCTTTGGCAGGCCACTGATTGGCTGCAGCCACTAATTAAATAATCAACTTCTGTCGAGCAGGGGAGGCCACACTGATCAAAATTCGATCACTGTAATGCTATCTTAAGGGAAGGCTTTTAATGAAATGTAACATCCAATTACATATATTAGGACAGAAATAATGAATTTTGCAGCCTCCTAAAGTTGATTCTTGGACCATGAGTTTATATGCTGCAACCTTCAGGTGAATGGACACTGGTGAAAGCTTTGCTGAGAACTGCCTCCCCAGTGGGTGAGGCAGTGGGGAGGCCGATCATTTTTCAATAGGTAAACATTATAGTTACATTACCTATAAGGCAAAGAAGATGAGACAACAATAATCAGGGTAAAAACACACAATTATAGGATTACCCATGACCTGTGCCCTCCAAACCTCTTGTGTGCTTAGCACTGCGGTGTGTCTTGTAAGATAAAAGGCTATGGTGTATAGCAGGATCTCTCAGCCAGGGTTGTGTGAACCCCCAGGGCTCCTCTGAAGCTTTTAAGGGAGAACATTGAGCAGTTTCTGCTTCTCAGACACATTCCCAATGACACCAATCATCTTTTTTACGATCTGTAAAGAGTTGATTCTACCGACAACCACAAATATAAGGAGCTTTCTTTCCCCCCAGTGACTATCACACTAATAAAACCTGAGCTTTAGATGCAGCATTAGCAGAGGTTCCCTGAGACCACAAAGTTATTTCAAGGGTTCATCCATGTTGAACGTTTGAGAAAGGCTGGTGTATAGTATCTACTACCAATCTAGGAAATAATCCATCAAGATTTGTGTAGCCAGGAACCTGTATGTAAAGGTATATGGACACAGTCTTATCTTGTCCACATTGCTGGTCCCATTCAGGGTCCAGGCTTCAACCTTCATGCTGGGCATAGCTCTGAAGGGAATTTAAGGGTCTGGGTGCCTTAGGAGTGGACCACGGCCTTGGACCTGAATAGGACCCTGTGGGGCTAACGCACTTGTTGCACCACATACCAAGGTGAGAGCCGAACACAGAATCCAGTGCCCACAGCAAATATTACAGGCTGATCCTGCTGTTACAAAATTTTGTACTGTTCTTAAGATGTAAATTGAGGGCAGCCAATCTGGAAACTGCTAGTGAGTGATAAGCAGCCATATCTCGACTGAAGGACACTAGTAAAAAAAAACAAAAAAACCGGAACCTCAAGGAGTGGACGGGTCATATGGTTACACTGGGGGTCGGTTACCAGAAAAGCTTTTGTCAGTGTCAAATCACCTGAAGGCATTTGACCCATGGTCTAAGAATCAATTTCTGAATCATGTACTGTACAATTAGGTGTATTATCTGCTGTAAATATATCCTAACTGGGACTTTCATTAATACCAAAAGATCCAGCACTCCATATCCCAACCTCTCTATTAAGTTGTATGTTTGACTGAAGGTTGCTTTTAAACTTATAATTCGATAATAATTCAAGAAATCTGTCCAACTACCCATTACCTACAGCAAAATTCAACAAGGCACAGGTGCCACATGGACATTAACATTTATGAACTATACAAAAAAAACACATCATAAATCTAGCACACAGCTTACAGTTTCTAACATGCAGCAGAAAAGTGATTGGTTTCTACAGACCACACTTTGCATCTCCTCCTGAGGCGAGCTCTCACCTTAGTCAAGTCCATGCCCAGGCGGACCTGGGACAACAGATGCATGATAACACTTTTGTGTTCCTCCACAGACTCCCCTTCTCCATCATCATCCCGGTCATCATGGTCATACTGATCTAATGGGAGAAGGATAAAAGTAAAAGCAGGCCATCACCAATTCAACACACGCAGTTTTCTTTTCTACTAAAAAAAAAAAAAAAAAAAAAAAAAAAACCACGTCAAGTCCATCAGTGTCTGGAAAACTGTTTATGTGATATAAACTTCACTTGATTTCTGGACATCCCTCATAATTATCTTTGGTGCCCAAACAAAAGCAGAGTTCTTGACTCTCTGCAGCTTTTTGCTATTAAAGATGATGCTGTAAAGTCCCCAACTGCTTATAATCAAAGACTGATTATTCAGATTTGAAGCACGAAAAACATGAAATTGGTTAGGCAAGATGTCCCTGTTATAACAGTTTTGTTCAGCATGGTGGAAAGCTTCTGAAATTGGACCATCCCTCTCATCTATCTAATCGCAGCATCATTGCCAATAGGAAACTATTATTTTTGTTGAAGGCAATCAGTGGTGGCACCCTTCATATTTTTCTTAAAGGTTTGCTTTAAACTACCCATACTCTTAAAGCGGATCTCCACCCAAAAGGGGAAGTTCCCCTGCACCCCATTAATGATTGGCACCTTTGGGGGGGCGGGAGGGAACAGGTACACGAATTTGACAGGTACCCGCTCCCACTCCAATCGCCTAGGCGATCGGAAACGGAAGGTGTCCTCTCTCCCTGTAGTCTTTTGGGACACGTGACAGGTCCCAGAAGACTACAGGACCATTCATGAAGCGCAGCGCTACTCACGCATGCACAGTGGGTACCCGGCTGTGAAACTGCAAGAAGTCACAGCCAGGTGCCCACACTGAAGATGCCAGCCTCCAGGAATACAGGACGGCCGGTGAAACGGGCTGCGGGGGACACAGTGTGGGACAGGTAAGTGGCTATTTTTTAAAAGTCAGCAGCTACAGTTTTTGTAGCTGCTGACTGTTATTTTTTACAGCGTGAGTGGAACTCCACTTTAAAAATCAAATAATGGAAAAGTACAAAAAAAAAAAAAAACAAAACTGCCTTCCTCAGTGGCATTTGCCAGCAATGCTCTTTCCAAACACACTTTCCTTGCCATCCACATGAACACAAACGTTTGTCCAAGACTCTTACAATAAATAGATAGTACTGTACAGGATTATGGTAAATGACAGTTAAATGTTGGGCTTTCCATTTTATATCTTAAACTAATTTATTTAAAAAAAAAAAATGCAAGCTTGAGCATAATTGTTTGTAGCTCCAATTGGAAAATGGTTATTGATTTATATAAACAAATTGCTTTTATTGAACTTTCTCTACCATTTTCTGGAATATTCAACATATAAATACTTTAAAAAAAAATGCCTTAAGTGATTTGATTTGGCTGTTGGAATAAAGATTATCATTAACAAAAATAGCTGAAGTGCTTCGTTTATGGATTCCTAATGATCCTTTCCATGTTACATTACTTGTTATTAAAGCCTCAGGATTTTCAAGTAGCCCTTGCATAAAACAGATTACAACTGAAAAGCAATAGTGAAGAAACTTGTACGAGCAATTTGTGTTGTGCAGGTATGAGCTCTCTGGTATCTGTACCAGCTAGAAGATCCTTACCTAAATATCTACAAGAAATGCAACTGGCCACACACCAATTCTACTAGCCAAAGATTTGATTGCTTTCAGCAAAATACCAGGAGAGCCTGTCTGATCAAGCATTGCTTACAGCAGGGGTGTCCAGCCATTTGATTTTCTTGGGCCACATTGGAAGAAGAGGAATTGTCTTGGGCCACACATAAAATACACTAAAAATTGGGATAGCTGATGAGCTGGGATCGGGCAGATCACAAGTTGGGATAGCTGATGAGCTGGGATCGGGCAGATCACAAGTTGGGATAGCTGATGAGCTGGGATCGGGCAGATCACAAGTTGGGATAGCTGATGAGCTGGGATCGGGCAGATCACAAGTTGGGATAGCTGATGAGCTGGGATCGGGCAGATCACAAGTTGGGATAGCTGATGAGCTGGGATCGGGCAGATCACAAGTTGGGATAGCTGATGAGCTGGGATCGGGCAGATCACAAGTTAACGATCACCGATATAGATAATGTACACTGGTTTTGATAAACGAACACATCAGTATCTGGTTCCATGGATGTAGTGGTAATTCTTAATAAATTCTGAAGGTGCTCATCAGATATTTTGGTTCTATTTTTGCCCTTTGTGCACTATTTCCTTGAAAATAGTTGCTCACAAATACAGGTGCTGCCGAAATCTGATGATATGAATGAGGTGTGATTGTGAAGAGTGTGATATTTTTCTTTGGGAAGATAAAACATAAAAGTCCAGTACAGAGACACTGTTAAATATGTCTTCGCCTGCATGTGTTCGCTAAGTATAAAGGCATTTAAAAAAAAAAAAAAATCCATCCCCAAACAAATCAACATTTTAAGCAAGTTTATGATTTTGTGTTGGGCCGCATTCATAGCTGTACAGAGCCTCTTATGGCCCATGGGCCACAGGTTGGACACCCCTGGTTTACGCAAACCGATTGTATATGGTCAGATTAAAGTTCATCCAACTTGAGACAAATACAGGAGCCACAATTACCAACCCTGAAAATTCCAGAAACCTGAGTGTTTGTGTTGGCTCACAAAAGCATGAATGAATACTAAATCACTAGAAGAAGCATGAAGAATAGGGAAGCTGAAGAAAAGTCAGAAGTCCTATCTGTATACTTGCATGATATAATCATCTAGTCCTGTAAGTCAGCAAGAAAATATCACTCTGTGTCTTTGCACACAGACCACTGTGTAGACCACAGCTTGTATAGCAAGACTACACTAAGAATTTGCTCAACTCTCAGCTTCAGGTAGATTTCTTGATGCCTTTAGATGCAGTTTGGGGATAGTGACCACAGATCATAAGAGGAGTGCTGGCTGCCACTTTAATTAAACAAGCTGCTGGAAGACTTTCAAGAGCATTAAAATAATGCCAACATTTACTGAAAAGTTAGCCATACACCAGTACATACCCTAATTAGAAGAACATTAACTGAATGTAGGTCTAGATAAATGGTAAGATACTGGAATATGACCAGCCTTTCTAAATCCTGCTAGCAGCATCTGACAGCCAGGGTACGTAAAGCATTTTCAAATGTCTAAATTTTCCATTACTTGTTCTTCAATACTGGTTCACTGACTCCAATCAACAAATAGCATGGGTTGCAATTGGGCTCGTACAAGAGCTTTTACTAATCTGCTGCTGCAGCAGGAGGCACGGCACATCTGCACCATCTCTTCTTGTCTGCCACAAAACCAGTAAATGACATGTTCAGAAATGTCACTATTCCTCTTCTGCCATAGATATGCTTCAGATCACTCCTGGGCTTGGTGTTGGACCTCAGGTGTGAATGATAGCAGATGGTTCCTCAGCTAAGGCCTGTGGGACCTTCTGATTCCCCTAGCACATTGCATTCCGTTTTTAAAACCCCCTGTAGGACTACTTTTGGTTTTTTTTTTTTTGGTTTTTTTTAAAGGAGGGTTGTATGTAGCATGCAGGTACCAGTAAGTGAATAATTTTGATTTGCTCCTACACGGCACAATAAACTTGTGAATTTTGCACTACACCAAGCAATCATGAATGTGTTTTACCATTCATTAACTGATTCCCGACTGCCCTATAGCAGAACTACTGCTACAGGGCGGTTATATGTATATATATATATATATATATATATATATATGTATGTATGTATGTATGTATATATATACACACACATACACATATATACACACACATATATACATACATATAAAACACACTTACATATACACACACACAGGTGGCGCACGCCGCCATTGGAGGCTACAGCTGTCGATCACCGGGTCCCGGCTGGAGACTCCCTGCCAGCACCCGGCAATTGCCGAGGAACATTGACAAGGGAGAGGTCTGTATGTAAACAATACAGATCTCTCCCCTGTCAGCACCAGTATGCTGCTTTGTATTGCTCTGCATAGCATAGCGAGCAATACAAAGCAGCATGCTTACATAGTAAAACACACACAGGCCACATAGTAAAACAGCACACAGTTAACCCTTTGATCTCCCCACATGTTAACCCCATCCAGCCCAGTGTCATTAGTACAGTGTCAGTGCCTTTTATTAGCACTGATCACTGTATTAGTGTCACTGGGGATGTCAGCGGCAGTTAATCAGTTCCTCCCCCCAGAGTCAGAATGCACAGCGCAGTCCCGCAATAAGTCACTGATCAGCGCCATTACTAGTATAAAAAAAAAAAAAACCAGTATATATAAATCGCCATTTGTAAACGCTATAACTTTCACGTAAACCAATTAATTTACACGTATTGGGATTTCTTTTTTAGCAAAGACATAGCAGAATACATTTTGGCCTAAATTTATGACGAAATTTAATTTTTTAAAATTTTTTTACTGGATATGTTTTATAGCAAAAAGTCAAAAATATATATATATTTTTTTCAAAATGATCTGCCTTTTTTTGTTAATAGCGCAAAAAATAAAAACCGTGGCAAATACCACTGAAAGAAAGCTCCATTTGTGGGGGGGGGGAAAAAAAGGACATAAATTTAATTTGGGTGCATCGCTGCATGACCGCGGAATTTTCAGTTAAAGTAATGCAGCGCCGTATTGCACAAACTGGCCTGGTCAGGAAGGGGGGTAAATCCTCTGGAGGGCAAATGGTTAAACATATTACAAAGCCATCCACAACTCTGCCCCCAGCTACATCACCAACCTGGTCTCAAAATATCAACCAAACCGCTCTCTTCGATCCTCCCAAGACCTTCTGCTCTCTAGTTCCTGTGTCAACTCCTCCCATGCTTGCCTCCAGGACTTCTCCAAAGCTTCTCCCATCCTATGGAACTCTCTACCCCAATCTGTCCGGCTGTCTCCTAATCTATCCACCTTTAGACAATCCCTGAAAACCCTCTCTCTTTAAAGAAGTCTATCCTGCTTCTACCTACTAAACCGCCATTTATTTCCTCCATCAGCTCATCCTCCCACAGCTATTACCTTTGGTATCACTCAACCCTTCCTCCTAGATTGTAAGCTCTAATGAGCAGGGCCCTCTGTTTCCTCTTGTACCAAATTGTATTGTAACTGTAATGTGTACCTTCATTTTGTAAAGCACTGAGCAAACTGTTGGCGCTATATAAATCCTGAAGAATAATAATAATAATATAGGACCTGTCACTGGTTTAGCGAAATCAATGAGAAGGCGTAACCATAAAGTTTCAAAAATACAAGGATACAAAAAACAATTTGCATTAAAAAGTTGGAATAATTTAAAAAAAAAAAAAAATATGAGGTGAGATCGTTTGTTAATAGTAGAAGTACAGGGCTGCCTTCCTCATGAAGGACTTGTGTTTTATTAACAGTTCTGTACCTGCATCGTTGGTCCCATTGGACATTGAGGAATTGATGGACTCTGTAGTATCCGGTCTTTTCAGGCTGGTCCCTGTACTGCTGTGTGTTAGGGCTGCTGCAGACTCAGACGAGCTACGAAAAAAGGGTGAAAAAAAAAAAAAAGAAAAAACAAACATTCATTTTATTCCACTATTCCTTTTTAACATATGGACCAGAGACTTTGCTAATGCCAGAATCACATGAAGCCTGACCCTGATCACTATTTAAACATTCAACTCAATGACTACTCTATGTCCACAGAGAAAACACATGTACTATGATAAAATGAAAACAGACTAACATGAAAACAAATGAAGCTGAAGCTTTTATATCAAGAAAAGAAAGAAAATGACTAGTGATGCTCAGCTCTGATCCTCAAAGCCTCCTAAGGCGAAGTATACATGAGCGCCAGGTAAACCGCACCCAGCACTTGTGTGTTACACTTCCTGCATTGAGCAAGTAGGCAAAAGCTAACAGAATCCATAAAAGTGGATTATATTTCCAGACAAATCGATAAACACTCTGGTAAATGGTATACTATGAATGTATACCATAAGGGGTGTAATTCTGTTCAGTCCTAATTCAGAGATTGAATTTCATCTAAATGTGAGTCATGGGTGGCCTTGTCAGCACCACGCGGCTCAACAAAAGTTGGGTGAATAATTATCGGCCGGACAGCGACTGCATCATACAGTACAAATGTACAGACCCTTCATAAACCTTGATGATTATAGCTGAGCACCAGAGGATGGAACAAGTCGGGGAACAAGAAAATTAAAAAGGAATTTGCACTGCAAGAGACATCAATACATACAGTATTCTAGAGCTCTTTCGGAAAGAATGATTCAAAAACAAACATTCATTGGACCACAATGCTGTAGGCTTTGCAGGAAATCAAAGAGATATAAATTACCCCGAATAGTTGATAAGTAATCGTGTTTTGTGAAAAGTGAAATTAAGCTGATTAAATCATCTTTACTGCCAAAAAAGGTTAAAAAAGATGCTGTCACCTTGCCCATACAGAGCAAATTGAAAACATCTCTGCAAAAGACCCCCCCCCCCCTCCCTTACCAGTGCTCCCTCACCCCTCATTTCTCTTTCAGCAGACTACAATACCTGGCACTTCTGGGTATGGTGGAGCACGTGACCTTCTCCCCTGTGACCATGCTAAGGGCTGGTAGCCAATTATTGGGCCCAAGAACTATCATATGACCAGGGGAATGCTGCCAATCCCTTACCCCAGTCATTTTAGTGCGGACTACAGAGGGAAAGGTGTGTATGCATTGGGGGGGGGGGGGTGTTTTGCGGAGACACTTGCACTTTGCCCTGCATTCTCAAGGTGACAGGATCTCTTTAAACTAGACTTCTTTCATACATGTCCATGTCATTGTTTAATTGATCTCTATATTTATTTGCCTAAAGCTAGAAATACTGGGAATAGATAATTCATTTGTATAGATTTTTCAATTACATAAAAAGCACAGCAGACCGTGAAAACCTTTATGTCAATGTGTCTGCTAGACAGCGTGAATAATAGCGATGACATTTAAATGTTTGAATCAAGCCATGCTTAATTATGAAAGTCATTAGCAAGAGGTCACTGCGTTACTATGGCCCCAGATAATGTAAATCTGTATCTAAGCTGTACAAGGATCCTTACCAACTAGATAGGAGTCTTGCAGCAGAAGGAGGAAAACACAAGACATGAACAGAACGTTAAACACGGACAAGTGCAATAAATGGTACACGTATGAGGCGCAAATGTAGTGGAAACAAACGCACAAGAGTGGCTGTCACAAATAAAATGCTTTATTCAAAGTCCCAAAGCATTCCTCATCTGACAATTATCCACAAATGATTCGGTATCTCGGTGTTTAATTGTATTATGTAGGTGACAAAAGTGAAAGGAGATTAGAAACAGACTCAGTCTATACAAAACAAATATATATCCTGCTACATGAGAGTATCTGAATTGAAGACTTAGCTTCCTGATTTAAGCACAGAACCCTAAGGGCATGTGTCAATGGGCTTTTGGCTTGCGTTGATGGCATCAGCTTGCCATCACTTTGGGAACCTTCTGAGATGAATCAGAATTCATTAACAGTTGCATCTGACCTGCAGTGGGCTTCCTCCTGACCTGCAGCTGACCCGTTTCAAACAGGTATAACATTCCCATTGACCTGTATGAGAACGCAAAATCTGCTTGAAGCAAACAAAAACCCGTAGACACAGACTCTAAAGTTAGTCATACAAAGGGCAATTTTCAGTATTGCTAAATGCAGGACCCTGCATTCACTATACCTGGTCTCCCCGGGCCCTGTATTCACTATATCCGGTCACCTAGGGCCCTGCATTCACTATACCCGGTCTTCCAGGGCCCTGCATTCACTATACCCTGTCTCCCCGGTCCCTGCATTCACTATACCCGGTCTCCCCGGTCCCTGCATTCACTATACCCGGTCTCCCCGGTCCCTGCATTCACTATACCCGGTCTCCCCGGACCCTGCATTCACTATACCCGGTCTCCCCGGGCCCTGCATTCACTATACCCGGTCTCCCCGGTCCCTGCATTCACTATACCCGGTCTCCCCGGTCCCTGCATTCACTATACCCGGTCTCCCCGACCCTGCATTCACTATACCCGGTCTCCCCGGAACCTGCATTCACTATACCCGGTCTCCCCGGACCCTGCATTCACTATACCCGGTCTCCCCGGACCCTGCATTCACTATACCCGGTCTCCCCGGACCCTGCATTCACTATACCCGGTCTCCCCGGACCCTGCATTCACTATACCCGGTCTCCCCGGACCCTGCATTCACTATACCCGGTCTCCCCGGACCCTGCATTCACTATACCCGGTCTCCCCGGACCCTGCATTCACTATACCCGGTCTCCCCGGTCCCTGCATTCACTATACCCGGTCTCCCCGGGTCCCTGCATTCACTATACCCGGTCTCCCCGGTCCCTGCATTCACTATACCCGGTCTCCCCGGACCCTGCATTCACTATACCCGGTCTCCCCGGAACCCTGCATTCACTATACCCGGTCTCCCCGGACCCCGCATTCACTATACCCGGTCTCCCCGGACCCCGCACTCACTATATCTGCTCTCCCAGGACCCCGCACTCACTATATCTGGTCTCCCAGGACCCCGCATCACTATATCTGGTCTCCCCGGACCCCGCACTCACTATATCTGGTCTCCCAGGACCCCGCACTCACTATATCTGGTCTCCCAGGACCCCGCACTCACTATATCTGGTCTCCCAGGACCCCGCACTCACTATATCTGGTCTCCCAGGACCCCGCACTCACTATATATATCTGGTCTCCCAGGACCCCGCACTCACTATATCTGGTCTCCCAGGACCCCGCACTCACTATATCTGGTCTCCCAGGACCCCGCACTCACTATATCTGGTCTCCCAGGACCCCGCACTCACTATATCTGGTCTCCCAGGACCCCGCACTCACTATATCTGGTCTCCCAGGACCCCGCACTCACTATATCTGGTCTCCCAGGACCCCGCACTCACTATATCTGGTCTCCCCGGGCCCTGCATTCACTATATCTGGTCTCCCCCGGACCCTGCACTCGCTATATCTGGTCTCCCTGGGCCCTGCACTCCTATATCTGGTCTCCCCGGACCCTGCACTCGCTATATCTGGTCTCCCTGGACCCTGCATTCGCTATATCTGGTCTCCCAGGACCCTGCATTCACTATATCCGGTCTCTCACAGTACACACAGCATGGATACTGATGCAGCTGGTGAGGGGACTACCAACAATGATGAATACAGTAAAACGGACTTGGAATGACGGACAAAGCCACAAGATAGTTATTGGACACTACCATAAGCTACCACACAAGGAGAGAAGCTAACAAGAATCCAACAATCCAGTTTTCCTAGTATCACACTAGCAGCGTGTCTTATTCACACTCCCATTTTACTGCACATTTAGACACCTATATGAATTAATAATAATGAGCAAAAAGCTTGTATCATGCATTTTCGCTCACCTTAAATCATAACTGCACCTTTAGTGTGAAGAACACATTTCCTGTCATTTTAATCTGGTCATACTTTATATGGATAGAAAATAGAATAGAATTCAGCTGAGTCAGCAGGGACCAGCTGAATTTCGATCCATGTATAGGCAGGCTGGTTTTACATTTGTCAATATATTGAGCCAGCTTGCTGGAAAATTTTCCAGTGGATCAGCTGGTTGGACAAAAGAAAATGACTCTTGTATGACCAGCCTTTGGGTGACAATGCTCACTCAATCCGTCTTACCGAAGGAAAGAGCCATTGTCATCACCCAGGCTGCTCTCCTGATAAGGCCTACAAAGCAGGACTGAGCCTGGGTTCACACTGAATAAGACTGTGAAGTCACAAGATTTCAAAGACGGATGTCAGTGTGACTTCAGGTACGACTTGTAAGACATCTGTGCAACTTCATGCACAGATGTCTATGCAAGTCACAGCCGAAATTGCCAAAAGGAACTACTTTTAAATTTGTGCGACTCTGATGAAGTTGGAACGGTTCAATTGCCAGTCATTGGGTGCGATTTGTCATGTGATTTGAACTGTCAAATCGCATCAGTGTGAACACAGGCTTACTCTTTATCTCCATTACACAGGGAGGGGGATTCGTAATTTACAGATGATAGCTTTGTTTGATAGGATTGTTTGTGCTTTTATTTCAACTCGCAGGAGGTGAAATAAAGTGGTTGTAAACCTCATACAGAGGGATATTCCTCTATAGTGTGTATTTGTCTCAATCCAGAGCACTAAGTGTAATTTCTGTCTGCTGCCTCCTTCCATGAATCACTTCTGACAAGTTTTCCTGACACCAAGAGAAAAATGGTGACGGGGATGGACCTCCAACAGATTGACAGCTCCAGCTCTGTTCCTGTGAGCTGTAGGAAGGCGGTGTGTCTCTTCCCTTTACTCATCTCTCAGAACTCTGCAGACAAGCTTTATAAATTCAGAACTTTGAACGGATGTAGAGAAAGATCAGAAGAGGAGAGAAGACTGCAGATAAACAGGAACAACTTATGTAGGAGGATTTGTTTAATCTCTGCGTATTACCTGAGGCCATTCACTTCATTGGTTATGTAAGGGTTTACAACCGCTTTAAATTCTGGCAAGATCAACAGTTAATTTCTGTACCTATTAGGCCTCACACACACAGGGCGTTTTTGAAGCCACTTTTAAGGGTGTCGGGTGTTTTGTTTCTTTTTTTGCAGATTCCGAACCCCCTTTATATTATCTTATGTGTCCATGCACACAGATTTTTAGAAGCTTTTAGTGGCAGGGTCTTTTAGGAGCTGTAAAAAATACCCCACTGCCAGTGCGTCCAGGAGCAGCAGTTTCAGCAGAAAAAAAACGTTTGACGTGTCTAAACGCATGTTGGCACTAGGTGCATTTATCTCTTGAAAGTTAATTTCAATGGCCAGAATAAATTATTATTCTGGTCAATTGAATTAGCGCCCAAGTGATTGATGCTTGTAAAAGCGCCTAAACACTTGGAAAAGCGTTAGATACTTTTACAAGCATTAGGTGTTTTTTTCTGCCAAAACACTGCTTCCATGAGGAGCACTTTTAAAAAAACATCCCGTGTGTGCATGAGGCCTTAAAAATGTTCTTGGCATGAAAAATTTAAAATAACTTAGGTAGCACATCCAAGGACTGGTTCACTGTGGTTTTTAGGTTTACAGTAGATGTCCTTTAATATTCCTTGTAAGATTTCAGTAGGTAACAAAAACAAATGGCCAAAGAACTAATGTCTGATTCTGATAACGGCTCTGTTTACAGAATTTTTGTTTACGTGGGACGCATATTTGGGCTTTTAATCAACCACCCAAAGGTCAATTAACTTGGAGGAATTTGCACTTTAGACTTAGCTGCTAGAAGAGATTTTTTTTTTGTGGTTGCTTTAGTGTGAAGTTGTTGATGCTCAACTTGCCAACACTGGCCTGTAAATACAGTTGTGACCAAAATTATTCAACCCCCACTGAAATTGAGTGTTTTGGCCAGTTTGACATTGCTTTTGATCATTCAGTCATCTTGCTTACATTTACATTAAAGAGGCACTTGTAGGTCAGACAAATATAACATAACAGTTATAATGAAATAACCACAAATGTCTTTTCTGTGCTCACAGCATTATCAGTTTTATTCAACCCCCAAGTGACATTCAATCTTAGTACTTAGTACAGCATCCTTTTACAGTTATAACAGCTTTTAAACGTGAAGCATAGCTTGACACAAGTGTCTTGCAGCGATCTACGGGTAATCTTCGCCCATTCTTCATGGGCAAAGGCCTCCAGTTCAGTCACATTCTTAGGCTTGCGCACTGCAACTGCTTTCTTTAAGTCCCACCAGAGGTTCTCAATCGGATTTAAGTCTGGTGACTGCGATGGCCACTCCAAAATGTTCCAGCCTTTCCTCTGCAACCATGCTCTAGTGGACTTGGAGGTATGCTTGGGATCATTGTCCTGTTGAAAGGTCCAACGTCTCCCAAGCCTCAGGTGTGTGACGGACTGCATCACGTTTCCATCCAATATCTCCTGGTACTGAAGAGAATTCATGGTACCTTGCACACGCTGAAGCTTCCCTGTACCTGCAGAAGCAAAACAGCCCCAAGCATGATTGACCCTCCACCATGCTTCACAGTAGGCAAGGTGTTCTTTTCATCATAGGCCTTGTTCTTCCTCCTCCAAACATAGCGTTGATCCATGGGCCCAAACAGTTCTAAATTTTGTTTCATCAGTCCACAGAACACTATCCCACAAACTTTTGTGGTTTGTCCACATGGCTTTTGGCATACTGCAGTCGACTCTTCTTATTCTTTGGAGACAGCAAGGGGGTACGCCTGGGAGTTCTGGCACGGAGGCCTTCATTACGCAGTGTGCGTCTTATTGTCTGGGCTGAAACTTCTGTACCCACATCTGACAAATCTTTTCTCAGTTCCTCAGCAGTCACACGGGGACTTCTCTCCACTCTACGCTTCAGGTAGCGCACAGCAGTCGAAGTCAGCATCTTCTTTCTGCCACGACCAGGTAGCGTTTCAACAGTGCCCTTTGCCTTGAATTTGCGAATGATGCTTCCTAAGGTGTCTCTTGGTATGTTTAACATCTTTGCAATCTTCTTATAGCCATTGCCCTTCCTGTGAAGAGAAATCACCTCTTCTCTTGTCTTTCCTGGACCATTCTCTTGCCTTCACCATGTTTGTAACCACACCAGTAAATGTCTAGAAGGAGCTGAGTATCACAGTCATTTTAAAGCTGCCTAATTGGTGCTTATTATGCTTGATTGCTGCTCGGTGACATCCACAGGTGTTTTCAATACCTGATGGAAAGCACCTGTATGAACCTCTGTTCTTCAGAGTGGTAGTCTTAAAGGGGTTGAATAATTGTGGCAATGAATGAAGAAACCACATAAGAACCATTTACTACTGTATTACATAAACAATTGATGTAATTTTAGTTGCATTTGGGTAGTTACAACGTCCTTGTAGGATTTGATTCTGAATACAATTCCAAATGTACACTATAGTCCCTAAACCCCTTTACAGCATTGGGGGTTGAATAATTTTGGTCACAACTGTAGATGTATATTATAAGTGCTAAACACAAGGTACATAGAGGGAAACATGTCAGGCAGTGGAATTTAGGGGCAACTAACTGTAAAGTCTTAAAAGTGGACATTTTTGTTGCTATACATTAGCCCGTTTATATCTGTACAGTGCAATAACGCACGTGTCGTGTGTTACCTTTCATCATTTTAATGTAGCCCCACCAAGTGCCATTTGTAATAAATAAATGGCAGGGCACCAATGTGCATAATCTGTGTTGCCATATGTCACCGCACTATAACAATGTGAAGCCCGCCCCAATGGTTTCTGCAACAAGATATCACCTTTAACATATACAGTATAATTGATATGCTTTTGCAATACAAAGCCAGAATTCATTTCCTAAAACTGTAACACAAGTCAAACTTCTCTCCACCATGGAACCAGTGCTGGACAGGATTTTTTTAATTGTTAACCCTTGTATTGTAACTGGTTCACTTTTTTTTTTTTTTTTTAAAGTCTGCACAGTCTGAGGTCAAATTATTGTGATTCCCAGCAAAGTCCAGCAGTAAAACGTAACCGTAACCACTTCCCGTCCAGCCCATGTATATAAAACGGCTGGACAGGAGCAGTACAGGGGCGGGTGGTCGTTTATAAATGTCATCCCCGCTTCCCTGCTTGTGCGTGCTCCCTGGGAGCTCGCAGAACCGCGATCTGGTGCCCACTGTGTTCTCCAGACACAGCGGAACACTGATCGCTGTACAGGACCTCTGTGTGAGGTCCTGATCATGTGATCACTGATTGGCCAATCAGTGATCACATGAATAGTAGTAAGCAAGATGTCACTTCCTGACATCATTGCTTACTACGTGTGAAATCTGTGAATGATCACAGAGGTCACATGGTACAAGAGTGTTCTCAACAACCTTGTACCATGTGACAAGCTGTGAGCAATCATAGCTCGTACAGTATTTCTCAATGGGTGCAGGAATGCAGCCAGAGAGAAGGAGAAATGATTGCTTTTACAGCCTTTATGGGTGTAAGAGCAATCAGTGTAAAAAAAAAAAAAAAATCTTCATCACCCCCCACAAGTAGTACAGTGTCACTATGGTGACACTGTATTGCTAGGGTGACAATGTTAAAAAACAAAACATAAAAAAATAAAATAAAAATAAAATATATATATATATTTTTTTTAATTGTCATTTTTTGTTATAAACTAATTTGGGTTTCTTTATTTATTAAAAAGATAACTGAATACATTTTGGCCAAGATTTATGAAGATTATTTGCCGTATTTTTCACTCCATAAGATGCACTTTTTTCCCCCCAAAAAAGGAGGGAAAATGTCAGTGCGTCTTATGGAGCGAATATGGAGCGGCCGGTCCGGTATTTCCAGCGCCGCCGTGTCAGAATACCGGGCCGGCCGCTCAGCTCTGCAGCGGGACCTTATGGAGATGACTGCTGACCTTTGGAGAGGTGGGGAGCGGGTACCTGAATTTCACAGGTACCCGCTCTTACTTCCGCAGAGTTGTTCCTTGACCTTACCTGTTCCTCTATCCAGCGGCGCGCTGTCTTCCCGGCTTCTGTAGTGTGGGCACTGGGCTTGACAGCCGGGTGCCAAGTGCGCATGCGCAAGAAGCGGTGCTTTTTGTGAATGGTAAGGCGGTACCTGGGACACATGACAGATCCCAGAAGCCGCTGGACCAATCGCAAAGCGCAAGTGCTTCTCGCTCATGCGCACTGGGCACCCAGCTGTCATGCCGAGCGCCCACATTACAGAAGCCGGGAAGACAGCGCGCGGCTGGATAGAGGAACAGGTAAGATCAAAGAACAACTCCGTGGAAGTAAGAGCGGGTACCTGTCAAATTAAGGTACCTGCTCCCCCCCCCCCCAAAGGTCAGCGGTCATCTCCTGTGCTGTCCGCAGTCTCTGGTCATCCCTGTACTGTCCGCAGTCTCTGGTCATCCCTGTACTGTGTCCGCAGTCTCTGGTCATCCCTGTACTGTGTCCGCAGTCTCTGGTCATCCCTGTACTGTGTCCGCAGTCTCTGGTCATCCCTGTACTGTGTCCGCAGTCTCTGGTCATCCCTGTACTGTGTCCGCAGTCTCTGGTCATCCCTGTACTGTGTCCGCAGTCTCTGGTCATCCCTGTACTGTGTCCGCAGTCTCTGGTCATCCCTGTACTGTGTCCGCAGTCTCTGGTCATCCCTGTACTGTGTCCGCAGTCTCTGGTCATCCCTGTACTGTGTCCGCAGTCTCTGGTCATCCCTGTACTGTGTCCGCAGTCTCTGGTCATCCCTGTACTGTGTCCGCAGTCTCTGGTCATCCCTGTGCCGTCCGCAGTCTCTGGTCATCCCTGTGCCGTCCACAGTCTCTGGTCATCCCTGTGCCGTCCACAGTCTCTGGTCATCCCTGTGCCGTCCACAGTCTCTGGTCATCCCTGTGCCGTCCACAGTCTCTGGTCATCCCTGTGCCGTCCACAGTCTCTGGTCATCCCTGTGCCGTCCACAGTCTCTGGTCATCCCTGTGCCGTCCACAGTCTCTGGTCATCCCTGTGCCGTCCACAGTCTCTGGTCATCCCTGTGCCGTCCACAGTCTCTGGTCATCCCTGTGCCGTCCACAGTCTCTGGTCATCCCTGTGCCGTCCACAGTCTCTGGTCATCCCTGTGCCGTCCACAGTCTCTGGTCATCCCTGTGCCGTCCACAGTCTCTGGTCATCCCTGTGCCGTCCACAGTCTCTGGTCATCCCTGTGCCGTCCACAGTCTCTGGTCATCCCTGTGCCGTCCACAGTCTCTGGTCATCCCTGTGCCGTCCACAGTCTCTGGTCATCCCTGTGCCGTCCACAGTCTCTGGTCATCCCTGTGCCGTCCACAGTCTCTGGTCATCCCTGTGCCGTCCACAGTCTCTGGTCATCCCTGTGCCGTCCACAGTCTCTGGTCATCCCTGTGCCGTCCACAGTCTCTGGTCATCCCTGTGCCGTCCACAGTCTCTGGTCATCCCTGTGCCGTCCACAGTCTCTGGTCATCCCTGTGCCGTCCACAGTCTCTGGTCATCCCTGTGCCGTCCACAGTCTCTGGTCATCCCTGTGCCGTCCACAGTCTCTGGTCATCCCTGTGCCGTCCACAGTCTCTGGTCATCCCTGTGCCGTCCACAGTCTCTGGTCATCCCTGTGCCGTCCACAGTCTCTGGTCATCCCCTGTGCCGTCCACAGTCTCTGGTCATCCCTGTGCCGTCCACAGTCTCTGGTCATCCCTGTGCCGTCCACAGTCTCTGGTCATCCCTGTGCCGTCCACAGTCTCTGGTCATCCCTGTGCCGTCCACAGTCTCTGGTCATCCCTGTGCCATCCACAGTCTCTGGTCATCCCTGTGCCGTCCACAGTCTCTGGTCATCCCTGTGCCGTCCACAGTCTCTGGTCATCCCTGTGCCGTCCACAGTCTCTGGTCATCCCTGTGCTGTCCACAGTCTCTGGTCATCTCTGTGCTGTCCACAGTCTCTGGTCATCTCCTGTACTATGTCTGCAGTCCATTAGTTCAGAATTTTTTTTTCCTGTTTTCTGCCTCTAAAACCTAGGTGCGTCTTATGATCAGGTGCGTCTTATGGAGCGAAAAATACGGTATTTGCAAAATTTTATAATAACTTTTTTTCAAAATGTTTGGACATTTTCATTTATATAGCAAACAAAATAAAAATCCCAGTTTATCTGTCTCAAAAAAATGCTAAAAAATTCATATGGGTACAGTGTTGCATGACCGCGCAATTGTCATTCAAAGTGTGATAGCGCTGAAAGCTGAAAATTGGCCTGGACAGGAAGGGGGTAAAAGTGTCCGGACTTGAAGTGGTTAAGGAAGATATGCAACTAAACAGAGTGGAACCATGCACTAAGCACCAATTTTAAATCATGTCATCAAATATTTTAAAGTATGTGTTGTATTGTAAATGGTCTATAATGCAACAGTCAAACATCATATCTTCCTTCCAGTAAACCTGTAGTTCACCTCACTATAATAAGACAGCCTTCTATATACTAGGGTATATAAACTGTCAAACTGTACCTTTCGTAAAATACTGTCCAACTGCAAATCAATGCTTTACCCTTATGGGAAAAAATACCTACGTCTGGGACATGATGATGCTCAGAGCCTGACGGAATTTATTGCCTGGCCCAAACACTGTCACAGGCAAGTGGTAGGGTCTGCTTAAAGCTATGCAAATATCAAAATTCAGAAAGTTGGTATATGCATTGTAACTTCTATAGGGTCTGGCAGAACTTTTCAGAGCTACAAAAGGTCCATTCCACAGCTTATGTTCGGTAATATCTAGAGAGGATTTGATTAGCAGTTACGCTTGCCCTCTTATTTGTACTCATTGGGGCCAAAAGGAGTGCTTTCAGGGCTTGTTGTGGATGTCTGCCAAACACTTCTTAAGGCAGTAAATAAATAACAAAGAACCCCTCAGCCAATGCCACAGGCAAATTAATGGGGTCTGCCATTGCTTATACAACCATTAGGTATCAACACACATTTTGCCAACCAGATTGAGCATGATAAGGGAATGATTGCCTGACTGCGATCTAACATCTATGGCTAGTTTTGTATGAAGCTCTATGATTTAGGGTCATAAGAAACATATCTGTAGAGAGGCTCAAACACTTACTCCATGCAATGCTTTGGGGAGGAGCTGCTCTGGTAAAATTCATCTGCGTCGTAGAACTCATCTTCACTGCTGGAGTATGAAAAGTCTGGGACTGTGTTCGGTGACAGATTGACGTGGCTGGGGGAGGTCAAACTACTGCTGGGAACAGACTGACCACTTCCTGTCAGAAGAGAACAGGCACAAGTCAACAACATGATTATATGATGCTGAGGCCTCCTCCTGGATACCAAAGATTCATAACAGCTTATTATAAAAAATCGGTTTCCTCCGTGAGTAGCCTGGGATGGAAGCAGCCACTCTGATTCCTGTGCCATATGAAAGCTCAGGGGCAGCATCCACCTATAAGGCTAGATATTAATGCCAACACTTAAGAGTTGGCAATGCAACAAGGGGCATTGGGACGGAGTTGAAAATTTTTATCAGATTTTTAAATGTTCTGTATTAGGAGTGTAAAGACTTGGAAAGCTACAGTTCATGTAATAACCTGTGGACATTAAAGGAGACGTTCACCTTTCATAACATGTTACACCCATATTCAGGCCCCCGATCCCCGCTTTGACAGCAAGCGGGGGATCTTCTCCCCCCTCACTAGCTGTCAAATTTTTAAAAAAAATGTGGCCATCCGGGGCTCGATCCAGCCAGCCGTGTTACTCATTCACAGCATTAGGTGAATAAGAGACTACAAGTTCCAACAGCCTTAGCGGCTGTCGGCTTGTAGTCCTCAAAGAACTACCACCGTGGTAGTTCATTCAAGCTTCCTGTCAAAATATCTGCTTAGCCGTACATCTTGTACGGCAAGCAGATATTCTGACAGGTCTGCAGGAGACCTGCATGGCATCAGTGATCTACTGATCAATGGTGTAATGCTTTCCAGGCTCCTGCAGCCAAAAAAAATAAATGCACATTTTTTTACCTACAAAAAAATGTACATTTATTATTCTTGTGGAAAAGGTGAACTTATCCTTTAACTATCTAGATTAGGGTTTCTCAACCACGGTTTTGTGAACTCTAGAGTTCCTCCAGAGGTTGCTAGGGGTTCCTTGAGCAATGAGCAACTTTTGCTTTTCAGGTAAGTTCTCAGTGACATCGATTATCTTTTTAGCGATCTGTAAGGGGGTAATTCTTCCCAATGACCACATGTGTAAGGAACATTCTTCCCACTGATCCTCACACTAATGTATCATGATTTGTAGATATGGTAACTTTTAGCAGGGGTTCCCAAGATCAGAAAGTTTCAGGATTTTCTCTGTGTTGAAAAGGGTGAGAAAGTCTAATACGGTTTTAAGTGCTAAGCTCTAGATCAAAGTCAAACTTAGAAAAAAAAAAAAATGACAGGCAAGGTTTTTATATGAGTGGGCTCTTCTGTCACAAATGACTCTCCTGGCCTGTCAGCGGTAATGTAGTCTGAGCCGGGCACAGCTCAGATCAGATCACATTTATGGTGCCAGCTCTGTGCCACGAAGAAGTGACTTCAGTGGGCAAGTCTGGGAGTGACAGTGACAGATTCAAGCAGCCAAATACAGAGAACCCGGAAGGAAGATTGGGAAAAACGGAAGCACCCAAGCGCTGACAGTGCAGCACTGGAAGGCATCATTTGACAGATAAGTGTGTCATAATGTGTTATCATGTGGTACATACTAGCACACTATGCCATACACCTTCAGGGGGCTGGGATATAAAAAATGTTTTTGAATACTTTAATGGCACTTTAAATTGTTTGGAGCAGACCTGAACTCTCAGGAAAACATTGTTACTTCTGCAACTTTCTTTTCCTACTCCCAACCCAAAAACAGAAACCGAAGCTTTCAAGCACTAAAGCTGGTCATAGACTTAGAGATTTCATTCATTTATCCTGCCAGCTACTGTTTTCTGACAACTGGCACATACAGCTGTCAGAATACCCAAAACAGTGCCTGCATCCAACTGGGTGTGTTTGCTGTTTGGCCAGCAATTATTCCACCCAGCTCCTTCAACAAGCACACGGACTTGATTTTGCCCAGCTCAGTGGCACCAACAGGGTCACCTGTGGCTTGAATTTCGGAGGATTTAGCCGAAATCAGCTAAAAGTCGAGCCGTGTATAGCAGCCTTTACCTCTGGGTCCCATCAGACTGCTGCTTCTGACAGCTCTGGATCTGAGTTGCAGTATCAAATTGGGATCTGCATGAAGTATAGGCACTGAATGGTTGCTTGGGCCAGTCCGTACCACGCAAATCCCACCTCTACCCTCAGACCCAGAGTACCAGAAAGGTAAAAGGATGATGGGAAAAAGCCTGTTTCACTTAACAGGCAATCAATCAAGGTGCGTTACATTTTATTTATGCATAAGGTGCAATGAGGAAGGGCAGGAAGAGCACTGGTAAAAACAAATAATTTTATTTCAGTTTCATATTAATGTAAAAAGCTTTCTGGTTTCATTTTAGCAGTTCTACAATTGGCGATTTACTTGGAAATGCAGGACTCACCTGTGCTATTTGGAGTGGGAGTCAGATGGCTTCCGAGGCCAGTTCCTACTGAACCGACAGCCAACGACGACGGCCGCTGCTCACCTTTGCCAACCTGCACAGCCTCTGAAAAATAAAAATCCCAGTCAATGAGCATTGTCAAGGGGCCTACCTTTACTCCTGCTCATGTACAGCATAAATAATAGTTATTTTGTGTAAAGTTCTTAAACAGGATAAGTGAAGCCCATGAGTCAACTGCTGAGGATATCTATCTTACACAGTAAATGTGCTTAAGGGCTCATCATACAGGCACAGAGCCCTGAGAGTGTGCAGAGCCTTTTGTTTATATTTTTTAGTAGCATGTAGCTGCGTACAGCCAGCCTGAATAATTGAATACAAGCTCACCTGAACAGCCGAGTTTGACAGCTAGACCGGCGGGTGCATGGCCCCTGGCACAGAGCCTGTGCTTCCAGGGCCGTGTTCACCTGCCCATTTGTGCCTGAGAAACTTGGCTGTGTGGGTGAGTCCATACAGCTGATGTTCAACACTTTCCTTTTTTTTTTATTATTATTATTTATCACTAGAGTGTATCTTCTAAAGTGGTTGCAAACCTCTGAAATGAAAAATGAACAAAGCATATCCTTCTGTAGTGTATACTTGCCTCACTCCAAAGCACTTAGTGTCATTTCTGTCTGTCTCCATCTGCTATTTGCATGAGTAACTACTGATGGGTTATTCTAAATCCAAGCAATCACGGGTGATGAGGGAGGGAAGTTGCCAGCACACAGCCTGTTATTAACAGCGTCAGCTGTGCAGGTTTTCCTATGAGACTGGGGGGAGTTGTCTGTTCCCTCCACTCAGGTCTCAAATTACTCTCTCCTCTCTTAGCTGTGCAGTGTGTGACATCAGATCTGCTGTCTCTTGAAGCTCAAAAATACTATATAAAAGTATGCACTTTGAACAGCTGTAGAGGAGACACAGCTACAGATAAAAAAGGTCCAACTTATGTAGGGAGAAGTTATTTCTTTTGTGTGTATCACCTGAGGCTAGTCACTTCATTGAGTATATGTAAGGGTTTACAACCACTTTAAGAATAATTTGCCAATGAAAACAAGGAAACAAACTGAAATATAAGCTCTACCTGGCAATGGAACAGTTTGTGTTGGCATGGTTCGAACTACAGCTGGCTCCAATGGACTGGGCTGGTAAATAGAATCCACAGGATTTATAGTGCTCTATAAAAGATAAGAGTAAACTTAGGTTGGAGAGTCTGCCTAAGCTTATCCAAGACAGTATGAGCAATCAAAACTTCAATGAAGACAGATCTGAGGACAGGCAAGCAATTTTCTGGGTTCAGATCCCTGCTACCATCAAAGAAATTGCTTTCATAAACTTGATTAACTGATGCTGAAAGCATTTTTAATTAAATTCTCTTGGTGTACAAGAAAAATATGAAATATAACGAATTACACATCACTTTTCAAGAATATCATCTCTACCTTATGTTTAAGAAAACTGCTGACCCAAAGAAAGCTTGCAACTAGTGAATGCCAAATCCCTGACTAAAATATTTCTTCCTGCCAAATTATTTTCAAGTAGTAAAGAAAATATAATGATGAGGTTTGAAAATTACACAGTCAAAAAGTAGGTCTCCTTTGAAAAAAATAGTGTGCGATACATCCATTTAAAAGCCCACCATACAAAATGAACCTTTGGCCAAAGTCCCCATCTCTTTTCAGGGAGGTGTTTGATGAATCTAAAGTAAACCTTTCAAAGATGAAATATTGGGGGCATACTTGTTTTGGATGGGTGACTAATGGGTGGACTGCCAACTCATGGGGCCCCTGGGCAATAGGGGATCATGGGGCCCCTGTGTCCTTGCCCAAACTCAAAACATCCTATGAAAAAAAGGTACCAGGGGCATCTCATGGGGCCCCCTACTGACCCCAGGCCCTCGGGCAGTGCCCGAGTTTCCAAATGGTCAGTCCGCCCCTGGTGACTCAGTATTACAGCAAGATGATCAGTATCATAGCCAAGCAATTGGCACTTACAGAATAAGTCAGGAATGGCAGCATTTGTGTTTTTTTTAAAGGAAAACTTTCCTAAAACAGAGTATCTCTAGCCAAAACTTGTTAAGCTATAGTTCTGGTTAGAATAGGGAAGACCAAGATTTTCTGTCGGATTTTTACTGTTCCAAGAGTAGAGGGCCAAAGAAAAAAAATCCTTAGTCCAGAGTCTTTATTATTCAACTGGATATTTCAAGCAGTGCAAAAGATCAAACGCATTTAGGGAGCCATACAATCCCCCGTTATCAGGGCTGGGTGAAATCACTGAATGTTAAATGGACTCAAAAGTACTCCGGCAGGCAGAGGAGGTCATAAACAGCAATCAGTGTTCATGGTAAGGCTTTACCTTTTGCCACTTCTACTTTGAACACCAGCACTGACTGCAGTTTATAACAGCCACCGCCTACAGGAATCGTTTTGAGTCCATTTTTTTCTTTAACCTATTACACTTGGATTTCTCGACTTGGGTGAAACTCTTCTTCCTGGGAGGTCCATGTATTTGTGGTGAACTATCGTATACAGGACATTTGGGCTCCATGACATGTCCACACCTTGATGACCTGTAAAAATCCATGTCCAGTGCCCCTCTACCACTACCTCTTAGGTTTTTACTGCTATCTGTGCCCCCTTTTAGGAGATCCTCACGGTGTTTGTCCTGGTGACCATTGTTTGAAGCATAAAAACTGAGGAGAAACGCAAAGGTTTTGGCTACAGATACACTCATCAAAATTCAGTTTTAAACTAGGCACCATTGGGTCCCTTTCAGATCATGCTTTAAGTTAATACACATGCATTGTTCCTCCATGTTATGGTTTACTGCATTAAGGGCTGGTTCACACTGGGAACCACACAAGAATGCGCTGTGCGATTCACAGGCAGGTCTGTGTAGTGCAATGTTTTTTTTTTTCCATTTTGAACGGGCTGAAATGGCACCGCACAACACCAAAAGTAGGGCATGCAGTGCTTTTGTTAATGCACTGCAACCGGATTGCATGGTACTTTTGTACAATGCGATCTAGCACAGGCAAGTGACCTGCGTTTGAGGTGTTGTCAACATTGCACTGACACCCGCTGCAGATTGATTTGAAGGGCCGTGCGATTTGAATTGATCTGAAACCGGAACAGAACGTGGGTTTCTGGCACCACATTCTAGTGTGAATGGGCCTTGAACCAGCTCATTCATTTTGAATAGGTTGACAGCACAGTTTAATGCACTAAGAAAGCAGATTTTATTTTATTTTCTTTCTAAATACAGCATGTCACAAAAGGCTGCCTGTGCGTTCTGGTGCTCTGCAGTGCAGGGAAACTGCCTGCTACAATGCATTAGAGTGCCATTCAAAAATCAATGTATTACAATGCAGTTTGTGGAACAAGAATTTGTAGATAGGCCTTTATACAGGATAAAGCGTTCATGCACATTATAAATTCTTTCTAAAAACTGAAACATGGTATACAATTTATTTACAACAACAAAGGGAACATTACAATTTACAGTGGCGATTAAACATTGATGAATGATAGAGGTTAGGAATCACATACATTGATCTGTAAAATTAAAAGCATTATTAAAATGGAAAAGTAGTATACAGATGTTAATTTCCTGAATTGATTGAATTTGTAGAAATATAAAGAAACAGAACAATTTAGTAGTCTAGTAGTAAAGTCATTCAAGGTTATGAAGAATGTTTTTGCACTGCACTATAAGAAGCAATTCTAATGCTTTTCCTGAAGGTCAACAATCTAATATTTGTCACATATTCCTGTTCAGGCATGGCTTCATCTCAACTCTTTCCAGAAACATGCTAGAAATGAAGGTGGAGCAATTTCCTCAAGTTATGCTTTTACTAAATTTGATTTTGCATATAGCTAGAATCACATTCTGTCATTATACAGGGCTCCTGTAATTCTTTCAGTATGACTGATAAGGGCCAGAATTGTTAGCCAACCACGGTTCTAATGCTTTGCACAGAGCTTGTTGGTATTCTTTCTTGAACTTTCCTGTAAGCATGGAGGATATGGGGATGTACTAAATGCAATTTCTCCTGCGCTCTGGGACCCAGGCCGGTGGTGAGTAGATCAAATCCCAACAAAGCAACCACCGGGCATACAAGGTCATGCAGCTCCAAACCAAGGCTGGGGAAGCCCGAACAGAACTGTGAAGTAAAACAAGAAGAAGCGCACCAACCTTGCGCATTACCTCAATAACCAAAATTTATTTAGTAAAAGAATGGTACTCACAAACAGCAAATAAAAACAGGCATGCAAGTCCTCCCAGGGACTTCAAAGGCAAGAGGCCAGCGTGAATCCCATCATGGGGGTAGCCATCAGTACAGCTGACGCGTTTCGAAGGTCATGCCTTCTTCCTCAGAGCTCAGAGGACTTACATGCCTGTTTTTATTCGCTGTTTGTGAGTACCATTCTTTTACTAAATAAATTTTGGTTATTGAGGTAATGCGCAAGGTTGGTGCGCTTCTTCTTGTTTTACTTCACTGATATGGGGATGTACCAATGTGCTTAAACTCTTTCACTGTCCTGTTACAGGCTGAGAGAGTAGAACTGCAGCATCCATTTTTTCTATAGTCACTCATCAAAAGGGTGAACAGTACTGACAGGATCTAAAGAGGATAGGATGATAGAAATGTGCTCACATATGAAGTTTACAGCAATAGGAATAAGGCAGAATAATATTATTGGGCATAAATTTGAGATTGGCAAGAATGGTTTTTGTTAAGAGTTTCACTTTAATGTTTACAGCAATTTCTTTTTTTTTTTTAATGCAAGTATAAGGAAACAACAAAAGGAATTAGAGGCCTTTTGTTTATTATATCCCATGGTGATTTGCTCAATATTCATATTTCAGATCCTAACACTAGCCCCATCTACTATATACTACACCTGTACATCCCCCTGACATATGTACTGTCAGGTGACAGACTGATCACCCAAATATAAAAGATGCCCAGAGATGGGAAGAAGGAGCAGTTCCTGGACCAGTTTTAAAACTGGACCCAGCCAACCCACGATAGTCCAACAGAACACAGTACGCTGATTAAGGGCCTCAGCATCCAAAAACAAGCACCAGAGTGGAACAGCAATAGTGTAATATGTTGCAATGATGATGAAATGATCAATGCCAGCTAAATGCTTGCTACAAACCTCATACCCAATTTAAAATCACTTGATATGTAATGTATGGATGCTGAAGTAAAAAAAAAAAAAGACAGAAAAGTTAAAAGGGAAAAAAGAACAAAGGGAACCTGAAAGAAAACAACGGGATGGGGGGTTGGAGGCTTCATTTACTTCATTTAATGGCTAAATGTGGCCAAAATATGACAAAGTTTTTGTACATTAGTAAAAGTCAAGGTACTAGCAAAATAGATTTCTCTGGTTATTGTTACTTTAGTGGTAAACAATTAGTGGAGAAAGTGGCCAGAGCTGCTTCAAAAAGAAGAGATAGCATATGTCACCAAGACACTGTGGGGTCGATTTACTAAAACTGAAGAGGGAAAGATCCGATGCAGCTCGGCATAGAAACCAATCAGCTTCCAGATTTATTTTTTGTCAAAGATTAAAGTACAGCCAAACGAGCTTTAACTGTACTTCTCCTTTAAGCTCTGCAATCACTTGACAGTCACCGCTCTCTGCTCACAGGGGCGGTGAGAACTCCGTGATCAGCGGTCATGTAATCGCACTTCCAGCCAGCGGGGGACCGATGCTGCATCCACCTAGGTAAGTAGGATTTAAAAAAAACAAAAAATAAAAAAAATAATTCCCATATTTCTCTTTTAATTGTTAACTGAACAAGCTAAAGTTCGAAGCTTATTCGCTACCATGTACAGCTGCACCAGATTCTGCACTCTCCAATTTTAGTAAATGAACCCTCATGGATCCATTTAGAAGTCCAAAAATGTGTTAAAGCGGTGTTATTGCATCAAGGGTAAATGCAACAGTTCAGAGTCGCACAGGACCCCTTCACCAGTTATGATGAGGGGCCCTGTGCAACTCTCAAACATTGAACTAACCTTCATATGATCACTGTAATACATTTTTGGACTTTTACATGGATCCATGGTGTACTGGCAATTTATGCGTTCCTGTACACTAATCACCAGTTAAACAGCTGGTTGTTGCTGTGGCTCCTCCACACTACAGACTTTACCCAGGAAAGT